ATTGCGTAGCTCAGTCCATTGCGTAGCTTAATGTTTGTGTGAAGTGATCTGTGTCAGAATTGGAGGTCCATAGATTTGACCTTTGGGTCAAATAAGGTCAAACAGGTTAAAACCCAAGATTGGTTTCAAAAATGCCCCAAGACCTCCTCATGCAGACGCCTTTGAATTTGGACGTATGTTCTAAGCAATGGTCACTCGTGTTCATATTAAGTCATTGGCATTTTATGACTTAAAGAAGTTCATGGCGACCAAAAACTTGTGTAGTTGTTTTGGTACTAATTTGAATATGCTTTAAATATCGCCCTCGTTGGTACGCCCCTAAAAATAAATGGTTGATGAGGGCAACTTTTGGTCAGCGATCTGCTCTGGCCTGTAAGAAGTCCATGGCAGATACCTGGTGCGGTCCCTATTATCAAGAAACTTGAAATGAGCGTCAGAAAAAAAAACATTAAAGCACGCTCTCCAGTAAAAAGCAGGCTGGTTTTTTACCTTGATCTGACCTCCATACGTGACTCAAGGTCAATGGGAATCGCTTGAGTACTTAATCAAATTTTCTGCTTATCTGAGGAGCCATCTCAGAGGTGTATAGCTTCTTTAAACATTTCGTTGTCGCATTAGATTGCACGTTTCCTAGAGATTGCCTTCGCTGGCACTCATGGTCCGACTTTGGCCTGCTATAGATCAGCGACCTTACGAGGTACATCCAGTCTACAAATCAAAATATCTGCTATTGACTTGCTTGCGGCTAAGCAATTTCTGGTGTGGCTACACCGCGGCATTCGAAAGTTATGCTATCAAAACCTTCGGGGGAATTGACTCCATCTCGGCAACATGTTAGGCTATTAGAAATCTTAGTGCTGTAAAGTGGACTTTGTTACATCATGATGCATCATGCTACATCTTAATGTTGCATTGTGAATTCCTACTGATGAAATTTTTAACAAAGGTATAAAATCACTTCGTTTTCTTAGCCAACGTGAACATGCAAGTATAAACTCAGCACACACTGGCTGTGCCAACCACACATACGATACACATCTTTACATTTTACGTCATATGCTACAAAGGGTTAGGTGATAACAGCAGATACCTAATTATCACCACTATATTGTAAAACTCGTTCTACTATACTCGTAGTAAATCTTCTTAGGCAGCCGGCGACGTTTGCTGCGCTTGATAAGTGGCTGCGGCGAACGCGGACCGGTTAACACCACGAAGTCGGTCACATGGGGCGTCACAAGATAACGTTGAGAAATTGCAGTGCCACTCCGATTGGGACCAGAGTATATAAATGACACATTAACCCCTGAATCAGCACTCAAACTGTAAAGAGAACGTTGTCCAACGCAATTCCTAATGACGGAATCGTTGCATGAGGTGACCCATCATAACAGCCGGCAGAGTTTTCTCGGCAGGCTTCTAGCTGCGACTTCTTCACTACACACAGAGTATCATCGCATGGCCTGAGCTACTGCGCCCCGTCTATTGCACGCCTTCTATTCACGAAAAGTCTAACCGGGTTCGCTCGGTTCACAGCGAACCGGTTGTAGGATTGCGGGCGCGGCGGCTGGGCGCGGCAACCGGCACCGATCCAAGCACCTGCGCTCGCAGCGACGTCCAGCACGAGATTTAGTCTCCGGTAGCGAGCGGCAGTTGATGTGCTGTTGATCAGCAGGCTGGAAAGTGCCGGAGCGGTGTGGACGCAGGGAGCTAGAATCGCTTTTGAGGTAGGGTGGGAGTGAAAAATTCCATCGCAAAAAACCGTGCGAGAGTGAAAAAATCAATTCACAAAAGATGGGACTTTTCAGTGACACAAATGACGTGTTCCTCATTTTCCTGGTGTTTTGAACTGAAGTAATATTTTAAACATTATTCAGTGCAGCTCACAGCCCTGCCCTTCTTAACACCTGAACCCCTCTAGTTTCTGAGTTATGCGCCCGCAAAGGTGTGCAAGCTTTTTCGGAGAAACTACTTCAAGGTCACCCAGACATCCATGACGCCAATCCTGTCATTCCATTATTCATGCGGTGATCAAGGCCAATAAACATATAATGGTCTAGTCGTTCATATCTGGCATTCGTGTGCTGGCCGTCAATTGGTTCTCAATCAATGTTGTGCAAGGTTTAATGACGTTACGAAACAATGACGCATTAAGGAGCAAATTCACCATACCAAGAAATCGTGTTGTCTAGAGCAATTTTTCCAACTTACAGAGGTGTGCCAATAGGTATGTGTCGGTGACATATATATATATATATATATATATATATATATATATATATATATATATATACGCGTGCGTGTACGGATGTGTGTATGTGTGTGTGCGCATGCGTGTGTGCGTGTGTGTACGTATGTGTGTGTGGGTATGCATGTGTGTGTGTGTGTGTGTGTGTGTGTGTGTGTGTGTGTGTGTGTGTGTGTGTGTGTGTGTGTGTGTGTGTGTGTGTGTGTGTGTGTGTGTGTGTGTGTGTGTGTGTGTGTGTTTGTGTGTAGCCATGTATATGTATTTGTATATGCCAAAGTATCAGATGCTTCTTCTTAAATGTCCGTGAAGTTAGGCGATTTATTCAATGATTTTTTTCAGCGACGAGTTCCGATTTCCCTGAAAAGCGGTTTGAAGGTCAATTGTGGCATGCAAACACCAAAAATGACCCTTATTTTGCAACACCATGTGACCTTCAAGGTCAAAAGCAGGGCAAAGGACGGGGAACTCCATATCACCCAAAAATTACCGGCCGATTTTCAACTTGCAAATGTCAGAATATTCAACACAGAAAAACTAGCGTCCGTCCAAAAGTCCTGACCTATCAAGGTCACACTACATGGTCAAACACGGGCTCAAAGGACGGGGAGCCCTATATCACCCAAAAATTACCGGCTGAGTTCCACTTTACAAGGGTCGGAACATTCACCACAGGAAGAACCAGCGCCCATCAAAAAGTCCTGACCTCTCAAGGTCACCCTTAAAGGGCAAACGCGGGCTCAAAGGACGGGGAACACCATGTCACCCAAAAATTATCGGCCGATTTTTAACTTACAGACATCAGAACATTCATCACAGAAAGAGTTAGCGTCCGTCAAAAAGTCCTGACCTCTCAAGGTCACCCTTCAAGGTCAAACGCGGACTCAAAGACGGGAAACTTCACATCACCCAAAAATTATCAGCCGATTTTTACCTTAAAAGATCAAAGCATTCACCACAGAAAGAGCTAGCGTCCGTCAAAAGTCTTCACATTGAAGTATTCTGATGTTTGTTAGTTAAAAATAGGTCAATAATTTTGTGGTGATATGAAATTCCCTGTCTTTTGAACTCGCGTTTGACCTTCAAGGATGACCTTGAGAGGTCATGACTTTTTGACGGACGCTAGACTCTTTCTGTGAGGAATGTTCTGATGTTTAAAAGTTAAAAATCGGCCGGTAATTTTTGGGTGATATGGAGTTCCCCGTTCTTTGAGCCCACGTTTGACCTTAAAGGGTGACTTTGAGAGATCAGCACTTTTGACGGACGCTAGTTCTTTCTCTGGCTAATGTTCTGATCCTTGCAGGTTAAAAAACGTTCGGTAATTTTTTGGTAATATCGAGTAACCCGTCCTTTGACCCAGCTTTTGACCTTGAAGGTCAGATGATATTGCAAAATAAGGGTCATTTTTGGTGTTCTCATGCCACAGTTGACCTTCAGAACCATTTTTCAGGGAAATCGGAACTCGTCGCTGAAAAAAAAATCGCGGAATAAATCGTTAACTTAACGGATTCTTCTTGAAGCCTCTTATGTTGTTAGTTTTTGATAGGTTCTCCGGAGCGTTAATTGATTTAATATAACTTTATTTTAAAGCAACAAGGATCCCGTAGTCCACTGGATCACTCATCAAGTCTTCTACGGTTCTCTTTCCGTCTTTTTTTGAGTATTTCATGAATACCCGTGCACGCAAATTTTTCTGCGGGTCCACTTAGACTGCGGTGCCATAATGTCGCACTTGCTCATCCCCCCGTTGTGCGAAGGCTGCTGGCCATATCCCTTGCCCAAGCGTGAAGTGTTATGCCTTCATATGTTAGCCTGTTAAGCAAGTAACTTTCCTTCATAGATCTATAGCTTTCCCGACGATTATCCTAACAGCATTCAAATGCCTGTTTCGTTGTCCAATGTCCGGTTCGCAATCTGACACCGGTCGCGTCGCATGAAGTCAGTAATCCAAGCATGGGTCGGAGTAGAGCGACTGGACATGGAATCTGGGCCGGATTCACAGCCTTTTCGTGCTGGGCCCAGGTGGCGCGGTCCGCTTCAAATGATACCTGCTCAAACCTGGGCCTTGGTCTTGTCCCGAACGGCGGTGTTGATCACCATCACGAGCAGGCTGGGCCCAGTCGCGACTCACGTGCGGATCGTTTGCCAAACGAGCACCGGGCTGCCGACGTCATGCGCAGGGAGTCGACTTAACAGCCACGGGTGACTCCCACACGGCCATTGCTGTAGAAACCACTGCATGGCTATTCTCCACGTATTTATTTCACCTATGAAATCCCGTAGCGTGCGGACATAAGTGACCAACACCAAGATTTACGTAAGGTGGCAATGGTGGGAGCGGAGATAAGACGTCATTACTAGCACTCGTGCTCGACCAGGACTAGTCACGACAACACGGCCCCGAGCCGGACTCAGCTATTTGCCCGACCCCACGTGTGCTGCGGGACGCTCTCGGCCGGCGCCCTTCCACACATGCCCTTCTCTACGTCGGCCACAGCAAGCCTGCATAAACACATCCTATCTCCAGCATCCGCCGTCAGACCAAAACGAACTTCTCAGAGCACGACAAAGGCGCAAACTACAGAGGGCCGCTCAGCGCACGCCACCCTCGCCTCTGGACACTTCGCCCCCGCCCAGCTTGACTCACATACGACGACCGGCCGTTCAGCACCGCGGTGTGCCACGAGCCGCGCCGGGCGGCGGCGGCACCGAGTCCGCGGCCGCCGCCCGGCGCGTCCACGGCCGGCCACGTGACATCAGACTGAGGTGCAGAGCGCAAACCGCGCGAGATCGCGCGCCGCCGCTGACGATGGCTGCGGCGCCGCTGGGGCGGCCCGGTACGCCGGCGCTGCGGCGGGCCGCCGGCGACCCGGCCCCGCCCGTCATCTGCCACGACGATACACTGGGCCCCGGCACCTTGCATCGGAGAACATCAATACCTGGCGGCAATGTAAATCAAACGTACATACAAAAACAACGCATCTTCAGCTCATGCTGTTCTACAGACGGTGAGCACCATTCTCACTAGCGAATCAGTCAGGGCGGCCCATTTTCACGCGGCACAGGCTTTTCCATTACAGCCTCTCTCATTACTGCTATAGCCATCGTTTATGCCACGCGGTTAGCACATGGCTCGCCTCGGTCCATGGGCACTTCAACAATGAACTGATCCAGCGCATTAACGGAACGTTCCCGTTCTGGCATAGTCCAGACACTGGAAAATTTGGCAACCCATTATAGATACACTTGATAAGTTGTTCTAACCAATTCATCACGTTTTTTTACCCCAATTCGTCCAGTCGCTCATTCATAAGCCGCAATTATATCGACTGGGAAACAACTCGCGTATGGCGACGGACGAAACGCCGTGCCTAAACGAGCCTTTCACAACATAGCACAACCATAACTCATACACACTCAGGTTCTCACAGGTCGTGGTCGTCGTAGAATGGGTCCTCGTAATCATAGTATTCCTCACAGCTGCTGTCATACATATCACCGATGTCCCAATCGTCCGGGTCCTGGGCGCTGTAGCTGTCGTCGTCGCTCCAGAGCATGTCATCTATGATGCCACGCATGTGCAGCGGCACGGTGTTGGTATCGACCAGCCGGAGATGGCCGGGCGGCGGCGGTGGCGGCAGCTCCTGCAGGTCCGTCCCTGGCGGCGCACAGTGCGACCCTCGTCAGCCGCGCCGCCCCAACACGTGGTGACACAGACCGGCTGACCGAGCTCACCAGCGCCGCACACTCTCGCACCGGCTGACAGAGCTCACCAGCGCCGCACACTCTCGCACCGGCTGGCAGGGCTCACCAGCGCCGCGCACTCTCGCACCGGCTGGCGGAGACTACCAGCGCCGCACATTCTCACATCGGCTGCGGGGACTGCAAAGCAGCATCGCCGAGGCGTGCGGGGTTCAAATCAGCGCCTCTTAACTTCGCAGTGCGTTCTTCTTCGCTAACGTTGTACGCAGTGTTTCACGTCTGCGGCGAGCGTTTTGGACGTGCGGCGTGCCGGCCACATAGCTGCCGGACTGGACATGACTTGCCCAACTTCTTTTGCTACACATTTTGCTACAGTGTGAATGACGTCAGCTGAGTGGCAAAAATTCGTAGACAAAATGTGACTGCCACCCTTGCTGTACACATTTTCACAGCGGCGCGGTAATGGTTGTAGGATGGAACATAGATAGTGGTAAGAGGGAAATATCAATCATTTCTCAGCTGTCATGTGGTATTTATTCCGTGTTGTTGCGTGATGCATCCACGCAAGGAGAGCACATACCATATAACAGAATGCGAGACTGAGTCTGTCTCTGGGCTGAAGATCATGACATTGTCTCCATGTACAGCGTGAGTCCCTTGACACATGGCCTGTGGTTCACTGAGACGAGGTACAATGGTGGAATCTCCGGTGCATTTTGGTGGTAAGACATTTAAAATTGCACACTTTTCCTTCTCTTTTGCAGTTGGAAATTGGCATCCTAGTGCTTACGGTCCGCTTCAGTACAATACAAATTCCATGGTCCGAGTACTTTGATCCCTCCTGTCTATGCAGCATCACTGGTGTTGGCTAAATAACATTATGCATTAGATGACGCTGGCATAGCGTGTTGTACAAACAAAATGTATAGGGGTAAAATTAATGAAAAATGACGAAGTGCAAATTGCAATTTGCTTAGCACTCGTGGCTCAATGACGGGTCATCACTTCATCACAGCGGGCTTTAGCGGGCTGGACCCCCAGCTGGCCGGGGCGGGCCGGGCTGCGGGCTGACATTTTGGAAAAGGTCGTGTCTCCAGTCTGGAGACGGAGCGAGACGGGAGCAGAGCCGGGCCAGGAACAGGGTCTGAAGGCGAGGCGAAAATGGGCCGGGCCGTGACGGTCGCGGACAGCACCGCAGTCCAGCCAGGCGGAGACGCGTGAAGAGGGCCGGCACCGGGTGTTGCCGGAGGCGGTCACAGCACCGTCGCCACCTACCGCCCACGTAGAGTGTGACGTCACGGCTGTGGGGCAGCTGGCGCGCCAGCTGGTCGACCAGCTCAGCGCCGACGCTCTCCACACAGCTGAGGTCGAGCAGGGTGAGCGCCGGACAGCCGAGCACCAGCCTGCGGGGGGGAGGGGGGGGGGGGGGGGCAGGACGGAGTCAATCGCGCCGTCGCGCCAGTCACGGCCGCATGGCCGTACCGGCAGCGGACGCACACCACACTGGCAGCGCCGCCGACCACACGGCCCACGCCAGCTGGCCGATCGGCTGACTCTCTCAGATGACTCCGTCTGATGCTCCCCACTAGGCCGCGTCAGACGGCCGCTAGCGGAACGATCACACCAACACACCGGGCACCGCTGGCTGAGATCGCACCAATACAATGGGCACCGCTGGCTGAGATCGCACCAATACACCGGGCCCGCCGCTTGAGATCACGCCAACACACCGGGCACCGTGGCTGAGATCGCACCAATACAACTGGGCACCGCCGGCTGAGATCACATCAACACACCGGGCACCGCTGGCCTGAATCACCGCAACACACCCCGGACACCGCTGGCTGAGATCGCATCAACACACCGGACACCGCTGGCTGAGATCGCACCAATACACTGGGCACCGCCGGCTGAGATCACATCAACACACCGGGCACCGCTGGCTGAGATCGCACCAATACACTGGGCACCGCCGGCTGAGATCACATCAACACACCGGGCACCGCTGGCTGAGATCGCACCAATACACTGGGCACCGCCGGCTGAGATCACATCAACACACCGGGCACCGCTGGCTGAGATCGCACCAACACACCGGGCACCGCTGGCTGAGATCGCACCAATACACCGGGCACCGCCGGCTGAGACCACATCAACACACCGGATACCGCTGGCCGAGATCACGCCAACACACCGGACACCCACTGGCTGAGACGCACCAAACACACCGGACACCGCCGGCTGAGACCACATCAACACACCGGATACCGCTGGCCGAGATCACGCCCAACACACTGGACACCGCTGGCTGAAATAACACCAGCATACTGGGGACTGTGGATGAGATCGCACCAACAACCGGGCACCGCTGGCTGAAATAACACCAGATACTGGGGGACTGTTGGATGAGATCGCACCAACACACCGGGCACCGGCGCCCCAGGCACCGTCCGCACAGACGGCAGCTCATCAGTCCACACTCTCACAACCGCTGCCGGCCGAGGCGGCGCATCCGGCTCCCGGACCTCGACCGTCCGTCAGGCCGGCAGACCTCGGACCACACCACCTGCCCGGGCGCTGGCCGGGCGCTAGCCACCCCCGCCCCCACCCCGGACCGGCGGCGGCCACTGACCGGGTGACGCCGGCCGTCGAGAACGCGGCCGGGCCCGAGTGTCCCTCGGCCAGGTGCAGCTCGGTCAGGGCCTTTCCGTGCAGCCGGTCCAGCAACGCGTCGGAGACGGCGCGGACGTAGCTCAGGTCGAGCACGTGTAGCTCTTTGAGCCGGCGCAGCAGCGCCAGACCGTTCTCGGTGGGCAGCGAGCAGCCTGAGAACGGCGGTGGCGCGTCAAGGAGCGACGGAGACGCCGGTCGGCACTATCACATACCAGCGAGGCGCCAGGAGGGTGCAACCGCACCACACACGGCGTCACAAGAAACCACGAGGCATGCCAGGCGCGTGATTGGCTGGATACTAGGTCACATACAGTCACGTTATATACATTGCTGGGACAGGAGCAGACAACTTCAAAACAAAGCACGCGAGGTGACGACGGCAGCTCCGGTACAAACAGGCGAGGGGACGACGGCAGCTCCAGTACAAACAGGCGAGGAGACGACGGCAGCTCCAGTACAGACACGCGAGGAGACGACGGCAGCTCCGGTACAAACAGGCGAGGAGACGACGGCAGCTCCAATACAAACAGGCGAGGGGACGACGGCAGCTCCAGCACAAACAGGCGAGGTGACGACAGCAGCTCGCGTGCAAACAGGCGAGGTGACGACAGCAGCTCGCGTGCAAACACGTCACATCGCGCCGTGACCGTCTGGGCGGGGCTGGACACAGCTCGTTTGAGGCGCGCCGGCCGATGCACTGGCAGCTGTCGAATGTATGCGGACAGGCGCGGCCGGGTGCGGTGCTGCATCACTCGCGGCTGGCAACAGCGCAGTCCAAGTCGGGACAGCAGTGCGCTCATGCGGCGAGCCGTCCTGAACACGCGGCGAACGCGAGTGACTGGCCAGCTGACCAAGCAAGAATCGGCAGCAGGCTAGACGGCTAAGGTCTGTACCCACCGACCCCCTCGCACTGTTCCATGGCAGCACACTCCGCCGACATAGTCCGTCGGCGCGTCGCCGACAGAGTATAGGTGGCGTGCGGTGCGTGCCGTGCCTGACCGCGGCCGGGCGCTGGGCGCGCCGCCACCCACTGACCCTGCATATGGAGCGTGTGCAGCCCGGGCGCCAGGTCGACCAGGTGCAGAAGCGTCGCATCCGTCACGCCGTCCGAGAAGCTGACGTCCAGGATTCGGAGCGCCGGCAGCCCGGCCGGCGGCAGATAAGCCTGCGGCGTCAGTGACAGGCGGCGCGCCGCCAACCGCTCCAGCTGCGCGCAGGCGGCTAGCGCCGCCGCCAGGTCGGCCGCCTCCAGCCGCACCACGCCCGACACGTCCAGCTCGCGCAGCTGCGGACAGTTCGTCAGCTGGCGCAGGCTGGCCGACGTCAGGGCGCCGCAACTCGACACGGACAGCCGCTCCATGCTGGCCGGCAGCAGCGAGAAGCAGCGGCCCGTCACGCGCCCACTCGTCTTCAGGTCGAGCGCGCGCAGACGCGGCAGGTAGCGCAACAGCACCCACACGCTCGACTCGCTGAAGTGATAGTGGGACGGCAGATGGACGAGCTCCAGCCGCGGGCAGGCCACGCACAGCTTCTTCAGGGATTCTTCGTTGATGCAGAAGCCGTCCAGGTCGATCTCCTCCAGGTTGCGGCAGTGCGCGGCTGAAACGGGGCCGGTGTCAGCGGCGGCGGCGCGAGCCCGTCCACAGCGCCACCGCAGTTAGAGCCCGACCGTCCGCGACGGGGCGCAGAGTTCGGGACCTCCACCTCAGACGGAGAGCACGACCGCACTCACACCCAATCCTCTTGCGTTATGGCTCACACTGGGCCCGGCCGCCAGCCATGCTGACTCGGCGAGGGTTCCAAGACTCAGGAACCCTCGCCGAGCCACTAGACGCGCAGTCCGTGGGGTTAGGACATGTCGGCGCGCGGGGACGCACTCCCCACATCCCCCGGCAATCCCTGCCGACCGCTCTACAGCCACACGCGCCAAGGACGCCGCCGACAGCAGCCGACCCACTCACAGACAATGTCGAGCGCCTTCCAGGAGCAGTGGCGCACGTTGCCACCCGTGTGCAGACGGCGCAGCGCCGGCATGCGCTGCAGCAGGCGACGCAGTAAGGGGTCCGTCAGGCGGCGCGCGTCGCCCGCCGCGAAATAGGCACGCAGGTCCAGCTCGTGCCGGCGGGCCAGCAGAGAGCGCAGCGCGGCCTGCCAGCGGCGCGACACTGCCGGCCGGGGGAGGGGACGTCAGCGACATGGCGCCCCGACGCCCGCCGCGGACGGCGGCCTGGCGCCCCGTTTGCACATCTTATTAATGCATATGTCCGCGAGGACCGCGCGCAGCCGAAAAACGCTCCAGCATCGCCGACTGGCTACTGGTCTAATGGAAATAACTGCGAAGAATTTACTAACTTATAGAGCCAGCAGGAATGAGTAGTCAAACCGCTTGGCTGAATTGTCCTTGCTACGTATTGTCGGCACCAGGATCACAACGATATCCAACACCACGCATCAGTTGTACTAAGCTGTCATCGAATCTCTCTGCGGTCCGGTGCACCGCACAACAGCAGACGTGCCGCCCTCCAGGCTGGTCGCCCTCCTCCCGTCGGTCCGCCCACGCGACCCACCTGACTGGGCCGCCATCTGCTCCCGCACGTGCAGCAAGGAGAGAATATGCTGGAGCAGCTCGGCGGGCAGGCGGTCAATGTAGCACGGAGCGGCCGACCGGTCCGCCGCTGCCGCCGCCGCCTCTCTGGAGCGGACGCGGGGCCGCGCCGCCGCGGCGCGAGGCTGCGCCGGCGACACGCGGATCTGGCGGTGCATTACGTACAGGGGTGGCGAGCCGTCGGCGGCCAGCGCCCTGCAACGGAGCGACCGTCAGCGGCGCCGGCGCGACCCGGCGCGGTCGGCCACCGCCGCGTGTACCCACCATACAGCCGCCAGCAGACCAGACCCCAGCCAGCTCGGCACAGCCGTTTAACAGCACTGGGCAAGGCACAGGTCAGCTTGAGGGGTGAACTAAACACCGTCACATCGCCTGACGGGGATGCAATGCGGTCATGCGAGGGCCATCGTGCTGCTCATAACACGATGCGGGTGATGGGTGCCTACTTTTGAGCGCCTGCCTCGTCTTTGAAGGTGATAAATCCAAAGCCTCTGGATTTTCCATTCGCGTGGTTTCTCACTAGATGCACACTAGTTACTTTTCCAAACTGCTCAAACAGGTCCCACAGTCTTGACTTGGAGGCCTGCAACACAGGCGTTAGTGCTGAGAAGGGATCAACAGGCCATACCTTAAAGGAATCCGCAGTCTATTCCTGCAACAAAACTAGACTTAGAAAGCGACGAGCAAGAGTTATACAAGAATACACGATAACACAGTAAGTGTTGCTGTCATATCAGCAGCAACTGATAGCACACTTAAACCCATAGCAATGCATAAAAACATATGAAAGTACACCCAAGGATCCTGACCAATGAACTTGGAATTACAAAAACGCTGTCTATGCACAAGCAAACTATCCTTGCAAAATATCAGAATTCATCACGTCCATTACAATGAGACATTACACATGACAGCAAGAACACAAGATAAATCAAAAATGATCTAACTGACCTGCCATACACCAGGAAGATGCTAATATATTTATGAATATAGCTATACCAAGGATTTACTAAAAGTTAGGCACACAACTTAATTCATACATTCTTAACCGCAACATACCGGGTGCATCTTCTTTACTTGTGACAAGCATCATATTATATATATATATATATATATATATATATATATATATATATATATATATATACACGTGTTGACCAGCCAGCAGTGGTAAAGTGAAGGACAATTTGTTTTATTTTTTATAATTGTTGGTCGCGTCCTTGTTATACATGAATCACCACGCATGATATGCACCAAATAACGCCGAAAATTCAGGATCAAAAGGCACTGGTCAGGTACCTAAACCATAACACGCTAACCTCATTACAGGGCATATGGAGGAAATGTAATGAGATCAGCTACTAAGAGCACAAACTTTAGCCAAATGATAATTAACGATAGCCGGCTCGGGTCGAAGCAGCGCCAAGTTCGGCCGAAGTGCAGCTTTCCGCGATCAATCAGCGGTGACGACATCACCACACCGGCATCGCCGCTCACTCACGCTGAACGGCAGATTGCCCGCGAACACCCTCCTGGCGACGGCGGGCTCGGCGGCGCCGGCGCGCTCGTGCACCGGTAGATCACCGCCGACGGCACCCTCCTGCTCCGCCCCGGCCCGCTTGTCCTCGGCGGCATTCTCAGCGAGAGCGGCGGTGGCGGCCGCCGCGGGTCCGTCGCCCTCCACCGACAGCACCTCGTCGACGGGCGACTGGGCGGCGGCGGCGGCGGCGGCGGCACTCGGCGGCGAACGGCGCCGGAAGCTCATCGGTGAGCCGATCGAGAACCGCGCCGGCCCCTCCTGTCCGGTGACACGGAGCCGTCAGTGGGGGAGGGGGAGCGACAGGCAGCGGGCGAGAGGGGCCGAATGTCAGGAGCGCTCACACGCAGCACCTGTCTCAGGATATGGCGCAGCACACGAACATAGCGTGGAGCAAATCAATCGCTCCGCATGATCCAGCATGAATCGCCAGTGTAAGGCTGCCTGTCACCAACTGAAGTTAAGGTAAACTGACATCGGTAAGGCCATTTCTCTAGCCCCTGTCCGCGTTACTCGATCCGAGGCCCACTGCGCTGACGTCACGCCCCGGGGTCCCAGTGCACTGTCAGCTGACTGGGACCCCGCTGCGGGCCCGCCGGCCGCCGGTCGTGCACGCCTCACCTGGTCCAAGCTGAGGTCACCCAGACCGCCGAGCTCGGCCAGGCCGCCACCGATGGCAATGCCCTGCGCCTCGGTGCGGCTCAACACGGGCAGGCTGAGCTTGCGGCTCTGACCTGCAGCAGGGCGGACCCGGTCAGTATGGCGGCGGGCGGCGGCGTCAGGTCCGGCACGGCAGGACACGGCAGGGCAGGGCACGGCAGGGCGGGGCACGGCAGGGCAGGGCACGGCAGGGCACGGCACGGCAGGGCGGGGCACGGCAGGACACGGTACGGCACGGCACGGCAGGGCAGGGCACGGCAGGGCAGGGCACGGCAGGGCACGGCACGGCAGGGCACGGCAGGGCAGGGCACGGCAGGACACGGTACGGCACGGCACGGCAGGGCAGGGCACGGCAGGACACGGTACGGCACGGCACGACAGGGCAGGGCACGGCAGGGCAGGGCACGGCAGGACACGGTACGGCACGGCACGGCAGGGCAGGGCAGGGCACGGCGGGGCACGGCGGGGCACGGCAGGGCACGGCAGGGCGGGGCACGGCGGGGCAGGGCAGGGCACGGCACGGCACGGCACGGCAGGGCACGGCACGGCACGGCAGGGCAGGGCAGGGCAGGGCAAGGCACGGCAGGGCAAGGCAGGGTAGGGCAGGGCAGGGCAGGGCAGGGCAGTGCAGGACAGGGCAGGGCAGGGCAAGGCAAGGTAGGGCAGGGCACAACAGGATACGGCAGGACAAAGCGGGGCAGAGCACTCACCGCGCAGACGGCGCTCCAGGCCGGCGCGGCCGCAGATGACGCCGTCGCTGGCGTCGCACTGCAGAGCGTTCAGGCCCAGCTGTGAGCCAGTCAGGTGCAGCCGCGAGAGGCGCGCCGACGAGCCAAGTGCGATCCGCTGCCGGGCCGGCCGCCGCGGCAACGCCAACATGACCCGGGCGCACGGCCGCCCGCCTGCGACGCATGCCGCCCGATGTCAGCCCGACAGCCAGCCCGCCATCCTGCTGCATACAAGGCTGCTTCCAACCAGCCGGCGTTTTGCAAATCGCCCGTCTGACCTCTATACTTTACGGATGATTGTGACCCTGGATCAGGTCAAAGACCACCAAAAACGCCAAAATCACCCAAATTGACTGCAGGCAACTGCATTTGTCGAGCCCATGAACCAGTCGGCACAAAAATTCACCAGTTCATGCACCATTGTTGATAACGTACATTTTCAAGATGGTGGCCTTGGGTCAAGTCAATAGTTACTACAACTCATCAAACTGACGAAAAACCCTTCACGGACTACCCGATGCTACAAGTCTATGGGAATGATCACCACAAAATCTTAAACAGTTGATGCTCTATAGTCGATGTTCGATCTTGTCCAAATGGCGGTGAGCTTTGGTCAAGTCAAAAGTCACCAAAACTTCCCCAAACCAACAAAATAGGCTGCAGACAACCACATGATCCGAGCCTACGGGACCGTTCGATACGAAATCTTTCCCAATCGATATAACACGGTTGACACACTATCCTTTCTATAAGGTAGTGACCTTGGATCGGGCCAAAGGTCACCAAAAATTATAATACCGGAAAGCTCAGTTTACAGACCACCCCATGGCGCATCGACTGGTGAAGGTTTTGTGGTAATCGGTCCCATAGGCCCGGAGCATGGGGTTGTCCGCGGTGATTTTTGTCGGTTTGGGGAGCTGGTGCATTCCGGGACAACACGACCCACAAATAAAAATTTTATACCATCATTACTCAAACAAAAAATAGATAAAACTGCGTTAACGAGGCAGTCTGAGGCTCTGAAAACGTCTATGCCGCCAACAGTAGACCTCGCCGTCCAACGATCAACGAATTTCAGTCCTTGGACAGTTTTGAGAGGTCATGTTGCAGACTCTTTGATGGTTCGTAACTTGCAGTGAAACGATTCAAACCTGTAAAACTGTACATCAATAAGCTCACAATGATGTAAGCAAACTTTTGGTAATCTCAAAGTTTTCCATTTTCTGAAATTTACAGTTCGTGGCCTCAAACTTTTCTTACATGGCATCTTGACATTTGGTATACTAGAATAAATCTTTGCTTTACTGGAGGTCCAACATACTTCATTCCATTATCTTTCCATAAAACATCAAAAATGGGTTTACCTATTAATTACTTTTTTGAGCCTCGCAAAGGTGCACATAGGTGTCGCTTCGCACGCTATCTCCACATATCTATGAATTGAATAGAGATTTTGACATGCGGCCAACGCCAGTCCATTTTATCCTTGATCCTCAGCAATGAATTCAAGTGAAACTTCACAGCCCGAGGTCCAGGTCAAGGGCATATTCCAGGTGAAACGTCGATAAATTGATTTTGCAAGCATTTTGTTGAGGTAAATTTGAAAGGCTGCTCGATGGCTGTATAGGGCAGAAAATGTGAGCAGAAACACCCCATTCCCGCACCAGTGTCGCCACGGAGGTTGGACAGTGAGGAATGGGGTCGGTCTCGGCACGCCCACCTTAGGTCACGTTCCGCGGACAAATAGTAAAGGGCTGCGAATGTGGACACCGACCGTCGTGTCGGAGAGATGACGAGCCGTTCTCGAACAAAGGGAAATGCGTGGCCGTGGTTATATGGTCACCCGACTGTGAGGTGTTAAAAACAGCAGACAAGGAGCAGCGCTTGGCACTTGCGAGGTGCCGCGCCAGTCGCATTTTTGCTGTGACCCTTACTTGCTGCACAGGAAGAAAATAGTGAAACAATTGGTAGAACCATCCGATCACTTCACCCTGAATGAGTGTGAATGTGCCACGTGTGATAGAGTGATAGATTCCACCCATAGAGTAGTGAATGAGCCACGACTTACAGCTGGTGACACGATGCATAAATTGTCGGGTAAGGCTAACAAAGGACCCGAACAGCCTGCCAGCGCTGGAAGGAAGCAGCTCAAGTTCTGTCACGGCTCAAACAAGTGATTCAAGCAAAGGCGATGCCGAATCAATTGGATCAGTTGGCTGGTCTTTGGAAGCCGATGTGAGGTGGCAATATTGTGAGTCAGTGATGCTGTTTATAGATGTCACCACTGGTCAGTGCAAGCAAGTGCTTCATATTGTCTATTTACTTGTAACTGGTCTCAAGTAACATAACACAGCAGCTTTTGGGCTGCAGGCTGTTCGGGTCCTTTGTTAGCCTTACCCGACAATTCATGCACCATGTCACCAGCTGTAAGTCATGGCTCATTCATACTCAGGATGACATGATCAGGATGGATTCTATCAATTGTTTCACTATTTTCTTCCTGTGCAGCAAGTAACGGTCAGCAAGAAAATGCGATTGGCGCGGCATCTCGCAAATTCCGAAGCGCTGCTCCTTGTCTGCTGTTCCCAACACCTCACAGTCAGGGTCGCCATACAGCCACTGCCGCGCATTTCCCTTTGTTCGAGAACGGCTCGTCATCTCTCCGACACGACAGGTCGGTGTTTCATATTCGCAGCCCTTTACTATTTGTCCGCGGAACGTGACCTAAGGTGGGCGTGGCGAGACCGACCCCATCCTCACTGTCCAACCTCCGTGGCGACACTGGTGCGCGAATGGGATGTTTCTGCTCACATTTTCTAAGTCCTATACAGCCATCAGACAGTTATGCAAATTTGCCTCAACATGCCAGCAAAATCAATTTATCGACGTTTCACCTGGAATATGACCTTGACCTGGACCTGGGGTTATGGAGTCTTACTTGCATTGATTGCTTAGAGTCAAGTATAGCATTGATGGGCTTTAACCGCATGTCAGTATCTTTATTCAATTCACAGGCATGAGGAGATAGCGTTTGAGGCGTCGCCTATACGCACTTTTGCGAGGCTCAAAAAAGTAAGCCATAGGCAGAACCCATTTTTTAGATTTTTAAAGAAATTTGAATGCATAAAATGTGTTAAATCTTCAATAAAGAACCAATATTTTAGCATGCCAAAGGTCAGAATAGGTCATGTAATAAAATGTCACAAGGTCACAAACCTTCAAATTTCAAAAAAGAACATTTTCAGATTGCCAAAGGCTTATTTATATCATTGCAAGTATATACTGGCATTATAGACATCAAGATGTATAGTTTTATGGGTCTGAACCTGTTCCAATATAAGTTATGGACCATCAAAAAGGGCCTGCAGCATGACCTCTCAAAACTGCCTGAGGCTAAAACTGAGTGACCCTTACTCAGAAAGGTCTTATATTTGCACAGGCATGTTAAGGGTCCCAAATCATCTTACAGACTGATCTCCTGCTATTTTTCCGAAACAAGGAAGTGCACTGGCTGTGGTTGAGCTGTCCTGGAATTTCCCAGGCCAAGTGACTGTTGATCTGACCCAGTCACCATCCTTCTGAAGAGCATGGATTTCCAACCATTATGCATCAATTGGTAATGGTATCATGCTGATTGGTTTCATACACTGAATGGAAAATTCACAAAATGTTCACTGCATGTTCAAGTGGACCTCTGCATGTCCTTTTTAATGGGTCTTGCATGCCTGCAACGCTTCCAAAGAATGGAGAGAAGCTAAGATAATTCCACTTCCCCAAAAGGACATAGAAAAGACCTGAGGAAGCTACCAGCCAGGTTACCTGACTTTCAACTGCCTGTAAAATTTCAGGCTTTGTGGTCAAGAACCATCTGCTGGACTACCTGATCAAAAACAAACTAATGGCTGAAATTCAGTACAGTTTTCATCCTGAAGTTCCTACATATCTCCACTAGCCAGTCATTGATTTTTGGGCAAAGGCCCTTCACCAACATTCTATAATCCATCTGTGGCTTCAAAATTGTGCATTTGTATTATATACCTTGATTGTAAGAAGGTACTTGAAAGGGTACCACACAAACATTTAATCTCCAGGCTCAAGAATATTGGAGGATTAAAGAAGTTTAAGAAGATTAAAGAAGTAAAGAAGCACTGCATTGGGGAGAAGTTTTTCTGACTAAAAGGAGGCAGAAGGTGGTCATGGAAGGCCAGAATTCAAAGTGGGTTCAAATGACTAGTGGTGTCCCTCAGAGTAAGGTATGGAATGGTATGGTATGGTACCTGTTGCTGATCTACATTTATACAGACCAACTGAAGAGCTGCTTCATGATGTTTTTGGATAACATGAATGTTCACCAGAGAAAAGCTGACCATTGTGAAGGACAGGTTCTGCAGAAAGACATGCTCAACCTTGACTGCTGGATTTGAAAAATGGTGGATGCCCTTTAACAAATGTGTGGTAATAGACCTGAAACTGCTTAGCCTGACATTCCATTATAAGGAGAGCACCAGGCTTAAGAGAGTTTAAGGTGAACTAGACTGAGGTCCATGGATTAATAAAGGCATTTCTTACCATTGCACAATGAATTATCATGAACACAAAGTATATGAAGCCACTAGACCCTTGGGTCTTCTTAAAGTAGCACACATGGCACAGTGGCAAAGTAGCTGTCCATGCTGTTAAAACATTTATTCATCCACTTCTGGAATGGATGAACAAATGGTCCCATCCTCCTGTTTAGGGACCCTTACTGTGTGGAGCTCATGGTGTTGTGGAGCATGTCCAGAGATGTGCCACCAAACTTAATGCAGGAATCTGTCCCTAAACTATGAACAGCACTGTACTATAGGACCTCAGTGGTGAAATCATCCTAGCCTGTCAGATAGAAACTCACAAGCTGGATATCAGTACAGAAGCTTTCATCAAAACAGATATTTCCAGCCAAACTTACAGATGCCTGCTGCAGCTGCAGCAGACTTGTCTGCACTGTGCAGAGACAGAACTCAGGGTCAGCTTACTCAGGACCATCATGTGTGGTGTGCCTCCATCACCTTCCAACCTAACCTAGCCTTAGTGGAAAACTAAGCTTATGGTGATGCTCATGATGCCCAATCAAATGTCTGCAAGTAGTTACAGCTTAAGACAAAGCATTATGTTCTGCAACCAGAAAAAATACAATTTCCCCATGCATGGTATCATAGCAACATTTTGGGGCAGCACTTCAATGAAATAGAGAACAATATTTTACCATATAAAAATTGCAACAGACAGCACTTTACTCTACATGCCACATAAGACAATGTGCCCTGCTTCTACCAAAAAACAAAAGAAAATTCCCTTTGCTGATGTTTGATGCACATCCTAGAACAATACCCAAGTAATGCTTTGATGAAATACAGATGATTAGCAACATGATAATAATGTAAACATTGTAAAAAGACAACATTTGATTTTTCAGCCAACCAAAATGTTTTTGCTCCAATATTCGTCACAATTTTGGGTAATATAACTAGCTAGAATCTTTATTCCCATATCCAGCTTTCAGTGGTCGCAAACCGTTTCGATGCCTTCAAAAACCGAGAAAGGAGTCCGCAACATATGAATAAGGCAGTACAGCTGTGGGGCCAGTCACTTTTGCTTTGGCTACATCTTTGAACTAAAGTAACTACATTTGCTTGTAGAGGAAGCACCAAAAACTCTTATCCATCAGCATTTAGTACAAACCTCACGGATGTGAAGTCAATTGAGCGCACGGGCGAGCCGATCTAGGCCCGTCAAATAGAAGTAAACCTCTCTAGCGATTCTCACCTCATGTTCTTCGTTATCGTGACGTCACTGGAGCAAAGGCTTCAATGCGCGGTGGAGTGCTAGATGTCTGATGCAATGTTAAGAGGTCACTGCAACATGGGAATGTTGGTGGAAATGATGAAAAAACGCTAGCAGAATATGCGTAGTCGCAAGTGGCAGACCAGCAATTCAATTACGTACAAATGTATGGCAAATGTGATGATATGCTTTGCAAGCCTTTAAGATGCAATAGTATAAAAAGTGAAAGCGTAGCCACGAGACCCATTCGCAATAGGGCGTAATGAGCATCGTGCTGTCTACTCTCTAACACGAACAACTGATAGAGGTAGATGTATGAAACCAGCGAGCCGATGGTGTAGAAATTAAAGACGAGCATGATGATGTGCGCGGCAACCCTAAGCGGCGGGTCATTGCAGTGTACTTCGATCTTCTTATCACCTTGTACCGCGTCGTTGTGCCGCCACCGGTGTTGCGCGTGAGTGGCAAGCGTGGCCAGACTGTCGTGTACTGCAGTCAGGGGCGGCGCCACCAGTTTTTGAGGGGGGGGGGGGGGCAGGATTTTCCAGGGGACTTCCTGGGAGGTGCCGTATTTAACAGAAGGGACACTGGAAGCAGGTGTCCCCTGGTATCGGAGAGCAGTGAAACAAAGCGATATGTATCGGTTAAAAGGGAAGCTGTTATCGCGACCCTGTAGTAAGACTAGTTATTGCCGTTTAGCGATGCCTGGATGAAGCGAGGAGCTTGTCGCATTTATCAGTTTCCGCGTTTTGCAAGATGCATTGCAGCCAGAATTTTAACATATCCATCCCTGATAGCAGTCATGGGCAGCGTTGGCGTGATGCACTCAAGTTTTTGCAGGCATGGACTTTTGCTAAAAACGTTCTCTGTAGGAAGTTTTGTTGTGCAAAAACTTTGTCCGCAGCCAAATCGTTTAAGGGAATGTTTCACATTAGATGTTGAGGCAATCATAAACATTGCCATCGTCGTTCGAGATGAGGTAAGCATCATCGTGCGCAGCTTTGTCTGCAGCAATTTAATCGCGTTAATATGTTGCCTGTACAAGTTTGTGAGCAGCAATTTCGTGGTGTAAAAGTTAGTTTCCGTAACAGTTCTGCCTCGTAGGAGCCATTTCGGGTAGGAGTTTTATCTGAAGGACTCGCGACCTGGAATTTATGCCGGAGCAGTTGTCCGCGACATTTTTTTCACGTGGAGCTGTCCCCGGCGGCAGGGCACAGCCCGAGGCAGGTTTTACAACTTGCACAAAAGCTGAAGGACACTGGTCGAAATGAAGTGCAGATCTCGACAACCCCACATCGTGACAGCGCAGGACTATTGGCCTTGACCAACGTGAACACGGAGTCATGTTGGCAGACCTAGATCGATGTGTACTGACAAGTTCGCGCTATCGCGTGCAAGTTACGGATCAGCCACTTTATATGCTCAATGCAATAAGTTGTTGTGAATAACTCAAAAGATCATTAGTTATCACCGCATCCTTTTTGAACATCATCAACGTTACAAAATGAATAATAACCTCCAATTTTACCGAATACATTCCATATTGCAAACGCACCACTATGTACTACAGTTCAAAGGTAACTCTATCTGAATCACGAACAGATCAGCGGAATGTTTATACAGTTGCACACTTTGCTGTTAGATACAAATAAGCAACATATTCATTCAAAAGGCCGGCTGCACAAACGTATCTGTGTAATATATCCTGCCTTTCCCACGGAATCCAAGTGGTTCGTGTTGTTTCACTCAGGTTTCTGAGCCGGGGATGATTTATAACGTCAATGCCATTTCCAGAGATGTATTGAAAGATTTATCATGAAGTGATCAACCGCGATTTCTTGTGTTCCCCTAGCGACAACGTCACAGAAATGGAAATCACGACTGCAAAAAAGTTACCAAAAAGGGCATATCTTAACACAAACTCGGTACACTGGAGCGCAATCACGCTAGATCAGCCCACTCAGCCATTTACGTGACATCACGCTGCAACACTCACAAGATCATTTTTCACGCATGCTAACCATACACATGAACAACTCAGTTTGTTTCCACCATGCTCATTTCGTCCTTGAGTTTTGCAAGTTCCCTCTCCAGATTCACACAGGCTTGTTCAATTTCATAGTTTTTACTGACAAGACCCACCCACGTGGTTTCAAGCCTTCTCAGTTCACCACCTGCAGACTGTTGTGACTGTTTTCTCTTCCAGTTAATTTCTTGGATGTTCTTCTTCACATCCTGAAGCTGTTTTTGAGCATCTGAGGCCATCTTCACAAGAACTTCATTGTAGATCTTCCACGCCTCACAGCCATGGTCCATCATCAGCTCCAAATTCTCAATTCGAGTTGCTTGATGTTCCAGTTGAGCCATGGAGTTGTCCACACACTCTGTCCAAGCACTTATGTCAGTCATTTTTCCTGACGGTGGAGTTGGTAGCTCGTAACGCTTCATGCTGAGCATTTCCATTGGTTGACGAGCTGCCAGTCTATCAAATTCTGCACGCATGACATCAGTTTCATACTGGGTCAAGCTCAGAGATGGCAAGTGGTCCAGGTAATTCTTTGTGGGCCGATAGCGACGCGTTTCTTCTTCAACAAGGGCGAGAGCAGCTTCTCTCACTCCTGCTTCCTCATATCCTTGATCGATGTATGGCAAGGCATCCACTACAACTTCCCCAGCCATTTTCAAGGTGACAAGCTGGGTAGCGTTTGCTGGAAATAAATTCATCAGTCAGTCTTCAGATGCAGCCCAGTTCACATGGAAATGAAAACAAAAATGCGAGGTGTTCGCTTTGTCAAACAGTACATACACTTGCCATCCCTGTCCCACCTAACCAATGGTCCTGAAACAACTGTGGCATACAGAGTGTGTGACAGCCCGTGATTGGAGTACCCGATGTGTGGGCGATTTATGATGCACTTAATACCAGATTTAGTGCGAAGATTGGTTAAACCTCCAAGTAGCATTAAATGGAATATTCCGCACTTGAAGGTATTGAAGAAGACATGGGGTATGATGAAATGGGCTCACTTATAACTATTGGTATACTTTTTAATTGGAAAAACTCCCCAAAACAACGTAATTTTTCTGTTTAGTAAAATATGTTTCTCAACATGTCACTGTTTGATTGCGTCATCGTAGCTTGCCCAACATTCACTGAGAGCCAAATGACAGCTGTTATATATGGAAATCGTGCTCGCGGACGTCAGATGTCAAGAACCCGGCAATCATGTTTTTCTTGGCCTTAATGGCCGCGTGACCAACGGAATGACCGACGGATGCCTGAAAGACTTGAAAAAGTCCCCCAAAATAGTCTGCGCACCTCCGCGGGTGTGTAGCCCATAAACTAGAGGCGTTTAGGTCTTACCACGCGCTCGGGTGGCCGGTTGAATACCCTTTGCTCGGACGGGAGGGGGACAATCTGACCCCTGATACAGCAGGATACTGAGATCGCTAGTGACGCGAAATTCACGACGAACGTTGACATGTATGTAAATTCACCACGTCAAAGCTTGAGGTTCCTAGGTCGTGACCTTGGCGTCAAACAAGGTTAAATATGATCGAACTCCAGATTGGTGTGCAAAGTGCCCCCAGACATCCACATGCAACCGCCATGAATCTAGATACCTATTCTAAGCAGCAGGTTAATGATGTCCACTTAAGGTCAGTGACCTTGTTTCACGTTTAGAAGGCCAAGGTTACCAAAAGACTATGAAATTGCTCTTATTTTGCCTTCAAATAAGCATTAGGGATGAATCCCAGGTAGTATATTCACAAAAAAACAAAATGTTGGACTGGGTCATTTTAGGTGTGTGACCCAAGCTGAGCTTTGCAAAGTCCATAGAACATGCCTGTTGCGGCCCCTGTCATTAGGATATTTGAAATGAGCACCAAATACTATGCCATAAAGTAAGTTTTCACGTAAAAAGCGAATTAGTTTTGACCTTGCTCTGACCTTCATACCCAACCATTGGGCAACAAAACTTGTTGTTATTCTAACTTCGGTTGGTTTATTGCCTCGGAAACTACCTCGGAGATGTATGGTTCCATTTAACACCCTGCTGTCGCATCCGATTGAACGATTCCCACGTAATGACCTTCGCTCACAGTCACAGCCTTACTTTGACCTGCGATAGGTCACCGACCCTGTAAGGTACATATATTTATTTAGCCCAAAATTTCTGCTTTTCAAATGCCTACAGCTTTGCAAAGTTTGGCAGCAGCTTCGCCGCATCATTCGGAAGTCATTCCGGAAAAGCCTTTGGGGGTCAAATTGAACCCCACCGCCCAACCATGCGTTAAGGCCAGGGCTGTGAACTGCACATGATATTCAAGATGGCTATTTCAGTTCAAAATTCCATCTAAATGTGGAACACTCCCTTTAAGTTGACTTGTGTTTCGTTCAGTTGTCAGTATGTCATAACAAAATGATCACACTAATATGCTTACAATTGCAATCATAATTACCAGTTTCAAAGCATTACCTGCCAAACATGCACACACAGGCAAATGCTTATATCTAAACCACCCAAAATGGTACAGTCAGGCCCATCTAAAACGGCAGTGCAACAAACATGCTGGATATGATCCAACAGATGAAACTACTGGATACAGTCTGCCAGACAGCTAACCAGGCTGAAAGGCAGCTTGATTTTTGGTTAGAGTTGTCTATTTGTACATTAATTCATTTAGAGCACACAGCCAGCCAGGCTTGAATAACCCATTTTGTACTAAGCTTGCCTGGTTGCATGGCAACCCACTTATACCTTTGATAAGGATGTTTAAATTATTTGTATACTTATCTATTGTCCATGCCATATAGCAGGGGCACAGCCATGGGTATTCATTGATCTTAAGCCTCCAGTCAGAATCTGAGGCAATATTTGTCACCATGATACTATGGTATGCAATTATGCAATGTGGTAATCAACAAAATTATGCAGGCTTACATCTCACTCACCACCATGAAAAAAGTCTTGCAATACCTAACAATAGTAATTTAGTGGCAAAGTTAGTGGATTGGTGAGCACATGTGTATGGTGCAAAGCTGATGCAACTGCTTCTGGCATCAAGAGCATCCAACATGGATAGCCCACTGGCACATAAGATACTGTGCCTGTTAAAATTTATGGTGTCTAAGATCTGTTTGCAGTACATGGGTAGGGTAAATATAGCTGGCATTTAGTTCTAAATAGTCCTAGGCTCCATTGTTAACTCTGTTGACAGCCAGTCACTTCAGCCTGGCTGATAAATCACAAACAAACCCATATATTTGGTAGCAGGGGTACTACTACAATACTCTTCCTAGGCAGATGCATATTTATGTGGCATTCTTGTGCTTGGCTGGATGTGAAGTAGGAACTGACTCCTAGTCAAACAGACTCTGTGTGGACCAAGGAGAAATTCATGGCTTTTTTACTGGGGTTAGCCTATATCAGTGAGCTGACTCAGAAAAACTAAAGGTCTGTTCATGGTGTCCAATTACAAACAGATTTTAGACATAGGCAAGGTAGGTTAGGCCAAACAAAACCAAATGGATATAACCACATTTTAATAAGATTAATAACTATAAGCTTCTGGAAACAGCATATGCCAGGCTGTCTATTCACCATTTATTACCAGAACCTAATGGCAGAGCCCAATGAAGCTGATTTTAGAACAGAGCTATATTCCTTGAGTCAGAGTCAGACACCCAGAAATTGCACCACTCAAAGTCTGAGTCAGTGCTAAACCCATGACTCATTTCTGGATGCACAAAATTCATACCACCATGCTCAAATGAAGCAACAGTCCAGTATGTGGTGAAATGTGGCAAGTACAGTAACACTCCAGAAAAACAAGGTTGCAATCATCACTACCTAACCACCATTTTTACAAATAAATGTACTGATTGCAAGATGTGTGTAAGGCCTGTGCTTCCAAGTACATAGTGAGTTTGGAGATGCAAGCCATGCAAGCAGTAAGCTGGAGAATACTTGCTAAATATAGCACAAGAAAAGTGGATGGTCTAGTATTAAAATCTGACAGGCCAGTCAGTTAGCACTTTAGTATAAACTACAAATAAGTGCACCATTAAATTAAAAGGAAACTGTGGCAAGAATTTAAGCATATACCATGATCACATTTCCACCTTTATATACAAGTAGAAATTGGTTGGTGGTAAGAGGTAAGGTTTCATGGTCAGTGTATTAACAAAAAATGTGTATGGGTAACAGGTGACTGACAGTGTCATTATGCCCTAAGGAAGTAAGAACAAGACCAAAAAATCCCATGACTGCAGAGAATATGAACATGACTGGTATAACAGTGCCATATCAGCAACAATTTCGGAGCATGCAAGCCCAATGCTCAATTTGATGCAAGGTTGCCACCAATCTCATAGCATGGAGCCAATGTTTCAAGGGAACTTGATGTTGCATAAGAAGTTACAGGCAAACATATCCCGCAAACACTTTACACAAAAATAAGCTTCTAGCTTAACACAATTTGGCCCCACCAGAGTGCAAGGCTCACCGCACTGATATCGCAAAGGCGTCCGGCGCCACGGCTGGAGTTTTCAAAGATTGAGCTGAGAATGCTTACCCTGGATCTGAAGATACTTCGGAGCACAGCCGCACGCACACAAAGCAGCGTTTAAGAACCGGGGCGTGAGAGCCCTCCGTTCAACGCCCAACAGCCAACGTTTGCTTTGCTACGTACAGATTGCCTGTTATAGGTCCGCGGCTCAACTCAAGCGTGCGATGAATAAAGGACATTTCGAAGTCACGTTCGCGTCATGGTTGGCGTTTCGTGGCTACTAAATTCGAGTGTGCTTTTAACTTAACTTGGGTAAGGGGATGATTTATTGGTTATCTAGTCATATGGAGAGGCTTATTACAAAATTGTCTCTCTGTTTTTTTTCTACGATCTGTTCCACTTTATCTTACTTTCAGGTATTTTCACTTGCTTTGTGTTACTCATTTTAGCAGAAGTACTGCCAGATCTGGTAGAATAGCTGGCATTCTTTCCATGGGTGATGCTGTGCTCATATTGACTAGTTTCACTGACTACAAGAAGCAAAGGTGTAGTTTCCTATCCTGTTGAAAGGAGGAAAGTTATTTCATTGCGGAAGTCATCATTGCTATTAACATCCTGGCTCCTGGGGATTCCAAAGCTAAGACAAAGGGCAATTTGTGCGACATTACAACCTATTTAATGATCATGGGAGATTACAATTATGATCTCGATACTAAGATGAGCACTCAATATGGGCGCAACGATACTATTGATTTTCATTCAAACATTTGAGAGAATCCTATTACAGACTATCCTTATCGAGAATAACGACTTTGCGAGGCAGCCTGTTTGGACATCATGGTCTAGAAAAGAGGCCTCTCGACACAAAAAACGCTCTTCCACATCCAGAGCAAGTGTCTCCTGGGGGTAAGAAGCGACATAGTGCTGTCACAAAGCCTTGATATCGTAATTCATAATGGAGTATAATTAAAATTTGCATCCTTATTGTCTCTTAACAGTGCTGCAGTAGCGCTATCGAGTGTCATAAAGATGCACGGGGTCCTGAAGGTCTCACGGAGAATGCTTTTGAAATATGTCCTAAAGATGGGAACTCTCTTTAAAGAGTATGACATGGGTCTGAGTACACAAGTGTGACAGCATGCTATGTATTGAACCTGACCTGCTCCTTCAACGATAATAAAAAGATCAATGAGATCGATTTAATGAAACACATGACAAACTTCTCACGTTATCATTTACTCTAAAACTCCATCTATTTTTATGTACGCACGACATATAATGATGCCGAGAGCGTGGCAATTCCAATGGTTTGGTAGTTTGACGCAAGTTTTTCTTGTTATGTGGCTTGGCATGGCGAATTCCAGATCTGTTTTCTCCAATTCAGCATCTGGATTTTAAAATGCACTGTCACATTTGGTTGTCGCATCTGAATGGGAAGCTGCCAAATTCTACTAGAACATGATCTACTTGGGTAGGAGGAGACATTCTACCGTTTCCCCGCTTGGAGTTCGGGGAGAGCGCAAAGCCGAGTCGATACTGGCGCAAGCGACGCACACGTAAAAACCGACCCAGTGGAGGGTGCCGGCGGAGTATTATTGTGAATGTAGGCGTATGTGCCGTAGACTGTTGCTTAGTGAGGCGCCACGTGGGAAAGCTGCGAGATTATTTCGTGTGTAGTGAGAACGTGGCGAATGTAGTGGAAAGTTTGCGTGTTGTATCTTTCCATTTTTGTGGAGTTCCGCTTCATGTGAATGAAGAGGACATCAAGTGCAAAAGGGTACGCTCAAAACATCGAACAAAAAGAAATTGTGATCTTCTAGTTCAAGAAGTATACTTCTGCAGGCACAATGCCGGTGTTTCATACTAAAACCATTGAGAGTATTTTGGAGCCAGTCGCACAGCAGGTAAGTTGCTTTGGATCAACCCATGCTGAATGTGAGTTACATGGTGTTTGGCATCATTGCTGCATGGTTGCACATGGTGATTGCATCATAGGATATATGGGCTCGAACAGAGCAGGGGTCCACATGTCTCGGGTGTTGTATCAGTTTAACGTAGGCTGTGTAGGGATAATTATGTGGAAGGAATGAGATTGGAAAATGGGTTTCACCCCAACACTTTGGGACATCCCTGGGCCCCTGGATTGTAAAGGTACTTGCTCACCACACTTACTATGCAGTAATGGCCATGGTCAACAGGAGGTATCAGGCTTCTGATTCTGGTGTGTGTAGACATTAGAAGACCCTCCCACCTTGACCCATTTTGATAGGTACAGTTGCAGTCATAAATTATCTTCAATTCCTTAGTTTATGTGATGGGTGGCATTTTCTGGTTATGAAAATTTTGGTAGGGTAGTGGACAGGGTAAGGACTATAGGTGTTCTACCTGTGTTAATATGTCTGTGCAATGTTTTTTATTGTTTGACCAGGTGCAGAACAACCACCATGTAGATGCATTTAACAAGATAAACATAATGTGAAGGCCGTGTGCATCCTATTGTTTATCAATTGCCTCACTTAAATTCTCTGTTATCTGTCAAGTGATGAAGTACCAATATGTCCGTAAGTTTCCTGCTGGAAAAGAAGAATAGCCCATATTAAAGAACTTAAAAATTGCCACCAGTCATGTCACATACAGCTTCACTACAATGCTCCATCATGCCTCAAACAGCTCCACTACCATTCTCCAGTTTTAGGAACCAAAAACCAGTGCTTCACTTGCATCCCAGGTTGCAGAAACACACCTTATTTTTGTATAAGCTGGAACATGTGCTCAACAGGCAGTCCTCGCCAAATGTCATGGTTTATCACTGATTTATGCAATGCAATTTACCCACATGCTTCATAGGGGCCTGTCCTCCGAGCAGGGGCATCCAGACCTTGTTTGTACCCAAATGTTTCTGATATGGTGAAAAGGCAAAGTATTATTTTGTTACTGAGAGGAGATCCCATGGCTACAACATTATACAGGTTCCCAGCCATGTCCACATGTACTCTTATGCTGGAGCCCTCCAGTTTATCACAGTGAGGTCATGAAATGTTACATCCCCATACTTAGTGGCTTAGAGAGCATTCAGGATCCACATACCTGAGTTGGATGAGGCTTGAGCCGGATCTTTTGATGTGCGGCCTGACACATCATCCACTCCAGAGAGCATGGGAAACTCAATAAGCATTGCCCAAAGCTGTGTGGAGGCTGACCTTTCCCTGTGAAGGAGCTTTTCAAAACCACATACCCTGTTAACTTGGGCAGCCAAGGGTAGTACAAATCTAGACTGGAAGGGATAATCCAGCTGTGAACCATGCATGGGGAGGGCGGCATGGAGAGAGACATCTGCAGGGCCGGAAACTGTGAGGCTGGGTGTGGGGGGGGGGGGGGGGGGGACAGAAGACTGACCAGCGGTGGTAAACGCAGCACAATAATGCCTATGGCGATAAAGGAAAACAGGAACATGAACGCTTGGAACAGGGTGGTGGCAGGTCAGAATAAGCGGTTGGTCAGTTTCAGCGGGCGTGCGATCCGAATTTGTCGATCAGCGTGCCGGCGTTTGGATGGGTCCACCGATAAGCCCAACCGAGACCGGCTCTCGGCTTTGTTCGGATCACGGCCGCCATGTAAAGAGTGTGCATGGCCCTGGACCTGGATGGAGCCGCTAACCGATTAGGTCACGTGATCTAACCAGAGAGTGAGCATGACCCGAGCTAGCTGGAGCCCAGCTGGTGACGTTGTAGGATGAGTCGGCGGCGGAGACAGACGACAGACATGCAGGGTATGGCTTCAAATGAGTTGAAAAGCTTGGTTCTGGAAATGTTTGCCTTGCAATCCGTTGTGTGTCGTCGAAAATAGTGCCTCATTTATTCAGAGAAAAAGAGGGGGGGGGGGGGGGGGCTGTACCGGGCCGTTTCCGCGTCACGTGATCCCGGGTCTGTGGGGCGTCCTGAGCGGCTCAGTGATGAGCTGTGCCCGGCACTGCCCACCCCACCCGGCCAGCCTGGCGGGATGGGAAGGGAAGCCATGCTGGCGTCTGGTGCCGCGTCGTGCGGGACCCTGGCGAGGTCGGCCCGCCAGCCGGCGCATCTGATTGGACGGGACGGGGGCGGAGCCAGTCGGAAACATCGGAGCTGATCGAAGCTGTCACTTCCGCCAACGCGAGTTTTGCTCGTGAAAGATTGTTTGAATAAATACGTAGATTAGTGTCAAAATCATCAGCTCTCGAGCTGGTGCTACACGTCAGTGAAACGTATCAGATGCAGCACACTGCCGGATAACGAGGGACGCTGATGTATTGATACAAATATAAGCCGCAGATATCAAGCTCTTGATCGAAGCTGCTGGAGGCTACGCTATCCAGGGAAAAATTGCAGCGGTCACTCGTGTTACTTGTCTGCCGTCCTTGATCTACATTGTAAAGAGTGAACAGGCGTCTATGGGCCACCTTACTGTCCTGGTTTCACTGTCATTCTCGGAGGGGCGTCGTGTCCCGGATGCACCAAAAGCATTGCTTTGAGGCGCGTTCTGGCCGGGTTCTGGGGACCATGTGCCATGTCACGAAGTATACACCGTCCACGTGCTTTGGCTGTTGGTTACGGCAAAGATTATGCGTAACGTTGCGTACGCTTCTAATCGGTACCTGAACGATCTGGAGACCAGCGTGTCGCGAATGTCTGAAATGCTGTTTGACGAAATGCATGCGAGGGCTAAGGTGTGGGACATAAATTTGAGTCGGCAATTGATAGAATTTGTCATTTGTTTAATGCATGGACATTGATCTCAGTGATATTTTCCCAGGCAACGATTTGCGGTAAGGTAAATTTTAAAACTCATGAACACCAGTAATATCGCGGCAGGCTATGCGGTAGTCTAACGGCCAGAATATACCTGCCTCTGACGTCACATACCATCTATCCCATCGGACAGGGATCCAGCGGCTCCACGGTGTCCACGCCGCTTGAACACTAAGCTGCAGGCCGGGCGCCTCGTCGCCATACTGAGAACAGTTCGCTTTCCGGCCTGTTGCCAGGCCGGGGAGCACGTTTTAACAGCGGTGTCCTGTGTCGGCCGGCTGCGTTCCTTTGCCGTGACGTCTGCCGCCAGCCCGGGTCCCTGGACGTCCGGCCCGAGCGCGGTGTCGGCTCCGGATGTCCCCGCCGGTGCCGGTGACGGCTTGTTCCGCTCGGGCCCGGCCGGCGGCGACGCTCGGGACGCCGGGGTTTCCGCCGAGTCAGGCACGTCCGTCGGCGCGTCGGAAGGGCCGTGTGACGTCACGTCGGCGGCGGCGGTCACGTGACGTCACGGCTGCCGAGGCGGCGCCGACGGCCGGACCTGGCACCCGTGGGACCCGGCTTAGCGGCCGTGGGACTCGGCGTGGCTATCGGGTGGTGTGGCAGCTGGTGCGCCACCTACGGTTTGGGGAGCGGCGGCAGAGCTCCGATGCACGTAGGGACCGCGCCCTGCGGTCACCAGGGACCCCGGCGTCCGCTGAGGGCGGCCTCCGAGTCCGCCGTGACGGAGATCGGTGACGGCGGCGTCGCCGGCGGCGCGGCTGGTGCCCTTCGTTAGCCGGTGTGTCGCTGGGATTGTTTGCCGCGGCCCGGGCCGGTTTTTGTCCTGCTTCTTCCCGGGGTCGTCGAACGGAGTCGTTATTGTGTCCCGATGCCCGGCGGTCGGCGCCGCGCTACTCTGCCCGACAGGCGACCGCGCTCGTGGCGCCGACTCTGGCCTCTGATACGCGGATGCGCATTGCACAGCCTCTGGCTTCTGACAGGGTCACGGCAATGACATCGACAGTGGGGTCTGATGCGGCGCTGCTCGTTGAGCGGATTGTGGCTTCCGATGCGAGTATGACCACGGGGTGGACTGGCGTCTGACGTGGCGCAGGCACCGCACCTACTCCGGACGCTGACAGAGGGTCGGCCCGTAGCCACCGTGGCGGGTCTGGCTGCTGGTGACGGAAAGGCGGTGAACTGCTTGCTGGTCATGGCCACTCCCCGTCCAAAGCCAGAGCCACAACTGGTGCTGGGCTGGAGATGGAGGGCCGCCGGCTCGCTCGGCCAGCCCCGGCGGCCTATGAACCGCGCCCACTGTCTTGGCGACGGAGAGGGCAGGGTGCGGTCGACTGAGCCCCGGCACCGGAGCCGCGGGGAGATGTCGTGACGAGCCGGCGCCCGTCCTCCGCTGACCCCCGCTGACCCCGGCCGTCGGCGGCTGCAGCCGGCAGCCGGCGGGCATGGCTCAGCCTCCGCCTCGGCGGGGCGCCGCTGCAAAAACTCGCCGTCCGGGCCTCGCGACGCGCGGCAGTGACTCAGCGATTGACGGTAAAAACGGTGGCATTCGGACCCTGGCGACCGGGGTTGCCGTGGCGTCGGTTCAAGTGTTCGCTGATGGTGTGAGCGCACCGTAGGGTGCTCACGGACGTACTGCCGTCCGGGCAGACAGTGGTCAACTGTCAGCCGGGCAGACGGACAGTCAGAGGCGTGGGGACGTTCAAGCCCCACCATCACTGCTTGCTGGCCCGTGCTGCTGCTGCTGCTGCCGACGCCGTCGCCACATGACCCGCCATTCGTGCGGCGCGACGAAGCCACGTCACAGCTGCTGCGGTGTGCCGGGCCGCTGGGCGCCGGCCTCGGTGCGAGTGGCGCGCGGCGGACATGGCCAGCCGTGCTCTGGACTCCGGCCGTGCGGAGCGGCGGACATGGACAGCCGTGCTCTGGACTCCAGCCGTGCAGAGCGGCGGACCCGGCGAGCCATGCTCTGGACTCCGGCCGTGCAGAGCGGCGGACCCGGCGAGCCATGCTCTGGACTCCGGCCGTGCGGAGCGGCGGACATGGCCAGCCGTGCTCTGGACTCCGGCCGTGCGGAGCGGCGGACATGGCCAGCCGTGCTCTGGACTCCGGCCGTGCGGAGCGGCGGACATGGCCAGCCGTGCTCTGGACTCCGGCCGTGCGGAGCGGCGGACATGGCCAGCCGTGCTCTGGACTCCGGCCGTGCGGAGCGGCGGACATGGCCAGCCGTGCTCTGGACTCCGACCGTGCGGAGCGGCGGACCCGGCGAGCCACGCTCTGGACTCCGGCCGTGCAGAGCGGCGCGGCGCTCGGCCGCCGGCCGCAACGCGCGAGCGCCATTCGTGGGCGGAGTCGTAACGATGTCCGGCGGCGGCGGCGGCGGCGGCGGCGGCGGCGGCTCGACCGGCCCCTCGCCCTGCTCAGCAGCCAGCCGAGGAGAGACCGCCGCTCCTGCTCACGGCACGTGGCGGCGGCGGTGAGACGGCAGCGCGGCAAAGCACACTACTAGAGAAGAGGAGGAGGTAGAGGCCAGACAAACTCGCTGGACAGCGGGGGTGGGACTGGGACCGCTGGCTGAATGTTAACAGAATATCCACAGACGGCGTGACCATGCAGAAGCCGTCTGCTCGGCCGCGACTGTCGGCGTTGGCCTGAGGTGAATTCACCTCCGTGCAGGCGGTGAATGTTTGGACGGGCACAGTTCTGGTCCTTGTCCTGGAGGCACTTATGAGTTAATCTCTGCAGCCACCCGGAGGGCCCTCCCACATAAATAGCCCGACGGTTGTTGCACCTAGAGCTCGAATGCCTTGCGCCTGCTGCTCGCGAGATTATGCTTTGCACAGCCTCTGCTGCAGCAGGCATTCCATTCGTTGGGCACAGCTGGGGGCTGGTCGGGCGGTTAACAGTCGCTCCTTTTTAGGCGCTACGCCAGGTCAGCGTAATGGCATCATTGGCCCCTGGTTGTGGTCACGACTGCTGCTTTGTTGCGACCCATTCATGCGTAATCTCTGAATAGGGGTCATTTGGCATTACACTGCGGCGTTATCACGACTCATCCCAGCTTTGCTTGAAGTACGGGCCGTAAATATCGTCGATGACGCGTTTACCGTTAACCGGCATAGCGATTCGTCGCTTGGCTTACTAACTGTTGACAGCTGGTGTGGCCCGGCGTCACGTGACCGGTGAGCTGACGACGGCCAGCTGCTCTGGCGCTCATGTTCTTCTGTTGCCCCGGTTGCCCCGAGGCGTTTCCGGTGTTTTGTTCTTGATGCGAATTCGGTGGCCGCGTTCGCATCGCCGCTTGCGGTCCTGGGGCATCGGGGGGGGGGGGGGGGGGGGGGGGGGGGCGGGGCGGGCATCGGGGACTGACGAAGGGCGATGGTCTGTAGATACCGGGCTATGTTGGGGTGCATTTGCCACATCGAAAGCCAGTCCCAGCGCCTGCACCAAGCGAACCACAGGCTGAAACTTATGCGTGTGGGCTGATGTCCTCAACGGTTTTTAAAAATGGGAAATACAGACTAGATCTGTGTACGTCTTGGCGTGCTCAAAGCAACGAATAAATCGAAACGATACGTTGCAAAACACAGAAACGAAACAAAAGAAAGCATCGAAGACAGAAAATGAAATGCATGCCGAGTCAGTCATCTCCACAATTGTCGTCAGTCTGCAGCTATCTCACACCCGCACGATTGTAAGCTTTGCTGGGACGCGCTGCCGTGTGTTTGTGACGCCCGTCGGCTGCCGTCCGCGCGCAAACCGGTGACGCCGCGGCGTGTGTGACGTTCCAGGTGTCGCGGCTGGTGATCCTGCACGAGGAGGCGGAGGATGGCAACGCCATGCCCGACTTGGAGCGACCCGTGCTGGCCGTCTCCCGCGCCGTCAACAACCTGGTCAAGGTGCGTCCGCCCCGACCTGCCGGTCACGGGCTCGGTCTGAGTCGGCGAGGGCCGCGCTGAGGTGCCTGCCGTGGGCTGGGCACCACGCGCCGCGCACCGCAGGTCGCTCGCCCTTGGCGGTGTGCGCCGGGTTCTGTGGGTTTTGTGCCCTGGATTGTAGATGTTCTGTGTGTGTGTGTGTGTGTGTGTGTGCGTGGCTTCGTGCCTCTTTGGTGCGTCGCCTGAGCTCGTTTAGACTGTACGCCCGGGGATCGGTTGCCACTGTCCTGTCCCATGTCCTCGGCTCATCGTTGAGAGGCAGGGTGGCCCATTTGTACTCTGCCGGCACCGAGCTAAGACTTTCTCTGGCCGCACCATCCAGACGTCCGATCACCTGCTCACCACCCACTCCGCCCTCGCTGGACGCCTCACCGAACGTTCAGATTCGGGCGATCCCGGGCCCGGCTCCGGCTCCATCTCCGCACGTGCTCCGCCGCCCCGACCGCTGCAGCGAGCGGCGGCCCGGCGAGCCCGGACGCTGCCTCCTGCTCTGGCGATGGCCGTGCCGGCCCGGCGGCGCGCTGGTGGGACCGGACCGAGGCGAGGGCTGGGGCCCGGCTCCGCGCGCCGGGCGTCGGGCGCCGCTGATCTCCAAGCGGAGTCCAGCCGCCGCCGCCGCCGCCGCCGCAGGTCCGGGACTCCGGGACGCCCCCGTCCCCTGACAGCGGACCCCGGGCGCGATGGCTGCGACCGGCGCCGCAGCTGGCGCATGGTCTGCTGTCTCGCGCCGCGGACGTCACTCGATACGGCCTCGTTGCGGCCGGCACCGCCGCTTATCAGGTGCTGAGCACGGGTGTTGGGTCGTTATCGCGTCGTTCGGACCGGGGTATGGGTACTCACGGGCCGTGCTTGGCGGGCCGGGAGCGGACCGTGAAGCCCTGAGACAGAGTCACTGATACGCCAGTGGCTGATGCGGTGCATCCTTTGACGCCGGCGAGTCTCGCAACCTTGTTCCGTGTCAGTTGACGTGGCTTGTAACCCCGTTTACCCGATAATGGCCTAGATTACGGCGCTTATGATATGCGCCATTGAACGGGGAAACCGTCAGTGCACAGGCCAACGCCAATGCAGCCGTCCCACACTGTATCGTCAAGCGAAGCTGGCAGTGCATTGGCAGCTGCTGGCCGCCAGTGGTGGTGCCCATGCGGCCCGTCACCGGCGCCGACCTCGCCTCGCCGGTCCAGCGGCGGCCAGACGCGGCCCCGGCTCTCCCCGCCGCCGTCTCCGCCGTCAGACGGAGCAGGTGTGCGGCGGGACGCGTGGGCGGCGCCGCCCCGGTCGGCCGCCGGCGGCCGGGGCGGCGCCCGTCGGAAGGCGCTCAGCGCGTGATTGATTCTCCCAAGTCGTGCCGCCGCCGTCTGGTGCGGCGGCGGCGACACTGGTGACGCTTCAGCCTCGGGCGGCTGGCGCGGGACCGAGGCTTCGTGTCGGGCGTGGTGATCGTGGGTGGAAGGCGGCTCTCAGGCGCACGCCACTTCGGGTGCGCGCCGCAGGCGAAGCTACGCAGGAATGCCGTGGATGTTTGCGGATGACGGTTGGCGCTTCGCGGTCCGCTGTCCTGTGTGTTAGTGGGTCACGCATGACTGGGTCAGTTTCACTGTGTTCCTGTGGGTGGGTCACAAACTATGTTTGACTTGCCCTGCAGTCTACGCCACGGACCTGACAAACCTGATCTTTTCGTTTGCCGCCCGCCCTCGCGCGCCACCTGCCACAACGTGCGCACATCGTCTCGTACTTAACAATACGGGGATCATTTCTTGCGCAAATGATCTCATATTGAACACTACGGGGATCATTTCGCTGCACGCCAGGCACTACATGAGCTACACTCAGCGGCAGGTCGGAATCAGGACACAGGTGGTGTCCGGTGGTGCAGACAGGGGCTGGCATACCAACGCAGCCACGTGCACGTAACCGGAGTCTCCACATACTGTGCTGGCTGCTGACAGCACTCCCGGGTTGCCCTGATCCGCTCTTGACCCGTCCCGCCCCCTGCACGCCCGCCCCTACCAGCTGCGGTGCTGACGGGGTCGGCTCGCGCTGGGCGGCACGCTGACGGGCGGAGGTGGCCCGCTCCGGCTCCGCGGCCGCCCTGCGCACACCGGCCCGGGCCGGCCCGCCTGCCGCCCGTATTTGGCCGCCGCGCGCCGGGCGGCCGCGGAGAGGGCGCGGGTGGCGCCGCACCAGCGACGAGGACGTGCGGGTTGCCGCCCGGGACATCGCCTGGTCAGCAGGCGTGCCCGCACGCCGATCCGCCACGGCCTGCCCGCAGTCACGGCCTGCGCTCAGCCAGGTCTGTCCTAGCGGCGGGCTGGCGGTGGATGTCCGCCCGGTTTGAGGGTGGGGCTATTTGGGGAACAACTGAAGCTCGTCGGGGCCAGGGACCAGAGCTTGGCGGGGAACAAGGGCCGAGTATCGGCACTGAGGTGATCCTCGCGCCCGACTCGAGCGGCTCCAGTGCAGCGATGAACGCACTGCGACCCGAGTGCAGAACCAGGCCGAGCCTTAGATGGGAGCCGGCCAACCCGGCGCTGCCGGCGGAGAAGGGCTGGCGCTGGGACGCCATTCGTGCCGAGCACTGAGACGGCAGCCGTGCTGGACATCGGAGACGGGGGTGGCGCTGGCTGGCGCCCTCCGCCGGCGTCGCCGTCCGTGCACCGGGCCAGCGGCGAGGTCACCGCCGGATGACGTCACTCATCACGGTCGGCTGTCGGAGGCCGACCACGGAGAGCCCGCATCCTGAGCAGGTCCCGCCGCGCCACCGAGGGCCTGTTTGTTGGTCGGTCGGCGCTGCTGGAAGGCGGCACCGCCCACAGCGCACCTGCTGTAGCCGCAGTGTGGTAATCATGCCTCCGCGAGCTGTCCGAGGGGGAGTAGCCGCTGTCTGGCGGTGTCTCTGAGAGTTCACCTGTTGCACACGCGTGGGCTCTTCTGAAACCAGGCCTGTGGGATGGATGCTGTCGCATTAGTTTTCTGTCACGGAGAGCATCTCTGTCGTCACGGACACCACCACATCCCACTGCCACCAAATGCCCAAAATTGACCGGGCCTCGCCTGACCAGCGAAGGCTGTTTAATGAACGGCTGCCACGGGCGACTGGCGCTCAGCGTGCGCCTCCATGTCGCCGGCCCCACTGCCACTGCACGCGGAGAAGGTGGACTCGCAGCGGTACGACCAACCAATGCAGTGGACCAATCGTTTGTTCTTTTTTGACGTCTGGGCGACGTCTCTCCTTGTCCAGCCCGCAAGCACGTTAAGGACCGTATCCTCAGCGATGCCGATGTTCTTATCGACTTTATCGGTGGTGGCGTGCCTGGCTGTGACATCCAACTGGTGTGACTCTGCGCTTTGATTATGACCTGGCGGCTCAATAAAGCCGTTTAGCACACACTGCGTCGGTGTGACGCGGTGTGCTCGGATGTCCGGTCCGTATCCGAGCAGCCTGCGCCCACCACGCTCACGGCTCACGGCTCATCGCTCACCGCTCACCGCTCACCGCCGCAGGTGGGCCGGGAGACCATCAACTCGAGCGACGACCCGCTGCTGCGCCAGGACATGCCGGCCTCGCTCACGCGCGTCGACCAGGCCAGCAAGCAGCTGGAGGACGCCTCCTCCATGCTCAAGAGGGACCCGTACTCGCAGCCGGCCAGGTGAGCAGTGGGGAGGGCAGGGCGGGGCGGCCCTCGTACCGCCGCCGACTCGGGACGGAACGGCTCGAGTCGCAGTCCGGCGGGGCATTCGCCGTTCCGGTGGCTGACGCCGGCGTGTGTGGTTCCGAGCGGACACTGCGTGTAGGTGACTGATGGCCTGAACAGTTCGGTCGTCGGGTTTTTCTGTCTTCAGCCGCCCGCAAACAGCTCCCAGCCCCTGGTTATATCTAGCAGGCATGCTAGCGATCCAACCGAGCAATCCTTAGCGAATTACACGCGGCCCATTTGTTCCCATAACGGCTGTCAGCTGTCTCGCCCAGACACGCCTGTCATCCCACACATGCCGCAAGACTCCCGAGACTTGCCCTCCCTGGAAGGTTGAGTGATTGATGGTAGCGTGCTTTGCTAGAAAAAAACTATGAAAAGGTACCGCCAGGGTGCACAGAAGGTCCTCACGAAGGCTTGGGGCGCCGTGGATTGTCCAAGAACTCGCCAGCGGGAAATTTATGCCATGAAATTTGCATGCGACACCCTTATTTCGATGTAGCCGTATTCAGCACGCGCCGCTGGCGGGGGCGGATGGTGCGGCGCCGCCGACCGGCCGCCGCCGGCGCCAGCCCGGCCCGCTGTGTTGATTCGCCGGGCGTCGCGGGCGGCCGCCTCGCCCGGCACTGCAGCCGCTGTCTCGGGGGACGCGGGGGTGGGGCCCAGCCGACTGCGGTTCGATGCCGACCGGCTGTCCGCTGTCTGCAGGGGGGGGGGGGGGGACGGCACAGTCACGTCTCGCTGCTGGCCGCGCGGTCTGTGGGCGGGCCTCCATTCTGGACTTGACTCCATTCACGCATTTACTCGGTAAACTAGCTACGGACGCGTGCAGCTGACACGATCAGCTGATGTCATCTCGCGCGCCGGCTGTTGCGACGATTCCTGTTGATTCGTGCCGCTGGGTGCTGTACGCGAGCCTTTGTCCCGCCATCCGGGTTTTTTTGTGGTCAGTGGCGCGGCAGAACAGCGTCGGCACCCGAGCTGGCACCGGGCGTCGGCACCCGAACTGTCGCCGGGCGTCGGCACCCGAGCTGTCACCGGGCGTCGGCACCCGAGCTGTCGCCGGGCGTCAGCACCCGAACTGTCGCCGGGCGTCGGCACCCGAGCTGGCACCGGGCGTCAGCACCAGAGCTGTCGCCGGGCGTCGGCACCCGAACTGTCACCGGGCGTCGGCTGCGAGCTGTCGCCGGGCGCCGGCACCCGAGCTGTCACCGGGCGTCAGCACCCGAGCTGTCGCCGGGCGTCGGCACCCGAACTGTCGCCGGGCGTCGGCACCCGAACTGTCACCGGGCGTCAGCACCCGAACTGTCGCCGGGCGTCGGCACCCGAGCTGGCGCCGGGTGTAGGCACCCGATTTGGCTGTCGTGCTGGCCGACGCGATGGGTTCGTGTTCAGTCCGTCGGGATGGGTCCGTGTTCAGTCTGACGGGATGGGCGCGTGTTCAGCCCACAGACAGGTCCCTCCGGCCGCCTCGTCCTGTGGGCTTAACGACCCATTCGTTCAGGATAGAGGGGTGGGGGAGAGAGGAGCTGAGGCGGATTCATTTTACGACTGGGTCTGCGTCATCACTTAGTCTACAGTTTGTTGTTCGTTCAGGAGGCGACGTATGAGTCACGGTGGTGGGCCTGTCTGGTGTGTTAACTGCGGCGGCGTTTAACAGCGTAATGAAATCCTCATGGATTTGACTAATTTTGCTACATAAATGCTACTAATCTGTACGAATATTGATGTTTCTATTTTTCTTTTTTTCCGTCTCTCTCTCGCTCGATGCGGACCTTGATCTTGACCTCTGTCTGGATCTGAACAGGAGTATGTGCAATGCAGCAGTCCTTCCTCTGCGTTCTAGACATCTGAGAACGAGAGGTGTGGACTTAGGCTTTGATGAAGCCGGCGGCGTGGCGGACACGGCCCGTGCTGCGGCATGGGTGTGACGCCATCTGAATACGCTGACGTCGGGCATTATGGAGGAGATCAAATATGGACGAGAGCATCGTTAGCGGACCATATGCTGTGCAGTTGGCCCTGCTGTTGTCAAGACCATGCAGTCACGTTTCCCATGAATGTGTTGTGTTGTCCGGGCCAGATAGTCACGTGTGCCATGTATGTGTTCTGTTTTCTGTTGAGCTGTTTGTCATAGGTTGTACCCGAGGAAACTGAACACCATTTCATAGGCAACAGTCTGCTCAATATCAAGTGTGAAAAAAGGAGAGCGTTCCTCTCGCATCTCGTAAAGCCAGCGCGTTTCGTTAAGGAAGAGGACAGTTCTATTGATCAAGTGTGATGCTGCTTCAGTTTACCTTCTCGGCCATGCAAACATTTATGGGATCCAGCAAAACATTATGGTAGGCCACGTTAGTCGCTGCTGCGGCTTTGGTTTGCGTAGAAGCTGTATGGACGTTGTGTTGCGCAGTGGGCAGCGCTAGAATCCACCCGCGGCGACGCATACGGCTCAGCCCGCCTTTTAGACGAGAATGTTACACATTTCACGTATTAAGCCAAATAAAAACGGCCACTGTTAACATCCCTTGTGATTTGTCTTTCGTCTCGAGTACAGCGATTCTCTGAACATTCCGCCGCTGCCCCTGTGCCACATGCTCAGGCCCCGGGCGTGTACAATGTTTAGAGCCGGCTTTTGGATCGATTTCAGGCGGAAGCTGATCGAGGGCTCGCGCGGAATCCTGCAGGGCACCTCGTCGCTACTGCTCTGCTTCGACGAGTCGGAGGTGCGCAAGATCATCCGCGAGTGCAAGAAGGTGCTCGACTACCTGGCCGTGGCCGAAGTCATCGAGAGCATGGGCGACCTGGTGCAGTTCGTCAAGGACCTCAGCCCCTGCCTCACCAAGGTAACCGCCGCTGCGTCTGCCGTCGCGGTGCGATGCAGCGCCCGTTGCTGAGTTGCCCTCGGCGTTCTCACGGCTCGGTTACGTAGGTAGTAAACGCCGCCATTGGTGCGGTTCAAGGAAAATAGCAGGGTGGTTGTGTAGCATACTGCGGGAAGCAGCCAGTCCCCGGAAACCAACAGCCTGGTCATGGAGCCTACCGTGTGAGAACAGCGTGAGTGGCTGACCGCCGCCAGCCCGGTCACCGCAGGCTCCAGACCGCGGGCGGTCTGCGCTGCGCGCTGGGGTATTGGCTGAAGCGGGAGGGGATGTGAAGTCCGCGGATACTGATTATAGTATGTCCGCTTTGAATGCTGGACGTTCAGGTCGTCAACGTCCGCCGAATTCTGTCATTGTCTGTGGTCGAGGTAGACGACATTGGACGACGTATGTGACAGATAAGGCGACTGCGACGCTGGTCCGACGGCATCCTCTCGGCACGGCAGGCTCGCTCCGTATCCCGTGCGCGGCATTCTGGCTCGGTCACGCTCATCGCCGACTTCACTTGCCGTGACTGCCCGCCTTATCTCGGCCGCGGCGCCGCACTGCTGAGCGGCGCCGACGGTGGGCGGCGGTGACGTCACTCCGTGACAAACGGGCTGCTATGACGTCACCCGTAACAAATGGGCGGTGGCCGCCCGGACACGTCACCGGGCCGGCATCCGCCGCCCCGACCACGGTGGGCGCGGGGGGCACGGAGGGCGGACGCGCCGGCGCCGCTCGTGGCCTCATCCGCCGCGCGCGCCGCCGGCCGGCTGGCCACGCCGGGCAGGCTCGGCCGGCCGGCCGGCTCCCCTCGCCCTCGCTGGGGCTGCTGGGTGACGGCCCCTGCGGGCCGGATCGTTTCTCGCCGGCGCTCGCGTCGCGGGACCCTGTCGCTGTCCGAAGCCGCCCAAAGTGGAGCGGTCTCCGCGCGCTGCTCGCGGTCGCTCAGCACCCCAGCTCGTCGAGCTCACTATCCAGACCCGCACGTCTCCAGTTCGCGACTGGCGCAGCACCGTTTCCAGCCGGTCGACGCCGACCGGTGCCATCCTGCGCTCCTGGCCCGCTCATCCCCCGCCAGCGACGCCGCCGGCGGCAACCGTGCTCCCGTGCTCCCCCGCTCGGCGGCGGCGGCGGCAGGACGGCCGCGGTGCGCCCGGCTCGCGGCCGCGTCTGACCAAATATGGCGCCGCCGCCCGGCCCAGCCGCGGCACGTCTGCACGCCGGCTGCCGACTCGGGCGTCGCGCGCGCGCCGACGTGACGGGCTCGCGCGTGACGGCGACATGACGGCAGCGTGACGGCGGTGTGAGGACGCCGCTGGTATGACGACGGTGTGGGCAGGGCGGGCCTGGTACCGTCGCCCGGTTCAGTCACGCTCCCGGCGCTGGCGGGAGGGCGCGGCACGCGACCGACACGGGCGGAGGGCGGTGTCGCCGATGTCGCTGCTGGCTTGCTGAAGATGGGCGGGCGTCGGTCGCTGCGCCCAATGCCACCGGGACGGGACTGGCAAGCTGTTCAGCTGCACTGTAAACCGTTGGCCGGTGTTTATTCCGGTCGTAAATTCCAGCGGTGTCCGAATGTGAGCTTGGCTTGCCCGGAATCTCAGCCTTGCCTATTTCGGTTCGGCATCTAATCTGACTGAGAATGTAACCGGGTGACCTCGCAGAACAAAACTAAACCGGCTCTGGGTCGGTGGAGCGCAAAATGCAACCGATGCGCTCGTACACATCAAATGCCGCCGTCATTGCAGCCGGCCAGTCTGCTGACATGTCAGGTCAGCCAATGTGAGCGTGTCGTGTGCGCACGGGGGTCAGCAAGCCGGCAGCGAGCGCCTCGAGCCGGGCCATGCTGCCGCGCTCGCCGTGCGTCGAGGCCCGGTAACGCGGCCCTAGCTTCCGCGGTGTAAACAGCGCTGGCCGGCCGGCTGCTGAGCGCCGCCGCCGTCGCCAGCGGAGGCTCCTGCCGCTGGCGGTGTGGCGGGCTGGGGGACCAGCTCGCGACGACGCCCTCTGTCGGGGACCGGGCGGGGCTGCAGCGGAGGCTCCTGCCGCTGGCGGTGTGGCGGGCTGGGGGACCAGCTCGCGACGACGCCCTCTGTCGGGGACCGGGCGGGGCTGCAGCGGAGGCTCCTGCCGCTGGCGGTGTGGCGGGCTGGGGGGACCAGCTCGCGACGACGCCCTCTGTCGGGGACCGGGCGGGGCTCCAGCGGAGGCTCCTGCCGCTGGCGGTGTGGCGGGCTGGGGACCAGCTCGCGACGACGCCCTCTGTCGGGGACCGGGCGGGGCTCCAGCGGAGGCTCCTGCCGCTGGCGGTGTGGCGGGCTGGGGGACCAGCTCGCGACGACGCCCTCTGTCGGGGACCGGGCGGGGCTCCCGCACGACCGCGGTGCGGATAAAAATCAGTGAGCGACTGCCGCTGGACGTGCTCAGCGCCGGCCCGGGCTGCTTTCGTCAAGTTCATCTGCATCGATTACGGCCACCTGGTGGCGGCACGTGCACATCGTGATGTTCGGTTGTTGCGCTCTGTACCTGGGGGAACGGAGCGAGCCAGTTTCAGGCACAGCTGTCGGCCTCGTCAGTCTAGGCATATTTCGGCCCGAATTGAGTCCGAGTGGCGACCCCCACCTCACAGCCGGGTGGCACGCGGCCCGCGCCGCCCGGCGCTACCGCGTGGCTGGCCCACGTGAGAGCCCGCCGCTCCTGTCTGGGCCGCCACCGGGCCCGGTCGCCGCTCGTGAGCTACGTGTCCCGCGTGGCCTGCCGCTCGGCACCACGGCGGCGCTCCCGGCGGCCGGCCGTGGTCGCCGCCGCCGTGCCCCCCGCCCGCGGTGAAGAGCTACCGGTGGGTTGGGAGGGCGGCGCTGGTGGGCACGCCGAGTCACGATGGCGGAGAGGCACCGCGGGAGGGTGCGGCGCGGCTGCTCGCGAGAGGGGCGGCGTCGAGAGAGGGTCTGCGGGATAGACGAATGCCGGTCTGACAACAGTGAGGTGCTACCGGGTACTGTTAATCTGTTTCTCAGTAACTTCCCTCCCAGCAATCGACCTCCAGATACCAGCATCGTATCTTCCACCCCGGATCGCGCCCCCTATATCTGGTAACACACTTGCTAGTATGTCCTGTCGGTCATCTTGCATCCTATTTTGTCTACCACACCGGCTAACGCATTGGGTAATGTATTCGTGGTTCCATTGTTCTCGATAAATGAATTCGTAAAGTATTACGCGACAGTTTGATTTCCATGACGTGTGTTTGGCTCCTGTAATTGAGATTTATGGCGCGACACGGCAGCGCATCCCACACAGCGTGCTATCGGAAAGCAGCGTGCTATCGGAAAGCGCGAGTGTGTCGGTCGCTCGCGGTTCCGACGAGCGCTTCCTGTCGTTCCTCGAAGACATGTCAGACCGGTGGCCAGCCGGCCCGGTGTCACGGATTTCCTCCCACTTCGTCACACGCTTGCCTCCAAACGCTGAGGTCGGAATAGTGACGGTCGATCCTCCGAGCGATTGGGAAGAGATGGGGTGGGGAGGGGCCCGGCCTGGACGCGCGACTTATACTTATACTATATATATACGGTCACTGGGTTACGCACTACGCAGCCACTGTCGCTTATGAGTCACCTTCCTGTGCCCTATATAGCCCTATTTCTGCGACCTTCGTGTCTTGACCATAGGACTGTTCGTCTAGTGAGACTCGTTGACTATATATACATATATATATATATATATATATATATATATATATATATATATATATATATATATATGCGTGCGTGCGTGCTTGTGTGCGTGTGTGTACGTGGGTGCGTGCTAAAGGCTGCCCAGTTGTGGGCAAGGCCCTTAATGTGGGCTATGTTTTGACGCTCGTAACAGCTGCTGCCGTCATTTGCGTGGTGGTTGCTCTGGCTAACGGAAGCGGGGACGACGAAACACCGGTCCCGTAGCCAGGCTTGAACCCATGACCCCGATTATGAGCTAGAGCTTAGCAACCGAACTACCCCGCCCCCCGCCCCCCCCCCCCCCTGCCGCCGCCCTGGCTGGCTGGGGTTCCCCTTGCCTTCGTTGTGCGGCTGTCGCAGGTGTCGGCTTCCCCCGCTGTGTCAGAATGGACAATTCTCCAACAGCATGCCTCCGTGCCAGGCCTTTAAGGAATTGAGTACAACGTGCGTTGACTCGACGCGTACCTGTCGCTAGCGTAACATTTTGATGTCAGACCATCTTCCCGACGGCCTCCGCGACAACACCTCCCCAGAAGTCACGTGACAGCGGGTGGGTCGCGACCGTGCTGCTGCAGCCGGCGTGTCGACGGCACGTGACCGCGTGCTCCTTCGCCTCAGGTGTCGCGTGACGTGGACGCCCGCGAGAAGGAGCTGACGCACCAGGTGCACCGCGAGATCCTGACGCGCTGTCTGGACCAGGTCAAGACGCTGGCGCCCATCCTCATCTGCTCGATGAAGATCTTCATTCAGATCATCACGCAGTCGCCAGGTCAGTGGCTGCTTATCGGGCCGGGTTGAGATGGACGGTTGGGGGGATGCCTATCCCCCCCCCCCACACACACGTCCCACACCACGATGACGGCAGTATGGAGCGTGGACGGCGTCGGCCCGTTCATGAGTGTCCCTTTGTGACTTAATATATATTTGTCTGTTCTGCGGCGCGTCACGTTCGCCGGGTGTAGTTCGGTTTGGATGTGGTCCGATATTTCACGGCACCTCTTGCCCGGGACGCCCCCTCCCCCCCCCCGCCCCTCCGTCCTTAAGCGTGGTCCGGTTGGGGTTTGGCGTCGCTGATTGGCACGAGACTGCTCGCTGGGTGGGCGGTCCTCCGGCTAATGCGAGCGGTTGGACCGGCACATCTGCTCGGACGGCACCGCCGCCCCCCCCCCCCCCCCCCTCCACCTGGAGGGCACCGACGGCCGATGGCCCAGCCCGCGGCACGCGGCTCTCCACGACACCGCCCCCCGGGAGAGCACCGACGCCCGATGGCCCAGCTCGCGGCGCGCGGCTCCCCACGACACCGCCCCCCGGGAGAGCACCGACGCCCGATGGCCCAGCTCGCGGCGCGCGGCTGAGAGCACCGACGCCCGATGGCCCAGCTCGCGGCGCGCGGCTGAGAGCACCGACGCCCGGTGGCCCAGCTCGCGGCGCGCGGCTGGGAGCACCAACGCCCGATGGCCCAGCTCGCGGCGCGCGGCTGAGAGCACCGACGCCCGATGGCCCAGCTCGCGGCGCGCGGCTGAGAGCACCGACGCCCGGTGGCCCAGCTCGCGGCGCACGGCTGAGAGCACCGACGCCCGGTGGCCCAGCTCGCGGCGCGCGACTCCTCGGTCCGGCGGTGACAGGCCGCGTCCGCAGCCATTAGCGGTGTTTGTGTTGGCTGCGGTCGGTCCAGACTGGCTCTGTCGGGTACAGCGTCGCCGCCGGGATGGCGCCGGCACTGCTAGGTGTCGCTGAGCAGGGGCGTGACCGGTTCGGCGGTTTTTGCCGCGCCTCAGCCCGTACCCCGGCGTCAGCCACTCGGCTGTGTCTGGTGACCGATTGGTGCCAGACGCGCTCGCGGTGTCGCTGACGCTTCACCAGATCGCTGGCGTGCCGACCACGTGTTTGGCCGCACAAACCCACACATATGTATGTCGTGTCCGCGGGGAGGGGGAGGGGAGGGAAGGTTGGAGTGAGGTATGTGTCATGCTGAGGTTGTGGCGCTGCTCTGTCGCGCCTCTTCCGATTCCATGAATGTCGTGACAGTCTCGTGTTGTCCTTAAATGGAAACCCGTTACATTCACCACCAGTCGTTCCGAGCCACAAAGCGCACATAACATCCGCGCCGACACCAGTCAGGTCACAAACAGCGTCCACGTTTCACTCCGCCGCTTTGTTTTGACCTGAGCTCGTCGCCGTCCCTCAGGCAAGGGCGCCGAGGAGGCGGCCGAGAACCGCAACTACCTGTCGAGCCGCATGAGCGACGAGATCAACGAGATCATCCGCGTGCTGCAGCTGACCACCTATGACGAGGACGAATGGGACGCCGACCTGCTGACCGTCATGAAGAAGGCCGAGAACGCCATGGGGCCCAAGCTGCAGGCGGCGCAGGACTGGCTGCAGGACCCGCAGGTGCGCTGACGTCCGGACGCTGGCGAGGGGTGCAGCTGAGAGGCGCGGCCGGGCGGCAGGAGGGTGGCCGGGGTTTTGAGCCAGAGCTGCAGCGGCGCCGGTATCGACAGGCAGTGCCGCCTGGCGGTCGGCGAGAGTTTCACAGCTTGTTTGATGACTGTGTGTGCTTTACCCCTTTATGCTATGTTATACGAGTTGTTAAACGCATTTGCGAAGAACACTTTACACATACATAAGACAGCACTTTAAGTCTTCCTCTACATGCATTTTTCAAAACGATTATATGTAGGGAATTCAAAATTATTATCTCCTTTTGTCCAAAATGTTCTAAAAAAATTCATTTCTGCTGGTTATTCGACGAGGAACAAGACTTAAGAGTACTGCGGTTTGTAATGATGCAGTGTTGTTCAAGTTTGGGGAATGAAACGAACATACTGGATTGCAGTATGAAGGAGGCAGTGCAGACTACGTGTGTCGCGGTGGTATATCAGGCTGTAATAACGCACAGCATTTAGTCCCTCGATCGCATTTAGGCCTTGGAGGATGTAGTCCTTTGACCAACTCGCGTGAAAAACGACAATTGGGTGTTCCTTTGTGGGGATCATGATAGCTTATGTGCATTTGGATATCTGGTAACTACATTTAGGGAAATTCGAGTGAAATGCGGCATACGGGAGCATGGCAGTATGCCGCGCAATTCGCAGTGTCGCCCTTAGCAATTCGAAAATGAAGTTGAACGCGACGCCCCCCCCCCCCCCGTGTCGTGTCCGCTCGCCGCCCGAGGCGCCGCCGCGTGACGCCGGGCCGCACTTACTCCCGCAGGCGGTGCGCGGCGGCGTCGGCGAGAAGTCGCTGCGGGGCGTGCTGGAGCTGGCGGGCCGCGTGGCGGAGCGGGCGGCGCCCCAGGACCGCGAGGCCATCAACAAGCTGGCCGGCGACGTCGGCGCCATGGCCGACGCGCTCTGCGAGCTGCGTCAGAACGGACAGGTGCGGCCGGCGCCGGCGCTCGGCGCGACGGCCGGCGTGGCTCCGGCGGCAGCCGTGCTGCGGGCCGGCCGGTGTAGTCGTGCTCGCTGCCGTGGATGGCGACCATTGGTCCCGGCGAGTCCCGGGGTCTTGGCCGTCTTGTGGCGTGGTGCGCTGTTGATGTTCTCTCGCCCGTGTCGAAACATCGCCATGCAGTTCGACTGTGATGCCGGTTGTGGGTGCGCTGTTCTCGACTCCTCCACTGCAGAACGCCTGTCGGCAGACCATGCCGCTGCGGCTGATCACGCCCCGCGGCTAACCACGCCCCGCACCTGACCGTGTCCCCGCGGCTAACCACCCCCCCCCCTCCCCCGCGGCTAGCCACACCCCCGTGGCTAACCACGCCCCCGCGGCTAACCACGCCCCCGCGGCTGACCGTGTCCCCGCGGCGACCATGGCCCCGCGGCGGCTAGCCGTGCCCCCGCGGCTGGCTGTGCCCCGTGGCTGACCGTGCCCCGCGGCTAACCACGCCCCCGCGGCTGACCACGCCCCCGCACCTGACCGTGTCCCCGCGGCTAACCACGCCCCCGCGGCTGACCACGCCCCCGCACCTGACCGTGTCCCCGCGGCTAACCACGCCCCCGCGGCTAGCCACGCCCCCGCGGCTGACTGTGCCCCGTGGCTGACCGTGCTCCGGCCGTCGGCAGGGCGCCACGCCGCAGGCGCAGAGCCTGGCGCGCAGCCTGCAGGCGCAGCTGGGCGAGCTGCACGGCCTGGTGCGCGGCGCCGTGGCCGGCGTGGAGCGCTCCGGCGTGCAGCAGCCGGCGCACACGCTGGCCGGCCGGCTGGAGCAGGCGCGCCGCTGGCTGCAGGCGCCGGCCGCCGCCGACGGCCGCGCGCTCGGCCAGGCCGCCATCCAGCTGGTGGTGGAGGAGGGCCGCCGCGCCGCCGACAGCCTGGCCGACCCGCAGCGCCGCCAGGTGCAGGCGCTCTGCGACGACGCCGACTCGCTCTCGCGCCAGCTGGCGGACATGGTGCGGCGCGGCGAGGGCGACTCGCCCCAGGCGCAGGCCGTGGCCAGGTGAGGGGCGCCGAATGGAGGTGGAGTCTCCGTGACTAGGTGAGGCGGACGCTGAGGAGAGGGGGGGGGGGGGGGCGAGTCTCCGTGGCCAGGTGAGGCTGACGCTGAGGGGAGGGGCGAGTCTCCGTGGCCAGGTGAGGCGGACGGGCGCGCGCACTCTGTGTAGTACAGCGCGGTCAGGACACCGCGCTGCCCTGGTCGTAGGTCCGCCGTGCACTCACTCGTTGCAGCGGCAGCGGCGCCGTTCTCAGTGCTGCACTGTGTCCCCTGCAGTGGTCCTGCCACAGTCCCCCCCTCTCGCCCCGGCTGTGGGTCTGTCGCCTCCGGCCACGCCGTCCCTGACCCGCCGCCGGCGCCGCTCCCCAGGCAACTGTCGAGCAAGCTGCAGCAGCTGAAGGACCAGATCCAGGGCGCCCTGGTCGAGCGCGTGGTGGAGGACTTTGTCGACATCGTGACGCCGCTGAAGCAGTTCAGCGAGGCCAGCCTGGCACCAGAGGTCAGCGGCAGTGGCGGCTGCCGCGCGGTTAGATGTGCTGCCTCCGGGGCATGTGCGAGTTGCAACGTGTGGATAGGAGGCTTTGTGGATAGGAGGGTGTGATATACGTTTTGTCGTTAGCGTCATTGGTGTATGGTTCGGCCTTCCTGTTCTTCGCATAGTGGTCTGAAATAGGACCACACACGTGCCAGTTAAGCACATATTTTGAAGTGGGACTTCCATTGTTAATGGCTCTCCTCGCTTTCCCGCAACGTCGCATATGTAAGTTGATGTTCTCTGGTATATTCCCTGGCTACGCTGTGCTGAGGACCCGCCTGGTAACACGAGCAGCCGTGACTTAAGATCTGCGTATTAGGTGCTGGCCTGTGACCCCCGTGACATGACGTGTGTGATTGTGGTCAGGGGCCATCTGTTTGCTCCGTTCACCCTTTACACTCCTCAAGTTGAGGGTCAGTGTGACGGCAGCGTTGTCCGCGCCCTCTCGTGACGTCGCCGGCCGGGTCGGCAGGGCGTGCCCGGCCGCCAGGAGGCGTTCGCCGACAAGGCGGACAAGCTGCAGCGGTTCAGCACGCAGGCGGCGCGCACCGGCCGCATGGTGGCCTCGGCCGGCGCCACCGGCAACAAGAAGCTGTCGGAGGCGCTGCAGGCCTCCGCCACGGAGGTCAGTCGCGATGACCCCGGCCGGCCGGCCTGGGGCGGCGGCCGCGGCCGGCGCTGGCACACTCGCGCAGCCAGCCGCCGCCGCCGCCGTCGCCGTCGTCGTTTGCTGGCGCTGGCCGGCCATGGACTGTGGCGGGGCCGTGCGCGCGCCAGGCGGGAGTGATAGCGCCGTGGCAGGACCTGAGCGGTGACGACCGGAGCTAGCCGGTGGATAGGGATGGAACCCTGTGGTGGATAGGGCGGGCCCCTGCTTTCGCAGTCGGTGCGGTCGGTGCCAACCCCTTCATGTAATATGGTCGTAGGGAACGTGTATTGGCCTTCGGCTTAGACCCGCGTCTGTGCTGCTTGTGTGAGTGACACGGGCTGACTCGCACCGCATCGTTGTTGGTCGTGTGACTGCGAGCGACGACTTCACCAACCAGCCTATGGAGAGGGCCCCTAACATCCCCTCCCACGGTGGCCTCTGTGTGGCCTGTCCAGGTGAGGAGCTGGCACGCGCAGCTGCAGCTGGTGAACAGCCACATCGCCCGGAGTGTTCCGTAAGCGACCTTTCCCTGACCGCTGTATGACCCTTCTGTGGCCCGGTGCAGGTGGAGAGCCTGCACCCGCAGCTGGTGAACGCCGGCAGCATCCGGCTGCAGTACCCGGAGAACAAGGCGGCCGACGAGCACTTCGAGAACCTGCGCAAACAGTACGCCGAGTCGATCAGCCGCGTGCGCGATCTCAGCGACGAGGCCATCGACGTGGCGCAGTTCGTCCGGCAGTCGGGTCAGTGACAGGGAGGCGTCACCCGGCGGGTCAGGGGTCAGGCCGGCGCGGACGGGGTCAGTGGCGGGGTCGTCAGCGGACCTGGCTGTGGCTGATCAAAAGTCGTGCTGGAAGGGTGTGGGTTTGTTGTGGGGTGTGTTGCCGGTTTGGAACGCGGTTTAGTTGACTTTTGTAATAGGACGGAGCAACGAACAATTGGCATCTCCCTGCTTCCTGAATCTCCTCCCCTGTTGGGCGGGGCGGGGGGGGGGGATGTTTGGAGGTCGATGCTGCTCAGCTGGACCGAGGTGTTCGTGTTATGGGCCGGTCCGTACTGGAGTTGCCCGTGAACTCCGCTGGGGTCCGGCGTCGGATCGGCGCCATGATCACGCGTGCCGCCCCGCAGTGCAGTCGGCGTCGATGATGGTGCCGTGGGGGCCTGGGTCTGGCGGGAACAGCTGGCGGGGGACTGGGTGGGCGTGCTCCGGGCCGGCGGCCAGCCACTCCCCGTGAGGCGCCCCTGGGGGGACCGGGTGGGCGTGCTCCGGGCCGGCGGCCAGCCACGGCGCATGGGACCCCACTGACCGTCCGCCTCCCCCCGGCAGAGGAGCTGATCAGACACCACGCCGACCGGTGCGAGACCGGCGTGCAGAGGCGCCAGCCGGCCGAGGTGGTGGAGAACACGTCGGCCATCGCTAGGTACGCGCCGCCCCCGGCCCGGGTCCTGCGGCGCAGGCCTCACGCCCGTCCTCGCGGGGCCGCGGCGGCTGGCCGCGCAGGGCCGGACCATTGGTAGACGCGCGGCGCGCGGACAGGCGTCAGCGCTGCCGTCACTTAGCCAGCTTCGCCGGGGCTTTGATGGTCGTTTCTTATGTGGGCTGTGTGGTGCAGTGACGATTTTAGGTGCTGTCCAGCTCTGCGTTCACCCAAAGGCATGCTTTGATATCTGTGACGCGAGCCTGTCGGATGTTTCTGTGTTTTTGTTTCTGTGATTGGCGAGGTAGGTCTGCCTAGCGCAGTATTCATCACATACGGACTTAAGTGATCCAATGCTTAGATCAGGGCAAGCCGAAATGAGAATGCATCACTGTCACCAAACGCGCCTCAGTGGTGCAAGCTTGTGCAAGGTCTCTTGGTTATTGGTAATTGTGCTCTTCTGACGACAGATCGTAGGATGGCATGTTTTGGTGTAACATGCATCATTGCTACGGGACATCTATATTTTCCAAAGCGGGCTATCTTGGGGCACATGTCACGGGGCCTAACGATGTAACACCATTAGTTTACGCACACCCGTCGACGTGACATATCGTTTGCGTCCATCTATTTGCGAATTTGACACCCGCCGTCGGTGGGACCGCTCTGGCCACCGGGATTGGACCGCGTATTGGCTGGCGGTGTGCCACGTTCGTCCCATTTCGCTCCCCCCCCCCCTCCCCCCGGACGTGCCACCTGCGGCGCCGTGTAGACACACACACACACACACACACACACATACACGAGTGACGGCGGCGGTGACGGGCCGCCGCTGATGACGGGCTGTCTCCCAGCGGCGGCGCGGCGGCGGCTGACCGCTGGCCGGGCGCCGGGGTCGGACCCGATTTAACCTGGGCCGGCTGTCACAGCGCCGCCGCCGCCGCGCGGGAGCAGAGAGGGGAGGGCGCCGAGGTGACGCGCGACGACAGGTCAAGGTCGTCGCGGTGGGCGGCTCCGCGCGGCGGGAATAAGCTGTCTCCCGCCGTCGCCGCCGCACGGCTTGTTACCTAGACTGTGTGGTGGTCCGGCGAGCACCGCCCGCCAACGCGAGCCGTCCAGTCGTGGTGATTGTGATGAGTTTCGGTGCGCAGCGCATTTGCAAGCAAATGTTTCGACCTTGCCAGCGCAGTTGTGAAAGCGTAACAAAAGCAGTGACCGCTATCTGTGCCCGTGATACGATCATTAGAATCGCCCTCCTGCCATTATGCGCCACGGCTCAGAGCCTTTTTACTTATGAAACCGTTTCCAGACTGACCCGCCGTGCTCTCGATTGGGAAGTTGTACACAAACTTGGGCTGCGTTTGCTATCCGCGCATGACGACCTGCTCTCATCTCACCCCCGTGCCTGACGGGTCGTTTTCGCGTTACCCCCGCACCTGACGGGCCACCCTGACCTCGCCCGCCCCACGCCTTCGCCTGACGCGCCGGCGCCGTCCGCAGGCTGGCCAACCGCCTGCTGATGGTGGCCAAGAAGGAGGCGGACAACTCCGAGGACCCGCGCTTCATCAGCCAGATCCAGCTGGCCAGCGAACGGCTGCAGCACGGTGCGTCGGGCGGCCCCGAGCCGCCGCCGGCCGTCCCCGATCGGCCGCCTAACGAGCCGGCGGCCGTCTATTTCGGCCGGTCGGCCTGTCAGCCGTCGTCCGGCCGCCGGCGGTGACGCACGCGGGACACTCGATCGCGCCGAGGTGGCCCGCAGAGAGGTGTCGGCGCCGATCGGGGGCGAGGCGTGGCCCCGGGAGTCGCCGTGCTGTGTTGTGCTCCGCGTTGACGCCCGGGCGCCCGGTGGCTTTCCTGGCGACGTCGCTGTGTTCCTCCGCGCTCTGTCGGGGTGGGCCTGTGAGCCGCGTGCCGCCGGGGTTGTCTCATGCCGCTGGCGCGATCCCCGGGGCGTGTCGCTGCTGACCTCTGACCCCGCGCGTGCCCCCAGGCGTGACCCCGATGGTGCAGAGCGCTAAGACCGTGGCCATCAACCCGGCCGACCAAGAGTCGGTGCGGCGCTGGCGGGCCTCGAACCGGGAGGTGAGCGCGCGGCCGCCGGCTGCGAACGGGCTGGGTGGACGCGTGTGACGCTGCTGACGCTGAACGTGAACGTGACGTGACGCTGCGGAACCTGGGGAGGCACGATAGCGGGCGGGGGGAGGGGGGCGATGTCTGACGCTGTGCCGATTAACGGGCGCTGGGTCGGCACTGCGTCGACAGCGTGCAGACCCGATTGGTGTCAGTCGGGCGAGAGAGTTACATACTTGATGTTCCTGGGTGAGCCGGCGTTTAAAGCCAGCCCAACTTTGATATCGCGTCATTCCTCTGCACAGCGAAACGCAGTTCACTCCGTGAAATCGAACGTGCGCGGCAGTGGGCTGATTTGCCCTGTTTTTGCCCACCTTGACGTAACCTGGGCTGGCGCAGCTGCTGGAGGCTGTGGCAGATGTGAGGAAGGCTATCGGTCCGGAAGCCGACCTCACTCCCAGCATGGCCCAGATGGAGCTGAACGGTGAGCATGGCTGAACACCGCGCTGAGCACTGCCTCTGTCTCTGTCTCTGTGCCGTCTCTGTTCGCCTCTGCCTCTGCCTCTGCCTCTGTCTGTGCTGGCGTGTCGCCCGTGTTCTGTCTGGCCGGCGCCCGGGAGCGGAGCCGGTCAGATGTCCCGCTGACCGCCGCCGGCCTGCCTTACAGGTGCCCCGAGCCGGCCGCCGCCGCCCGGCCACTTCGCACACCCTTCGGCTGCAGGTGACCACCCCTCCCTCCCTCCCTCTCTCCCACCTCACACGGCCCGTCCAGAGTCATCTGCATGGCTCCAGCTGCGGCGATGATGCGGCAGTGTCCGTCCTCGCTACTGTGCCGTTGACCGCGACCGCCGAATTCGCTCCGAAGCCGTGACCTGTTCATCGGAGTCTAAGTTCGGAACTGGCACCTCAGTCGGCCGCGTTTTTCTCTCGGCGGGAGTGGCACGTCTTTGTGTCCGTGCTCGGTTGCCGTTCCTGATCCAGCCGGCGCCGCACCTCTAACCGCCGCCGCCGTCTCCAGGCGAGCCCCTGTACCAGCGCCAGCTGCTGCGGGAGCCCCTGGAAGGTAACGCCCGGGGTCGTGCCTGCCTGCCTGTCTGTTGGTGTGTTGGTGTGGTTCGCGCGTTTTCTGGTCAGCATGCGGCGGCGGACGGGCGCGCCGGCGGCCGGCACGCGCCGTCGTCTGCCCGCCAGCGTGCCCGGGCGGCCTGGCTGGTTTGGCGGGGCGGTCGACTGCACGCGGCGGAGTTCGGGGCGTGCTGTGGCGTCGCGGGCATGCCGGGCTCTGTCGCTGGATTCGGCTGGACTCGGGCTGGGCTCAGCATCGGTACCGGCCCGGCCTGGTCGTTCGCTACTAGCTCGAGGAGTCGAGCCCTGGAAGTTATGATGCGTCTGGCATGCCGTGTGTGACCCTCCCACCTGGGCTGAGTGTCCGACCGGCGCGGACGCGGCCCGCTCGCTGACGCGCGCCCGCCGGCGGCGGCACCGGGACGGTCGCGGCGGCCGCCGTCCGCGGCTCCGCTCAGCCTGTCGGCGGCGGCGGCCGCTGGCGGGTCCCACCGCGCGACACGTGTCAACGGGCGGACCGCGGGAGATCGGGCTGCTCTGCTTCCCTGCGTAGTGAGAGGCGGGATAGTGTGATTAGTCGCATCCGGCATGTCGCCAGGATTGCACGTTTGTGGCCGCCCCGCCCACAGTCCCGTCATCGCCCGAGAACGCGTTCGCAGGTTACGGGATCGCGGTGCGCCTGCCCTTCAGTGGGTCCTGCAGGGGCTTTCCAGGATGTTGTTGGCGTGCGTATTGATCAGCATGTCCAGCGCGGGTGTCTCCGCCCGCTGCGCCCGTTGGATCGTGGTCTCCACTTATGAGCGAGTAGATCTGGCCGCTTGATTCCCGGGGCGTGTATCCTGCCTTCGGATAAAGCCATGCATGATTTTCTCCATGTGTTCTCGACAGTTGTGATTGGACGCTGATCCGACTCTGTCGCTTCCGCAAAGCGAGTTGCTGAAGCGTGCCACCTCCGGGGGGTGAATTCACCGAATCCACCCAGCTCCCACCAGTGTCCCTGGTCTGCAGCTTCCCGCGCGCTTCGGCTGATCCTCTCGGTTCGACAGGCGTCGAGCGTGGGCTCCACCAGCCCCCGATTTCATCCGAGCCGGACCGGACTCAGTCCGACTCATGACCCCCGGAATCAGGCTGTACCCTTCTTGTTCCTGTTGCGCGGCTGTGCTCTCGGCCGGCTGAACTGCGGTACCTCAGAACGTGCAGCTCCCTGGTAAACCTCCGCCCCGTCTGCGTGTCCAGAGTTTTCCGAGCGTGTCTCTGCCCCGAGTCCGACTCCCGTCGGCTCCTCCGCGCCGCTGACCCGCCGCCGGGCGCGTCTGCGACAGAGGCGGCGCCGCCGCGCCCGCCGCCGCCGGCCGGCGAGCAGCCGCCGCCGCGGCCGCCGCCCCCGCCAGAGACCGACGACGAGGAGGACAGCCAGCTGTTCCGGCACGCGCCGCCGGCCAACCAGCCCATCATGGCGGCCGCGCACGGCCTCCACCAGGAGGTAGGTGGCGCCACCGCCGCCCGGCCTGCCCGGCTCTGGGTGTCGTGCGTCAGCAGCTGCAGAGGAGCGTCAAGTGGGCTCTGCAACCACTGCTTGCAGAGCCTGATTACCATCAGTTTTGCGTGGGCGTTTGTTGATTCGTGCTACAATTTTAGCTTTGCGTTCTATGAGGTGTACTTATAAGGTTATTTTACTCACCAGCTGTGCTCGATGCGCCCAGAATGCTCTCACATTTTCACACAGTAGGTCAGTCGGCTGCTTGATATGTCCAGGGACCTCTTCCCCGTCCCCGTGACCACCAGCCAACACCCTCCTCACCCCACCGCGCGCCCGTCCCGCGCGCGTCGCTCAGAAGCCGCCCGGCGTCGCCGCCAGGTGGCGCAGTGGAGCAGCAAGGACAACGACATCATCGCGGCGGCCAAGCGCATGGCCCAGCTGATGGCGCAGCTCAGTCAGCTGGTGCGCGGCGAGGGCGGCGGCAACAAGCGCGACCTGATCGCCTGTGCCAAGGCCATCGCCGAGGCGTCCGAGGAGGTCACACGGCTCGCCAAGGAGCTGGCGCACGAGTGCACCGACAAGCGCATGCGCACGGTGAGGGCGGGAGCTGGTCTGGGAGGGGGGGGGAGGCGAAGGAGGAGATGACGACGGCGAGTTCGGCGAGCGCGGAGGAAGGGGGGGGGGAGGGTAATGAGTTGTGTGGCCTCGTGCTGATCAGGGGGGCTTCTGTGTGACCGCTGCGTGAACTCCGGCTTAACAACAGGCTCGTGTTGTTGTTGGGCTGATTTTGTCGCCTCCGATCTGATATGTGGCGCTTAGTGACTACATATCATGGGGGCTTCTGTGTGACCGCTGCGTGAACTCCGGCTTAACAACAGGCTCGTGTTGTTGGGCTGATTTTGTCGCCTCCGATCTGATATGTGGCGCTTAGTAACTACATATCATGGGGGCTTCTGTGTGACCGCTGCGTGAACTCCGGCTTAACAACAGGCTCGTGTTGTTGTTGGGCTGATTTTGTCGCCTCCGATCTGATATGTGGCGCTTAGTGACTACATATCATGGGAAGTAACGCATTTGTTTTGTCGGCAACAACTCCCGCAAGCATGGCTGCGCAACGTTACTGGATTGTTTTTTTGTGCTTCAGGGCGCACGTACGGCTGTCTGGGAATGTCAATACGCAGTTGTTTGAGGGCATATGTACAGCTGTTTGAGCGCTGTGTCCTCCCGCGTGTCCGCAGCGGCCCAGCCGGTGCCGGACACGCGCGCACGGCCACTGACACCGGTCCCCGTTGTGTGTCCACAGCAACTGCTGCAGGTGTGTGAGCGCATCCCCACCATCGGCACGCAGCTGAAGATCCTCTCCACAGTCAAGGCCACCATGCTGGGGGCGCAGGGTGAGTGGCGTGGCGCGCGTGCTCATGCACATCCGTCGGCATTGCTGTGTATTGTATTGTTATTTGCATTGTTATGTATTGGACCGTTATTTGCTTGGTGATGTATTGTGTTATGTTTGCGTTTTCACCGGGTCGGCGTGGTGCCTACTGCCGCCTGAATCGGGATGGGTTAACTGCTGACAAGATTTGGGGGAGGGACGCGTCTGTTGCCATCGATTTGCACTGATCGGTTTGCGCTGCAAGCGGGCCATAATGGGTGAAGGGCACGACCCGTTGTGGGATATAATTGAGGTCCAAGAAGGCGTGCTTAGTTTTCTTCGCGTTCGTTTTATGAACACGGGTTGTGTCACAGAATTCTGCTTGCTCAAGTGTCCACGTGCACGCTGACATACGTCTTGCCTTCCTTTGCACAGTTTTAGTTTGTGCTCATCAAGCGACGGCTCGACGACGGTTATGATGCATGGTGGTGTAATTTTGAATTTTAGGCGCACCTCATGCCAAAGGCGATCACAACCCACGAGCCAATGTTCTGCTAGAGCCACGCGTCGTCAGCCGGTGCCCTTGCCGGGTCCAAACCAAGTCACCGTGTGTACCGCTGATGGTATCTTGACCTGTACGAGCTGCTTCACCCTCCGCTTGGAGAAGTGCGGCCACACAGGCGCCGGCGCGGAGGCGTTGTCTGCGTGCCGTGTCTGCGGCTGAGTACCTTGTCTGGGGCGTTGTCTGGCCGTGCGTGTCTGCGCATCTGCTGTGCGTCAGCGCTGCGTTTCTGCTGGCGTGTTTTAGATGACGAGGCGTTCGGTCGGCGGGAGGACGGCATTGTGACCAGCGGTAAAGAGCTGGGCTCCGCCCGCGCTAACTCGAATGCGGTAGCTCGATTGCTCTAACCGCTCGCCTGCCCGCTGGGCTGTCGGCGGACGTCCAGCTAACTCTGACCCCGGCCCGGCAGCGGGCGAGTCCCGACCCGGACCCCATCCCCTCAGCAGAGCAGCACCCGAGTACCACGGAGTCTCTTACCGGACACTGCCCACCGTGCCCGCACCACGTCCGTGTGCCCTCCTCCCGCGCCACATCCGTCTGTCGGTCTGTTGAGCCGTGTCCGTCCGGCAGACAGCATCGGGCCGCCGAACGCCCGTGCCGCGGCACACCGGCCGACTATCCTGAGGCGGACGGACTCGTCCTGCCCGTCCGCCAGCGCACCCCAGTCCGCGCGGCGGCGCTGACGTGTCGCCCGGCACCGCTCCCCCGCTGCCCCGTACCACCCCCCCCCCCCCCGCCCGCGTGCGTGCGTGTGTCGTGCGTGGCCTCGGACTGACCCGGCGGTGTGGGCCGGAGCCGCCTGCATGCCGCGTCCGGCGCCGCCGACGTCGCTCGGCCAGAGCCAGCTAACAGACCGGTCGGTCGTAGCGCGCGTGGTCTTCAGTAACCGACCGCAGATCGAAATAATACCGGCTTGGATCTGTAGCCCGCAGCCGTAGATGTTTGGCTGAACTTTAACATGCTCCTGTGGTGACCGATGTGGTTGCCGTTAATGACATCTCCGAAGCACTTGGAGTCGCTCGCAGCTAACAGCGTCGTGTATGGTCAGCTAGTTTGCATTAATTTGCAAAGTTTTGTGGCGCTCCTGCGCGCTGGCAAAGAAAGTGAACTCGCAGGCGCATGAGGTTGGCAGTTTTCTCTGATTTCTTTATGCCCACACCCAACACCGTTGAACTGTTGGGTTAAGGTTAGTGGTAGCATTGCTGTTATGTTGTTTTTTTTTGGCGAATGGACTACCCGCCTTTAGATGGCATTGGTGCGGCTTTTGCTCTTGCGAAATCCGCGTTTTTTCTCAATCAGTCTGCCTCAGGAGAACCCAGCCACTGCGTGCCATAGTACCCGTAACGCCTCAGAAGTTCGACTGCCTGCTTATAGGTGCTGTTGTCAACGGCTGATTTCGCTGGTTAGACCAGCATTAATGCTAAGAAGAAGCAGGTTATGTCGGAAAAACTACGGGTTTACTGTCATCCCATTTTTAAAGAATTGCATGTCTGTCGCAAAAGTAACGCAATGTTTTCCTGCGTCAGCTCCATTGCAAAAAGAGGAACATTTTCTTAAAATAAAGCAATGACGGAACTTGAGGTCGTCCTTTGCGATGCACCGTAAACTTGTTGCCCGAAAAAAAACTCATGAAAACTGCATCTCATTTTCACTCCGTGCGGAGGAAAACGACAGCTGTTCGAGGACGTTGGATGTTAACAACATAACCAAAGCTTGTGTGATTATGACGTTTCATCAGTACCTCCTGGGATTGTGAGGCTGATCGCTGTCGGTATGGAAATTCTTAGCTCATGATATTATAAACATATTCGTTGTGGCCAGTAGTTTGCTATGGTTAAACTGAACAATACAAATATGACTGGCCACCTTGAGTTAGGCACATCGAGATATTTCCAAAGGTTCATTTAAGATGCAGGCGAGATGCCGTTTTTCTACGTTGGCGACACACGTGTATATATATATATATATATATATATATATATATATATATATATATATATATATTGGCGTATGCTGTTTTTTTTAAAGTGTTTTTGGAACACCGTGCGTAGATCAATAGATAAATACGACAGCATGTCAACGTGGCCGTCCATAAATTTATGTTACAGATTTTCGACAATTTTTTAACCTTCCTTCCCCTCTGGTTATGCACTGGTTACACTGGGCGACTGGAGTAGTTGCGCTTTGGTAATCGCAACATCTAAAAAAGTAACGTTGGTGTGACCCATAGTTGAGGTACAGATAAAAGTACAAATTATTAGTATATTCCTTGTCATGAAGTTTATTAACTTGTTTTTAAAGATTTCAGCGTGATTTACATCCAGATCTGAGGACAACGTTACGCTGTCTAAAAAAAATTGTCTTTCCCTCCCTTGTAGCACTTCAGATACGGTCGATCTTCCCTATCTTCTTACCCTTCATACGTAACGTCATTTAGGGATGGCCCCAAATGACCTAATGTGCACACGTTGATCCACCACCAAGGTACCAGAACTCCAGCTCGTGTTTGATTTGGGCAGGACTGCCTCTACCTCGCATGCGCGATATTGCGACGTGGCCACTCGCCATCACGTGATCCTGGTCCATTAGCTGTCCATAACTGAAGTCCGGGAAAATCTATAAATAAGGCCGACCGCGGTGCGGCCAGCCCGCCGCCCGGTGTGCGGTGCTGCCGCAATGTGTGCTGTCGAGCGGCGACGTGTCGCGTTGGCGGTAACCTCCATGACCTTGTGTCTGGTCACTTCCAGGCACTGAGGAGGACCAAGAGGCCACTGATATGTTGGTCGGCAACGCTCAGAACTTGATGCAGTCAGTCAAGGAGACGGTGCGGGCGACGGAGGCGGCCAGCATCAAGATGCGCACAGACGCTGGCATACAGCTGCGTTGGGTGCGCCGATCGCCTTGGTACCAGTAGACGTCCATAACACACGGGCCGTCGACGGCACGCAAACGGCGGGCGCGGCCGTTGTGTGCAGGTGGTGGCGGCGCATCGACAACGAGGGAGACGGGATTGGTTTCCCCGACTGTCCTAGGTTATTAGATGCACATAACCTCGTACACTGCCGCTGCCGAGAGGTGGCCCGCTGTCCGCAGAAAGCCACGCCTGTAGTAGATAAACATAACTGTGCGAAAGGCTGCATTGGACGGAGCTAGCCGGGCAGCCGGCCGTAGACAAGTTTTGAGGCGTGTTTGTTGGTGCTCGCCGTCCGAGGACATGAGTACTAGAGCCTTCCAGAAGTTCAGGGGTGGTATTTTAAGGCATTTCGCTTCGATACTCTTCATTTGCTAATGCTGGTTCAAAATTCAAGTAAACTCGGCTGGAGTTTAGAATGGGGGTACGGTTTATGAATTTGTTAATGTATTACTGTGCTGAAATCATGTCTGTCTTCGTCTGCTTCTGGAGCTACTAGTTAATCAGTTAATACTAGATGCGTCTGCCAATTACGAAAAAGTATGTAGTTATGTCAAAACAATAAGCTGATCGTAAGTTTCTATGCGACGCCAGGAAGGGTTAATACCATCCAGATCGTTTCCATTGTTCACCGAAAACTGAACAAGATTGGTAGTAAGGTACTTAGAATTTATGTTGGATGCGCAAAACATGTATTGGTTTGCCCAATGCACGGCAATTATGCGGCCGCAACTCTCGACACAATCGCGTGCGTAATTACGCACAATGCGTATGGTGGGCAGTCGGTGTTCGGTGGCCTTTCTCGGCATAGTGGACACCAGAACCCTGAAGGTGCTTAACAGCGCAGTGCGCTGAAAAAGCGACCCGAGGGCACATTCTTATCCGCCTGGAATTTGCTATATTATATGTTTAGATGAATTGTTTGCTAATATTTTCAGCTTGTTTTGTTTGGCCGTCGTTTTGATGTCTGCGTAGACTTCGCACTATGGTTTGTCAACCATGTGTGTGCGTGCGTGTGTGTGTATCATGCTTCTGCGAAGTTCTGGGATGATCCATTTAACCGACAATCTTTTTTTCTCGCAAATATTTTATTGCGGATGTCACCACAACGTGCCATGAGCAACTTGTGAACAATTGTCAGTGAGGCGATCAGGCGTGTGTCGCGATATGTTGGCGCGGTTGGTCCGTCAGTGGAAAGCCCTGTGGAAACGGCGACCCGTCCGAACTGCGTGCGCCGACACGTACCGTCACATTTGACGCAATGGCAATACCGCTGGTGTACGGGCGCGCGGCGTCGGCAACGGCCGGTGTCGTCGGTGCCCACATCTGCCGTGAAGCGGCGATTAACTTGCGTGTGCGTTACTACAATCACGAACCGGGCCGTACGCAGCGCTGTTTCGCGCGCCTCGTTGATTTGGGCGGCCTGAGCGGCATCCAGGTGCGACGCGGCTAACTAACCGGCGTCTGCCCCGGGCCGGCGCCGACCCAGCCTGTCTGGAGCTGGCGCGGGGGCTCGCTGTAGGTGTGAGGTGGCGCTGGGCGGTGCGGTGGCCACGACCGGGCGGCTGGAGCCCCCTCCCTTCCCCGCTCGGTTGTGCTGCGGACTGACCTGCCTCTTCTCCACGAGCTGCTCGCTAGAGGGAGCAGACGTGGCGCAGCCCAGCGCTGTGACGCACTGTCTGCGCTGATCTTCCTAACCGACGCTGTGAGATTGCCAACTAACGTCCAACAATACATAATAGCATGCGCGAGGAGTTTGCAGTGAGATAACTAAGATTGGCTCAACCTTGCGGCGTTGGTACTCACCGCGCAGCCGCTATTGTGGTTTGCATTGGCTCAACTTGCGCTGTTGTGGCGGCATAGCGAGTGTGTGCAGACGAACAGGGAGCGCATTTTGGTGGAGCTTTTTGGTAATCACGGACACCACATTCGTCCACAGGGACTGATTTGCTAGAAGTTTAACACCGCACGATCGGCCACGTTCATTGTGTGGATTTTGTCATCCTGGCTGGGGTCACCGGCATCTAAGGCCGACAGTTGGAAGTACGCGCGTTTCGTCTGGCTTGGACGACGGCATGAGCACCAGAATAGGCAAAATACTTTCACTACGATAACCGGAACCGCTCTTAAAAAGAATCCGCCCCGCGGACGTGAAGTGGTGCACGGGGGCATGCGATTGTCCCTGTGCCCTGTGGTGTCCGCGGCGGTGCAGGTGGCCGGGCCGGACTGGCCTCTCAAATTCCTCCCGTGACGCCACCAGGTGACCACGTCCAGTGTTTTTGTACCTCGCACTGCCGCCGTGCATCCCTTCATTAAATCCGGCGGCGGTCGCACGCAAACGTTCGAGTGGCAATGCATTGTTTATTCGGTAGCCGGTCCAACCACGACCAACACAACGCACCGAACTGCGCGATCACAGGGGCATCGGGCGGTGTTAAGGACAGCTCAAATTCCCAGCCATGCTCTGTGGCGAAACCCTAACCTCCGACCACGTGGTTCATCGAGACGTAACTGAAAAACCGGTGGTCGAGGACGCAGGGACGCATGTATGCAACACACACGCACCGAGGCGCCTGCACGTTCCCAACCTATCCGCGCGATGCGGGAAAACAGCCCGATGCCTCGCGATAGGTCGTCACGGCACATCTACGTGAAGCTCTTGACCACGTACCCTTGAACAGACTGCTCGGGCCTCACCAGCAGACCGCCGCAGCAACCACCTCCGAAGCGACACCCCTCACGACGCGTTCGCTCTCCGCTGCACCCATCACGACGCATATATACTGACATCTAGCGGCGCGCGGCGCAACTAGGGTTTCCTCAGAGCGCCTGCAGGCCTGTGGCGGCCGCGTGCGCGAGCAGCGCGTCGGCCGCTTGGCGAGCCTCCAGCATGAGGCGGGTGTCGCGCACCCAGTCGGAGGCCACGAGCCGCGGCTCACCCTGCAGCAGGCTCATGTAGCGCACCGCCTGAAGAAGGTCGTCCTTGTCCACGCAGTACCTGGCGGCAGTAAATGCGAGCGAGTCCAGGACGTGATCCGGTCACCGGCAGCGGACAGATCCGACCACGAGTGATGCGCCGATCAGTCAGAAACACACGTCGAGGGGTTTCCATTTCCATGGCACATGGCAAGCCCGCGCACCAGCCGCGTCCCACTCCGGCGCGTCAGATCAACTTATTACTGGTAAACTTACTTACTAGTCAACTTAACAGACCAGATGAACTTACTATTAGTTTACTTACTTCCAATTATTCATTTATTAAATACAATTCAACTTCACAGCCAACTTCACGCCAAAGGAGCACCAAAAGCACGCGTCGAATGGTTTTCATGGCAACACAGCTACACTACCAACACGCCATCTGTCGGTCACACACCTGGCTCGCGCGATGATTTCGTACGTGTTGAGCTTGGGGCTGATCGACTCGTCGCGCTGCTCCTTGCCCGGCAGCCGCTCGAACGCGTCCACCACCTGAGGCGAGGGGCAGTCAGGGGATGTGCCGCACCAGCACTGGCCACGCCGTCAGGGACGGTCGGGGGATGTGCCGCACCAGCGCTGGCTACGCCGTCAGGGGCGGTCAGGGGACGTATCGCACCAGCACTGGCTACGCCGTCAGGGGCGGTCAGGGGACGTATCGCACCAGCACTGGCTACGCCATCAGGGGCGGTCAGGGGACGTATCGCACCAGCACTGGCTACGCCGTCAGGGGCGGTCAGGGGACGTATCGCACCAGCACTGGCTACGCCGTCAGGGGCGGTCAGGGGATGTGCCGCACCAGCACTGGCTACGCCATCAGGGGCGGTCAGGGGACGTATCGCACCAGCACTGGCTACGCCGTCAGGGGCGGTCAGGGGACGTATCGCACCAGCACTGGCTACGCCGTCAGGGGCGGTCAGGGGACGTATCGCACCAGCACTGGCTACGCCGTCAGGGGCGGTCAGGGGACGTATCGCACCAGCACTGGCTACGCCATCAGGGGCGGTCAGGGGACGTATCGCACCAGCACTGGCTACGCCGTCAGGGGCGGTCAGGGGACGTATCGCACCAGCACTGGCTACGCCGTCGCCTCAGGCTCCGCTGACGTCAGCCGCTGTCGGCCGCGCCATACAGCCACTGTGCAAATGGTAACCGAAGACGCGTCACCAACACACGGTTTAACGTCAGTTAGCTGATGCTGTTTTGTTGTCAGGACAATACGTCGACAGGAAAAAGTCGAAAGTCGAGCTAACAGTTGACAGGGATAAAAACTGCATCTGAAAAAGTAAAACGACAAGAAGTCAACAGGGTAAAAATCGAATCAGAAAAGTAAAACACTACCCACTCCGGCGCGTCAATACTCATGGGACACTCGCTGGGCAGGAGCGCCCTACCACACCTGACCGCTCATGCGTCACGACAACACCAACACACGTGAGCAGCACCAGCTACAGATTGGCCGCTCTGCTCACGCTGCAACGGATGCACACGAGATCAAATCAATCACCGCACACGACACGGCACCTGCGACTCAGATGCATACGGCATTGGCAGCCGGGCGCGTGTTGGCAGCCGGGCGCGTGTTCGCAGCCGAACGTGTGTTGGCAGCCGGGCACGTGTTCGCAGCCGGGCACGTGTTCGCAGCCGAACGCGTGTTCCAGCTGAGCGCGTGTTCGCAGCCGGGCGCGTGTTAGCAGCCGAGTGCGTGTTGACAGCCGAGTGTGTGTTAGCAGCCGACCGCGTGTTGGCAGCCGGGCGCGTGTTGGCAGCCGGACTTACCAGTAGCGACTGCAGGTAGCTGAGGGCGTACTTGAAGAGGCTGCCGCCCTCGTCGTCGATCATGTTGACCCGCTTGCAGAGCCGCTCCACCTTGCAGAAGCGCTCGCGCAGGGCGTCCTCGGTGTACACGCCGCGCTCCAGCACCTCCTCTGGCAGGCTGGTCAGCACCGACTCCACGAAGCGGTTGGCCTCGCCTGGCCGGTCACGTGACAGAGATGAGACGCACACTGGCGGCAGGCCGCGCGCAGGCCGGCCAGAGGACGGGGCGAGGCGGACACGCGGCAGGGGGCACAGCGCTGAGGTCTGCAGACTGCGGAGGTGGTCCGCAGCCCTACCAGCAGCGCCCAGCTGGCTCAGACCGCACCAGCCGTTCGGCGTCAACCTTCGCGCTGAGATTTGTTATCAGCGTTACCTGGCACTATTAACTACCACCGACAGTGGCATCACAATATGGACGGCGTCTCGCCACCTCGGCTGGTTCTGCTGGCGCGCGTTCAAGACGTTTGCTTTTAATACTACTGACACTCCCGACGTACGGGCTGAGGCACAAACCGTCCCATGGTCATCACCTCTCAGCTAGAGAGTAACGCCACTGGCGCCTAGCGGCCGGTACCTGCCACCTGCCGGATGGCGGCCACCTCGTCCCGCAGCGGCTTCAGCTGCTGCTGCCAGCTGGCGGCGCCCAGCTGGCCGGTGCGGATGGCCTGCTTCAGGCCCTGACACGCCACCCACATCTCCTGCGCGTGGTGCGCCGCCCGGTCCAGATCGGCGCGCGCTGGGGGAGCGGGCGCCGGTCAGGCCGCGGCCGCCGCGTCAGCCGGCACAGAGCGGCGCAGGTCGGCCGCGCGGACACCGGGGCGGCGTGGAGGGCACGGGCACGGAGTCCGTACCCCGATCATCGCGGCGCGGACGGACAGATGATTTGGCCAATCACGCGCAGGAGCGGAGCGCGAGGCCGCCCCTCGCCAGGGTGTCTGCGCCGGCGAGACGAGCGCGTGGCCAGCCTGGATCAGTCACCGTGTCGTACACGGGACGGGCGCATACACAACACCAGAGCAGGCAGAGACGCGGCAAGAGGACACGTTAGGCGACGACCAGCCTGCCTAATCTGCGGCGCGGACGGAGCACGCGTGCGCCCTGCAGACTGGACTGAGGTCGGCCAGCGCGGCTCCCCGGCGTCCGTCTGACCTGTGATGGCGTCCCGGACACCCTTCAGCTCGCCCATGACGACGGCCAGCTCGGCCTGGAACTTGTGCCGCTCGGCGCGCAGCCGGTCCTCGTGCGCCGCCTCGAAGCGCCGCTTCAGCTCACGCTCCTGCACGGCCAGCACGTCCTGCCCGGCGAACAGTGGGATGCTGAATATGACATCACGAGGGCTCACGGTCTCAGCTTCCGAAGTGAGGGGTCACGACCCGACCCAGGTGAAGGTGGCGTGCTTGGAGCATTTTGAGCCACGCAAGGGCCCGGAGAGCCACGGCGCTTGGAGAGAAAATGTCCCACATATATCAGGCAAGTTTCCTCGCGGCACCCAATCTCCACATCCTGACTTGCGCAAAGGTTGCTAGACTTTGTGTCCCACTCAAACGTGCACACGCGTCAGGCATGAGTGGCACTGGTCCTCGACCCTCACAATCATACGACCTCGGCGAATATCGGGTTTCGGCCCCACAGCGAAGCAACGGCAGTGGCGCCTGAGGACAGTCTGGGACACGTCGGCGTGTCCAGCGCAAGTCCCGGAGAAAGAGAATGAAGGAGCGCACCTGCAGGTGGTCAGAGTGGGCACCGGCCTGCCGGCGCAGCTGCTGCCGCATCTCGTGCTCCAGCTCCGTCTGCAGCGCCTCCAGCTGCTGGCGGTGCTGCAGCTCGTGCTGGCGCTGCAGGCGGCTCAGCTCGGTGGCCAGCCGCTCCTCCAGCACGCCCTCCAGCTCCTGACGCTGCCGCTCCAGCGCCGAGCTGAACTTCTGCTGCTCCACCGTCTGGCAACGTGGCGTCGTCGCACCGGTCACGGGCGCGGCGGGGCAGTATCGAACACCGGCACAGACTCAGCCGGGCGACGCAGGCTATGGACACCGTCTCAGCGCCCCGTAACGGTCACGGGCGCGGCGGGGCAGTATCGAACACTGGGACAGACTCAGCCGGGCGACACAAGTTATGGACACTGTCTCAGCGCCCCGTGACGGTCACGAGGCGCGGTGGAGCTGGAATCGAACACTGGCACAGACTCAGCCGGGCGACGCTGGCTATGGACACGGTCTCAGTGCCCCGCAACGGTCACGAGGCGCGGTGGACCGGTATCGAACACTGGCGCAGGCTCAGTGGGGCAAAGCCGGCTATGATCACTGTCTCAGCGCCTCGCAACGGTCACGCGGCGCGGTGGACCGGTATCGAACACCAGCAGACTCAGCATGGCGAAGCAGGCTATCGGCACCGAATCAGCGCTCGGCACGTGCCATTGGCATCAGTGCATCACGGTCATCAGCGGGTCAGCGGGTCAGCGGCTCGCACAATCGACACAGGTCACCAGGGGCTCACCATGTATCGGTCTCCGCCACGACCGAACTCCGCCACACCCCTGCCTGTACAGCCGGCCTCGTCGGGCCCGCCCTGCCCGCGTCACAGCCCGCCGGCTCGCTCCAGCCGTCACTCACCAGCATCCTGGCCAGCTCCTTCTGCAGGTAGAGCACCTTGCGGTAGGCGTGCACGAGCAGCACGTTCAGCTCCTCCTCCGAGAGCTTGCTGTTCTTCTCGCCGAGCACGACGCCCGGCACGATACTCGACATTTCCTGCTGGAACTTGGTGCGCGACTCGTCTACCAACTGACGGAACTCGTCCATGACACGAGCCTCGCTCAGCGCCGCCGCCACCTGCCGGCCGCCACCGCAAGCTCTAGTGCCTGATCTCGACGACCGGAGGTATATTCCACGATACATATTTTGGATGGATGTGGGAAAAGGAGGGGAAGGGGGGGGGGGGGGCAGAAGTGACAACTGTTAATTCGTTAACCTCCTATCTGCATTATTTACCATATGTAGTTTAAGGGTCCTGCAACATATGCATGCAATACACGGTTTTCTGGAACACACGCTCCTAGGTACAGTCATCCCCGTGAGTAAATTTGACTGTATGTTATGAAGACAAACACTCGTGGTAGGACCGGACCTCACCTTGTTTTTAGCGGTCTCCAGGCGGTAGTAGGCGTTGGCGAGCGCCTCCTGTATAGGCGTCAGCTTCTCGTTGGTGGCCGTCACCTTGTTCTGGCGCGAATCCTCGATGACTGTTGACAGCTTGTCCAGGTACTCCCTGTCGTAGAACGTCAGCCAACTCGGGGAAACGCCGCTGGACGGCGCCGACACGGATCATGGGTCCGGGTTGGCAGCCATAAAAATTGCATTATTGATGAGATGGAATGCAAGACAAACCCCCAACTGAGCCGAGCAGGCTAATTACATTCCATGACTAAGACAAGTGACAGGTAACAGCGTAGATTCGGGCACATCAGTAACACTATCGCATCTAGCGTGAGGGTCAACACCATGTCCGGTCGCAATCGCACCAAACACAAGTGTTTAAGCGATTCCGAAAGCCAATCTAGGCAAATCTTCCGCGCCCAGCGCGGGGTCACTGACCTGGCATTCCGGGCCAGCTCTTCGGCCTTCTCGCACATCTGCGTCTTGATGTCCGCCGAGCTCTTGACCTCGGTCCAGTCGGCCTCGGTGGCGTCGTCCAGGCTGCGGAACACCCGCTCCACGTGGCCTGCAGCGCGGCGGGCCGGGTCAGCCCGCCGGTCGCCGAGGTCACACACAGCGGCACGGTGGGGGGGGGGGGGGAGGGGGTTGGTCGAGTCACCGATACGGCGCCAGCGGGGATGGAGAGGGGAAGGGAGCACGGCTGCTGTGGCTGCTGGGCCGCAGACTTGACAATGCATTGGACCCAAACCATACTAAGCAATGCGAGTGATGCAATGGCAACGCCCGAAAACACTAGCGACTTTCGACGCATCGATCGTCGGCATACGTCGACCGTATCGACAGGCGCATCTGAGCCTGCTACACAAATCGCACAGGACACCAACAGCGCACCAAGCACCAGCAGCGAGCCGACGAGCGCGTCCCGCCCGGCGGTCGCCGCGGCCCGTCGGAGCCGCAGTCGCTAACTGACAGATCTGCGCCGGCGGACTGACCGACGACGGCCGAGGCGGCGCGCTGCTGGGCGTCGACGGCCACGTCCAGCGCCATCTGCGCCTGCTGACTCAGCTCCTTGAGCAGCTGCTCCAGCGCCAGGTTCTCCACGGCGTGGTCCGTCTCGACGCTGCGAGCCCGCTCGGCAGCTCGGCTCGCCTCTGCGCACGGGGAGAGACGTCACCACGGCGCCACCGTATCGCAGCGGAGCCGCACGTGCCGGCGCCGCTTACAGCACAAACGGAGGGGAGGGGAGACAGGCGCTGTGGGTCAGCGCAGCGGCTGTCGTGAGTCTGCCGCCCGACGCGCAGACGCCATATCTTTTGTAAAAGCGGTACCATCCGCTTTCCTTTTGACGACAGGCGGTGGGCGGCAAGCACAGAGAGCTGCCTGCTCAGACCGCTGCCGGCCAACACCGCCAGGAGGCCGGGTCAGCCCCGACGCCGTGACCAGCCGTCAGTGAGGACGCCGAGCCGTCCAGACCCGGCGGGTCGGCGAGCCACGGCGCAACGCCCCGAAAACCGGCACGCAGTGACCCCAGGTGAACTGCACCCGGCTCGGCTCGGCTCTCACCGTCATCGGTCGATGCGGCCGGCTCCGTCTGCTGCTCGGCGGCGGCGGCCGGCGTGGAGGCGGCCGGCTGGTCCTCGGCGGCGGCAGTCGACGACGCTGCCGAGGTCGGACGGAGGTCACGCGAGCACGGCGGCCGGGGTGAGCACCGGCGACGGTGGCAGCGTGTGGCAGTGAGCTCAAAGAGCCACCATGACACCCAAGACTGATCCTCAAAGGCAAATATCACCATGTTCTTCTACCATATAGCACGTTCTGGCGTGAGCGCAATCTTGTCATCGATAAAATGTTCACTGCACGAGCCGGAGAGTCCCATGTAGCAGGAGTCCTCGTCACAACGTTAACGCTAAAAATCGCCTCATGTTACGCAGCCGTGAAAAAAAATCATGGTCTTGAAAAAAACGATCTAGCAAGAATTGTTTATCCTCATCACGAGCGACAACCCTTCGACGAAAATGCCGAGCCATGTGAAAGAGCAATCCTGGTCACGCGGCACAATCCGAGCAGGGGGCGAGGAAAAACAACATCGGCGCAGGCCTGAACTCACCATCCACTTTTGCGTCAGACTTCGAGGCGTTATCCTCGGCTTTTTGTTTCTTTGATTCAGATACTGGAGCTGGCTTTTTCCTGTCGACAGGATGGCACGCGATCAGCGAGTGTGACGTATGTAATAGAACAACTAGGACTAGCGCTTCACTACTAAAGATCCATGCTGTGTTCTGGAATGACCTGTACATATAAAGAACATAATCAACAACACACACTCATTCCAATGGCTATAATAAGCATCACACAAGCCATAACGAGTTATCCACACCTTCGTGTGTCAGTGCACACACTTGTACCGGATAACCCTATTACAAACAAATTCATTGATTACTTCAAAGGTCACTACTAAATAAATCACAGCCGTGTGGCCCATAAGAAGCATTCATGCTAATATTCATGTGAGCTACACTTAGTTACATGTATATGCCACACAGACGTACATAATTTATTGACTGTGCCTCAAGTGGTCACCGTCTCACATATCTTTGCGATTCACGAGCGTATGTGTGCTCATCCCATTACCCTCAACCCTGGCCGCATACCACAATCCCTCTTCAGTTGCGCGGCAGTCACCTAGCACCACGATCACCTCCACGCGACAGCGCGCCCACCCCGGCGCGGCATCACTTACGGCCGAATTTTGGAGGGCACCTCCGGCATCGGCGGCGGCGGCGGCTGTGGCATCCTCTCGCCCAGGACGAGGCCGAGCGGTACGTCCGCGTACGGCACGGACGCCTCCAGCGTGTCCCGGAACGTGGGGTCCAGCCAGGCGTAGGCTAGCGTACCGCCCAGCGTGAGGGTCACGGCTGCCGCGCCGACTGCCACCGGCGATACGCCACCCCTGGAGGCGGCCGGCGCGGTCAGGGCAGAGGTCAGGGCAGAGGGGTCAGGGCGCAGGGGTCAGGGCAGAGGTCATGGTACAGGTCAGGGCGGAGTTCAGGGCAGAGGTCAAGGCAAAGGTCAAGGCAGAGGTCAAGGCAGAGGTCAGAGCAGAGGTCAGGGCAGAGGCCAGGGCACCTCGTGATACCCAGGCGAGGTGGCTGCCCCACAGTCACGGAGGCACACCTTCCCCGGCGGCGAGCACGGTGAAAAGGCAGCGCAGATGATGTCGGACACTGGCCAGGTCCGCTCCAATCGTGACAAGCGTTTGAAAAACAGGTTCAAGAAAGGGCTGAGGCAAGCCGCCGGATCCCCTCGCCGGCTGGCCAGTGTTATCAGCGAACTGAACAAGCAAATCGCACCAATTATCAGTGATCTTACCCACATGGCATCACCACTGGGAGGGCCAACTGTGACTCACTTTTTTGGCGGGCCCGTGGCCTGTGACCTGGCGGCGAGCTGTCCGGGCAGCGGGGCTGAGCGCGAGCCGACCTGGCGACAGACCGCACGGACTCACTGCTAAGGCGGCTCACCAGCGTCATCTCGGATAGATCAGGACTGACTGGCCGGTCGCCGACGCACAGATGACCCTGAACTGCAATGCATTTAGTGATATGTCCTCTGTGGCATGGCATGGAATGTCCAAACCAATGATGCTTCGACAATATAATAAAAAAGATTCAGCTTGTTACACATCAGCAACACCCTAAAAGTACTGTACCACAAGCTTCCAGCCTTTTGGCAATTAAGTTATAACCGAATATTGCCAAAAAGGTTTCATAGGTCCTACGTACTAACAAAATCTCCGCCTAATAAGCTCAACTTACCCGGGACAGCACACCACGTGAAGCATGGTTGGCTGCACGAAACATTGTGGTGAGTTTGGGAGTGGTGTGGGTGGTGGCTGGTGGTGCCTACTGCCTGTCCACCTGAAAAAAACAGACGAATATCTGTTGAGACAACTGATTAAATCTTCTAGAGTGCAATGATGGCCATCGCGTCATGCTACTGTTGGCGTAAAACTGCCTGACGCCCTATTTTCGGCGATAGGCGGATCTCGGTATGGATCAAGTACTTGCCGAGGACATTTCAGACCACCTGCTTGCTACAGATTCCTAAGATCAAACGAAAATTGAGTGGGAATTGTAAGTCATTGGTGATGATAAGAACCTGCACAGAAATAATTGCTTGTGGAAAAAGCCGCTGCGCCGCTGGCCTCGTCAGAGTCTAATCCCTACCCTATCTGACCTTTAACCCATAGTTTCTACCCTGTGACCGGTCAGTTGGGTTCCTGCAGCGGTCGCTAAAGCTCGGCACTTATTTTGGGTCGACCTCAGCTTGACTGAACTGCACACTGGATATCTTTTGGGCGTCAAAAGGGCGATAGGAAAGAAAAAAAACTGCACTTCTCTCGCCATAAATACAGATTAATACCCGGCCGTGTTTGTCTTCGGCTTAATGTGCAGTGCCGAACGAAGACCTGTATGCGCCAGTTCGTTCCATGATTTTGTCGGTTGGAGGACACGAGATCACACGGACCGTTTCCTGCCTTTTTGTCCGACCGTGTCAACGTATTGGGAAGACGCTGCGCATATCGGTGAAATCGGGACGGCAGCCCGTGCAGTGAGATTTACGCCTCGTATGTCGACATCGTCTGAGCCCACATCGCCCCAGCCCTGGACAACTTCGCCATCGGCTCCATGCGACGGCACAGTTACATCCGATCCGCTCCTAAGGAGGCTGTGACGGCGGAGCGCCTGGCGTGCGGGCTGAAGGCTGACGGCACCATGTTCAACAGCACGTCCGAGCTAACCGTCAGGAGACTGCTCCACGAGATGAGGCGCCGGTACCGGCCGCCCCGGGGGCAGGTACACGTGCGGAGGGGTCACTGAGCGTCGTCTGCGGCCGGCTCCAGGCGCTCCAGACTCTGACGCGGCACCGGACAGATGGCCGACAGGTGGCGTACACCTGGACGAGAGCTAACTCGGCACGCGGAGCCACGGCAGGGAGCGAGTGGACGGCACCCAGGCCACCATAGGCACCACCGCCACCCATTCAGGAGACCGAGAGATGGGGAACGTTTCATCGTGGTGGCGCTGGATCTGCCAACCGGTCCATCGACAACTCCTGCCCGAGCTTCACGCCCAATAACACCAGCGGCGAATGTTACGGCGAGACGAAGAGCGACCTGTTCCTCCGCCGGCTGACGACACAGCTTCGGCCCTCACAAAACGCGCTGTCGGAGCTGGCACTGAACAGCGCACCGCACGGCAGCACGCTGACGGGGGGAGGGGGAGGGGAGCCGCTGCACCAGGTCAGTTACCACGACAGCCGACGCCACCAGCCCGCTGTTCAAACGAGGGATCGCGTTCCCACCGGCTGCCTCATGCGACGTGAACTGCCGCTGGTTAGTCAGTGGAACAGCCCGAGCCGCAGCATGTGATGGGTGACCAAATCTGCCAGCAAGGTTACGAGGCGATCTGCCTGCCACCCAGCCTGCTCCACCTGCATGTTGTCAAGTGCTGTGCTTAAGGAAATACCAATCCAGTCATCCCTATGGCGACTTATCTGCGCCGGCCTACAGGCCAGGCTGGCTGAAGCGAGGATGCTGCACAACAGGTGAGGTATAGACTGGCACCAGCCCAGAACCCATTATCATAGAACTTGCTTGATTGAGATAAGAATGGGAATGACTTCCCTCTGGATGATGACTCAGAAAATGACCAGTAATCTATACAGTACACTTAAATTCCAGACACAATCTAACAAGGTGTTTCTGATAAGACAAACTGCAAATAGCTTATTTATTCAGTTATATGCTTGCATACTTAGTTCTGACCAACATAGTTCATACCAGTGGTTACATACCAACATAGTGATCTAGTGTTAACCAACCAGTGGTTACATACCAACATAGTTCATACCATACCAACAGCCCTTCTGTTGACCTCACTGAAATTATCACGGAATATACTGTGTCATGCCTCTTCACATGCGACTATGGCTGTGATAGGTAACAAACATTGCACAAAGTTCAAACAAGGATGAAATTTGTTTAAACAAGGAAACCATCCACACTGGTCATCACAGGGAACAGCACACAACATAATGCTGCCCATCCATATCTAGCAAATTTGAATGCACAACTGGTCCCAACTTTCCCTGACAGCACTTAGCCTTGATCCTTACTAGAACACTGGAACTGCTTTATCATCTCCATTGAGATCCTACCCTAGCATGCACTGTGACTTGACTAACACAATCTACACTGTGATTAAGTCTTTTAAAAGCCAGGTTCAGAATTGCATGGCTTAGCAGGATATGGTCTAGTAGAGCATGGAAATAGGACATCATCTAAAACACCAGCTGCAAAAAGCTTGATCGATAATAGACAGCTTGTTTGGAAACCAGAAGCATTTCATAGAAAAAGCTGCCCAAAGTAGTTTGATGCCAGTGGTAGACTTGCAATAGTGATACCTGTAGAAAAACCTTGCAGGTAATGAGAAATATGTTTAAAGTTGAGTTTGGCTTAGGAATGGTAAGGGCAGCATATCCTGCCTAATTTGTTTGGGAAAGCTTTTTAAAAGCTTCCCAGTGATGCACAGAAAGCTTCAAGTGAATTTTATTATCAATTTTGGAGGCACTCCCATGCCTATGGCTCATTATCAAATTTTCTGATCATATCTATATTATCAATGCTTATATAGCTCCATTATCTCGATTTTTCTGTATGGAATGAGACCATTACTGCTGCCTCATCTGTCTGATGATTTCCTTAAGCCTACACACTGTGCAGTGCCCATTGTAAATTTTACAGTGTTATATGCCATAGCAATACTCAGCAGTGACCAATACTGGCTTGTTCATGGCCAGCTGCCAACTGGATATTGCTGAGAAGTTCAATAATCAAGCAGGGTTTCTGGGACGCAACCCACAACTTGCCGCCTGCAGTCAGGTATCCATCACCCTACCAACATAGCATTGGTGATGGCTTACACTAACTGGATTGCAATAAGGCACACATAACAGCCATCATTCTTCACCAACGCGAGCATGAATTGCAACCATGTCATTTGTCTTACTAAGGTGTGCCTATGCGGGTCAAGGTGTGCCGACGTCCACAAAATGCTAATGAACTTCACACCGAAGAAAAGACAGCCTCATATGCTCCAAGCATCTCTGAAATGACCAGAAACAGGCAAGAAAAAAAAACAAAAGCTGATATCATCTGACTTCTCGTACCAACGAAATTACCTACCAGTCACCCGAAACTTTCACACCAATGCAAACAGTGTGAAAATTTACCAGTTGTCGCAGAGTCGCCATAATTGTAACGTGAAGATCCTGTCCGCACAATTTATTCAGTTATCTATTTAGTGACGACCTCCGATTTCGATGAAAACGTGTCTCCTGTTTAACCAGGGCTTAAGAACAACGAAAATGACGTTGATTAAAATATTATGTGACCTCCAAGATAAATTGAAGGTCGGAGCGCCGGAACTCCCATCACATCCGCGAATATGCTTAGTACCAAAACTTACTAAGAGGGGAAATATTCTTTAGCACTGATCGCTACTAAGCGTGGCGCAGCCTATTATCAGCGTGTAGTAAAGGCCGATTACTGTAGCGAAATTACATTACCTGAAACAGAACCGCTTCAGTTGTCTGGAAAGTGCTTTGATAGAGGGGCATTATTAGAGCCTAAAAAGTAATACACATCTTGGAGTATCTATCTGGTCGTGACCAGCGGTGGTGTGTAAGGTGAGGTTTTGTTTAATTGCAATGATGTTATTTAAGGAAATTTTAATGGCTGTTTTATGAATTACTGACCCCAGGCATTTGGGGAGCATAATTCTGCAGGCACCCAGCAGTCTGGCAGTTGCTTCATCAAAACCCTGTCCTCTCCATGTGCAAAGAAATTTGTTTTAAAACATTTGCTCTGCAAGATGTAGGGTAAGCATTTTAAGTTATGACTTCTGAAATCAGAGCCCATTCTGAGCTTGCTTGTTGCATTAGCTGTGACAAGGAAGCTCCAGATACAGCATTGCTGCAGTGTTGTGTGGTAAAAGTTAAACATGTTAAACTCATTGCTTGGAATGGCCTGTCCTGACCTCTGACATCAAAGGATGTTTGTATGGTGGTCACAGTAGTTGACTCATTACTAAAACAGTGTGATGCGACCTGTGTGTAGAGTACAGCTTACTTAGCATGTTAGTGTTAGGTCACAGCTCAACATCACAAGCTGTATGTTCATCTGTTAATTAAAAGATCACTTTAGGTCATCAAGACCCCTTTATAAGTCACAGCTTGGACTGAGCAGTTGCTAAATGATGTGCATCTCAATCTTTACAGCAACAAAAATCATTTCACTTTTTTAAGTAAGGCCTTGAGTTATGTAACATGGCTTACAAGGTTTATTATAGGTATTTGAACATTGATAAGACAGTAGTAAAATATTTGTTCCTTAGAAAAAAACCAGGAGAATGGAGATATAGAGGTGCTAATATTTTGACTATGTGCCTTTATCAAAGCAATAGCAGAAATGGATATGCAAATTCAGAGGTGATTTTGGAATTAATATGAACAGCAAAAGTTAATTCACTTCTGCCATTGTTTTGATAAATGCATGTTGCCAAACTATCAGCACATCTTTATATCCATTCTCAGGGTTTTTCTATGAGGGATGAGGCTATCACTTTTGTTTTATCCATGTAAATAAGACTCCTCACAAATGCACTTAATAACCTGCAGTTTTTAAAGATTTGATCCAAACTCTGAATGGATGGATTTCTGGGAACAGAGCTCACACTGAGCAATGCTTGTGTGAGTCCTGACCCCTACCCACCAACCCTACCATCCGATTGCACAATTCTGGGCAACAGCAGAATTTAGGGCAAAATTTGAATATGCTGCAATGCCCCTTGTGGCCCTTCCTGCCCTCTGATATCAGCTGACCTTTAGCATGACCACTGCCACTGGCCCAGCTCATATCTGTCAAGGGCGAGGAGCAAGGGCTTTAAGCGATTTGAACCCACCGGTTCGGTGGTTGGACTGGAAGGCAGGCGCTCTAAACAACTAACCAACTGACCGATCCAGACAGACACTATGTATTTGAGCATCATCTGATTTGTTGTCATCAAGCATGTCTTCTTTTGTTGCAGCACCAACCATGCTTCCATCACTGTTGAGGTCACTGCGGCTGCTGAGTGTTGGTCAGCGGGTGCCGGCTGCTGCCCAGGTGCGCCTCATCAGCAAGGACGTGCGCGTGCCCAAGCCGGGCGTCGGCATCCAGTACCAGTACCGGGTGAAGCTACCTGAAAAGTACACCATCCGCCGGCTGCCCATCCAGAAGCTGGCCGGCCGCGACCCGGCTACCGGTGAGTAGCCCGCGGCGCGCGGCGGACGAGCCTGCCGGACCCCAGCTGCTGGTCCGGGGCATGCTGGCCGCCATGCACGCCTCATAGCCTAAGGCCTGCATGCTGGGACAGTGAGTGGAGACCGAAATATAGGAATGTTTGTGACATTGTTCTGGTGTTTTCAATAGCAACTACCCACACATAACGTTTGCTACACATACCCTAGTTTGATTTGTAAAATAATTAGCATAGTTTGGATTTTCATGCAACAGCAGATGATGAAAGCAGACTTTTTGAGTAGCCGTAAAGGAATATTTTGTTCTAATGCAACAGCGGATGACGGAAATGCTGAGCAGCGTCTACGCGTAATGCGTCTCACTGGTTTCATTTCCTGCTCAGCTCACCCACTGTTATCCGGTCCCTGTTGTTCCTGTTCCTGATGCTGTTGTGAGGACACACTGCAAGATATCCTTGTGCTAGAACCGTGGATCTCTGCAGTCTCACCTGCACCCACGTGTTGTTTCCACCGCTTGTCGAATCCGCCGGCTGCGGACGTCTAGTCCATTTGTAAGGCGCCGATGCGCGTGGGCGGGATCTGCCTCTGATCGTCCCAGCCGGCGCCTGACGGGCATGGTGAAGTCCGTGGGGCGCTTACAGAGCACCCGTGGATGTGCGCTGTCTCCGCCCCACGTCACCCCACCGGCGCCTGACCTGGCGCCGCCTCTGCGCAGGCCGCGTGGTGGTGGGCACGGTGGGCGGCGGCAGCAAGCGGAAGTACCGCTGGGTGGACGTGCGCCGGCCGCCGCTCGAGGACGGCTCGCCCCGCCAGGAGCGCGTGCTCCAGACCCTGTACGACCCGCTGCGCACGTGCACCATCGCGCTCGTGGCGCACGGCGAGCACATCCGATACGTCATCGCTCACGAGGTGAGGCCTCGGCCCGAGCGGTTGTCTTCGATGCAAAGGAAAGAGTGTTGTCTTGGATATGGGTAAGACATGTACCCACGGATAGCGCACACCAGGTCATGGAAATGTCGTTTTGAGGTACTAGCGGGTTTCGCAAGTGGTTCCCCACCCGATTATGCCATATTCACCTAATCAGACATGGGCGGACAACTCCATGTGGCTTTTGTGTCAGTGGCCACATCATTTTGACGGAAATTAGTTTGACGTGTTGCCATAATGATGCATATTCCTTTGCGTCGCGTTACCTCGCTTTATTGGCGTTCTCTACTGATTGTCCTGGGAGTTTGATTTCATGCACAGGTTACAAACCATCGCTTTTATGTTTTAATACAGTTTGCTCCGTTGATTCTTGTCCGTGCCGATAGCTCAGTTGGCTATAGTGCCTGCTTCCAATCCACCCATTCGTGACAGGGTGAGATCAAATCGCTGTAGGCGTTCAGCGCTCGCTTCTTGTCTGCAAAGCAGGGAAGCCCGGCACGGGCCGCTCTAGAGGTCAGCTGACGTCAGAGGGCAGGATGCGTCATGCCGAGCAATGTTGAACTTTCGCCACCAAAGTCTGCCATTGACCTGGAATGTGACGATCGCATGGCGAGTGCCAGGGGTCGCGCGACAATCGCACTTAGCATCGGCTCCTATCCCAGAAATTCGCCCATCAAAAGACTCAGAGTAAATATTTAAAGAAGGTCGGCGTTCTTCACACAGAGAAACACAAAGGTGACTGCGGACACCGGCGTGCCTGACTGTCGCTGACGGTGTCGCAGGGCATGCGTGCTGGTGACGTCATCACCACCTACGGCGACATTCCTCGGACCCCGGCACGCCCGACTGTCGATGACGGTGTCGCATGTCATGCGCGCTGGTGACATCATCACCATCTACGGCGACATTCCTCGGACCCCGGCGTGCCTGACTGTCGATGACGGTGTCGATGACGGTGTCGATGACGGTGTCGCAGGGCATGCGCGCTGGTGACATCATCACCACCTACGGCGACATTCCTCGGATCCCGGTACGGCCGCGGATCGGCGACGCCCACCCTCTCGGCGCGCTGCCGGCCGGCACAGAGGTGTTCAACGTGGAAAAATACCTCGGCGAAGAGGATAGGTGGGTGCTCTTCGAGGACGCGCGCCGGGCGTCGCGCCCAGGTGCGGGATAGGCTGGTGAAGGAAGTGGTTGTGGAGACCTCATGATCAGCAAAGGACCATTTTTAGTCTGTATTTTTTTGTGCTGGAATCCAGGCACATGTCTGCTTGTCGGCGTAAGGGACATGAATTCACAACGGCGAGGATGTAAAGCATGTGTACCTTCTTTCATGTTTGAATATCACGTTTGAAATTGATTTCACTACAAACCTACTGCTACACTAAATGCATTTTACTCTGATCAAAGCTGACCGAGAAGTGTCGGACTCTTCAAGTCAGTCTGATCTGCCCGCTAGGTCGCTGGAAATGTACGCAGGTACACGGATCGCACGGCATTAGCACCCGCCAGACTGCAGCAGCTGTGCACAGCAGCGTCGCCTCCCTGTGCCGACAGGATGTGTGTTGCCGGCGGCACGTTCTGCACGGTGCTGCGCCGGGTCGGTGATCGGGTGTTGCTGCAGATGCCGTCCAAACGGCAGTTCTCGCTGCGCCAGGAGTGCACGGCCGTTGTTGGTAAGGCCGACCGCCACGTCGCGCCGGACAGCCAGCTGATGACAGCGGCACAGACTGCTGGGAATGTGTGGTTCTGACTGGGCTCCTGACGACATTTATCTTGCGTCATCTCATTCTAAGCCAGCTAATGGTATAGGCACTGAAATAGTGTCCTGCTTTTGGTCGTGCTGCATTTGACTCGAGGCGATTTCCAGCGGACGGTTGTGAGAAGTTTGCGAACGTTTGGGTCAAAGTGCGACTTCGTCCTTTTTCCCAGCCGCGTTCTTCCCGGTTGCCCCCTTCTCACTCCACAGTCACGAAGGTATCTGTTCTCGGGGTTTGGAGCACATTTTGCTAGCCTCCGGCAGCGCGCTGACCGCCGGCCGTCCGCAGGTCGGGTGAGCATGCGCACACCCAGCATCCGGCCGATCGGCTCGGCCCAGCGGCTGCGCCACCTGGGCTACCGGCCGCGCTCCGGCCTCTGGCAGCGCAAGACGGGCCGCTTCGGGCGCAAGGTGCGCCGTCCGCCGCCGCTGCGCGAGCTGGACGCGCCGCCGCCGCCGCCGGCCGAGGTGCAGCGGCTCACTCTGCACGACGTGCACGTGCACAACTCGGAGGACACGGCGAAACTGTTCAGGCCGCTCCGGGGCATGACCAACTAGCGCCGTCTTGTGGCGGGTCGAGCGGCACGAGACCTAGCGGGTGCGGTTGTCGTGTTGGGTGCATTTTGTGTATGAGTGCTCCGAGCTGAGCGAGTCCACTTGCAAATGAGTGTCGGCGGCGTGTTGACACTGCTGCGGTGGCCCCTTGCCCGTGACTGGGGAGTGGTTCGGCTGATGTGGTAGCCGCGGTGTTTGCCAGGGCGTAGTGATGACGTGGTGACCGCAAGCTGCGTGTGCGCGCGGCGACCCTGCCGCGGACTGCATTGTTGTCCTCAGTGCCGCTGTGAGGCCACGCGTGGGGTGTGACCCAGCTGCGACACGCTTCGAACACAGTCGGTAACCCTGTGGGCTGCATCTGAAACGTCGTATTGACGCGGATCAATCGCGGCGAACACTGAACGTTCGTTGAAGGTCCGGAATATGCAAATGCTCAACGCATTGTTTGTTGTCTGAGATCAATCAACGAGATGAAACTTTGCGAGTGGACATGCTTGTCAAACCCGAAAATTACACATGTGTTCCTTCATATTTTGTGGCGAGGCGGGTACTATGTTCACGCAGGACGTCCTCTGCCACGGCGCTTGCTTGCCGTTGACGGATGCGCTCACGACAACAGACGGCGTACATGACAACAGCCGCACAGCGCTTGTCTGTCGTTGACGGGTTGCGCTCATTATAACAGACGGCGTACATGACAACGACCGCACAGCGCTTGCTCGCCGTTGGCGGATGGCGCTCATGACAACAGACGGCGTACATGACAACAACCGCACGGCGCTACACGAGCCGAGGGCGATGCAGAAAATGAAGTACTATAAATGACGCACCCATAGATGTAACACTATAAGTGACCCTAACCGATGCTCCGTTCCGCTCCCGACCTGGCACGGCTTCACAGTCGCTCGTTCTCGATGGGCCTACCCTCCCACGTGCACTCGAACGCACCGGACGCTGCCGATGTAACCTCAGCAGCGACATCGCGTCCACGGACACGCCCGAGACAGATTCGCTGGCTGGTGTTCGGCCTCGGCCCAGTCTCCAGCTATCCACAGCTGCAGCTGGCGCGACCTTCCAGACACTTCCTTGTGCTCTGAGCCTCTCGCCCATGCCTCGGGCGCTTGGCATCCCGCCTGGCTTTGCTAGCGACCGGCTAGCGGTATGCGGAAGCAGGCGGTGCGGTAGGCCAGCAGGCCCAGCGCCACTCCCAGCAGCACTGTCGCCAGCGCCAGCACCGTAATGGCCAGTGCGGCGCCGGTGACGGTGGCGGCGGCGGCCGGCGCCGGCGGCACGTACAGCGCCGAGCTGCCGCACGGCGACTCCAGCAGGAAGGCAGTCAGCGCCTGATCCAGCCGACCAGGCACGCCGGCGCAGCGAGAGGCCTGGTCCGCGGAGCACGCCGACGCCGCCTGCAGCGTCCGGCTGAAACGAATGGCGTATCATGTCATGTCATTGGGGCTTTACGACGCATTCAGCTGCTGAGGCTATATGGCGTCGCCTGCCTGTCACCTTGGCAGAAAGGGCGGGCTCCGCGGGGAACCGAACCCCGTACCTCTGGTTTATCGCTGTCTGTGTCTGTGAGGGGCTGCACCAGCCGGGAACCAATGCAGTTAGCGCGCCCCTGAAACCCCAACCGTCCGGGCGCGAAGCGGGTGTACATCAATGAAGGGGTGCAAGGCCGGACTGAAACATACGGGGCCAGGCTAGGAGGCCCTCGTTGCTAAGTAGGAAGCCCTGTTTTGAACAGGGGGTCCTGTTATGAATTTTAAAGGACCCGTTATAGGCTTGGAGGTCCCGTTTTGAACAAGGAGGCCTCCATGATGAACCCGGAGGTCCCCGTCATGAACCTGGAGGCCCCCGTTTTGGAAAACTATGTCTCCATTATGGACTAGGAAATCCTCGTCACGAACTAGGAGGCCCCATTATGACGTAGGAGACTCCGTTAGGAACTAGGGGACCCTTGTTATAGATAAGGAGGCGCTTTATTTTTATCCTCAGGACCATTTTCTGGAACAAAAGACATGTATCATGCATCAGCAGTATCAGCAAGCTCATTTTTATGCATCAGAAGGCCCATTATTTGGCCTGTTTACGCGCACACTTCTATTTCGTGGTTGGATATGTGTCATAGCACTTCACATGTTTCACTACTTTGCACCACATTTGGAAACAAAACAGCCCTGGAGAAATACGTGCGGGCGACCCGAGGTCCAATTCGAAATAAAATACGAAACGGCATGCCTAAAGAACCCCCCCCCCCTGCGATTAGTCAATGGCCAGGACAAGCTGAAAGGTGAAGAGTTCTTCGCAAATATCACGTGACCTATCGTGACCTGATCCGACCTAACCTTGTAAAATGAATTTCTTGCAATGGATGATGATAGATTTTCTATGTACTACTACTATATTACTACTTGATTTGCTACGATTGTTCCTTATGATTACAGCATATAAACGTCGCATAGTCGAGGTGGTGATATAGACATACAGTGTCTGCGCCTACGCTTTTCATGTATGCTTGCATGAAGGCGTCATTTCGCAAAATCTGCAGAAAAATAACATTTCACCTTATCTAGGTCAAGTTGCTCGGGGACATGAATCACATGGATATGCTATGGAAGCGGGATAAATCATGTACATCATCGTGGCACCTAAATAGTAACCCAGTGGCGGTTGTGTATTCGTGAACAAGCTTGTACACTTTTAGCAGCATACCTCGCGAAAATACGGAAATTTTAGCTCCATGGTGATCACTAACATTATTTTATATTTCTTCGATTTTGTCATCAACGGGCTCAGAAAGAACAAATTAAGGAGAGAAAACACCACACCTTTGAATTTGTCCAATTAATGCAAAGTGGGCAACTCATCTAATGAATGGCAGTTTCAGCCAATACCCTGCTGCGATAGCACATGCATCTGGTTCGGCTCTCAGGTATGTGCGTGTGTCACAACCTTGGGAAGTTGTGTGGCGGGGTATTTGAATGACGGGACGGCATTTTAAGTCAAGTAAGTCAAACCTCGTAAGTAAAGTAACTTAAGTCGCGGAGACATTGACAAATTCGGCGTGGCGAAGCCGAAGACAACAGTTCGAAATCACACGAGGCCGATGTTAGCAGGAGCGCAGGCAGGCAAAGGTCGGATTTTAAGCCAAGCCCATAATTCAAGCATTGCTCAAAGTCAAAGTCGAAGCTTGGTGTTGAAAATGACACAAAGCCAAAGCCAGTCGTGAAAAAATGGCACGAGTGGAAGCTGGACCCCAAGCCATTGAAGAAAAGTCGCGACTTGGCAAAGCCGAAGCGGAAGCAGGCCTCGCTCCCATGAATTCCCTTATACAACATAAGCGAACACCTCCTCACATTGTAAATCGCATGCGAATGCCGATTGTAGTCTAATGGACTTGCTAGCGCGGGACAATCGATACCACTGCCATATCACTAGGTTCAATTGGGAAATTTAAAAATATTTTGCTGACGGAAAGCAAGCTTCCGTCAGCGCAGAGAAATAGGTTATTCCTAAAAACGCAAGTGCGATATATGATGCATGGTTATGGTTCGGACAAGCCCTGACTCCAACATTTTCTCGCTGCGATGGCTGCAGCTTTTAACACGACCCCAGGGAATGTAGGGCAGCCAGTGTATCCGCCTGGCCACGGGCCCGCATATCAGATACCCGCATATCAGGGTCAGAAGTCCCCGTTTTAGGACAACAAGGCCCTTTGCTGGACTTGGTGGCCCGTTTGTAAATCGGAAGGATTCTTTTCTGACTGAGGAGGAAATACGTCGACAAGGGAGCGTGTGCCTCCGGGCCATCCCCTTGAATATAATGCTGTCCAGGTGGCTCCAGGTGAGGAGACCCCAGTCTGTCCAGGAGGCATTCTGGAAAACCTGCCCCAAACTCAAAATCCGTGGCGCCGTCCCTGGCCATGAGTTTCTCGACTAAGCAGTGCCACTGCTTTGCAAGGACAAGTGTCACCACTCTGCAAGGACCAGTGCCATCGGTCTGCAAAGATTATAGCCACCTATCTCCAAGGACTGGTGCCACCACTCTGCGACGACTATCGCTACATATCTGCAAGAACAGGTGTTACCGCTCTGCAAGGACTAGTGTCACCATTCTGCAAAGTCCAGTGCCACCGCTCTGCGAAAACTATCGCCATCTATCTGCAAGTACTAGTGCCACCGCTCTGCAAGGACCAGTGGCACCGCTCTGCAAAGACTATCGCCACATATCTGCAAGGACTGTTGCCACCCTTCTGCAAGAGCAGTGGCGCAGGCACTCACCGGCATTCTGCGGGATCCAGCTTGACCTTCAGCAAGTCGGTGACGTGAGTGATATTGGCGCTCCTCTCAAGACACTGCAGGTACGTGAGCGGGTTCCAACATGATGTGCGGCGAAAAAACTCTGTCAAAGGCAGTCGGTGGTAAGGGCAGCATATTTTCAGAAATATGGCATATCACCTCGATTAACGTGGCATGGCCCATGGAAGATGTGATATAGCCATGATGCGTACGTTACCAAGGATTACGTCGCTTAACATCCGCGTTACGTTATCAGTTATCGATGCCAATTATGCCCGTCACCACGTTGCCCGTGTTCGCCTCAACAGCATATACCGTCTCAGCTGAATTTGGCATAGTGCTTGTAAACACAATACGTGAACTAGGCGTATGCAGTGCATTATATGATATATGCATGCATAATATATATATATATATATATATATATATATATATATATATATATATATATATATATATAAATCTGTGACACATCATCAAGTGCACATGGAAAGGGGTCGTCAATCCTTCGGAACATGTTTTCGCTTTCTAGAAGGCGCCGAGAACCCACCCAACATGTTGGCTGCGCCATCAGCACATAGATGTCTCTGCACGGCACGTAGGCCGCTCAGCCAGCCGTCGTACACCAATCGGCCGTCGGCGGCGCTGCAATCGCCATCGATGATGTCTGACGTACAGTTGAGGGCGTCGTCTAGAGCACTGTGGAAGGAGTCTGACCATTCAATGAACCACGTCACATGTGTGCGCTGGCCTCGCTCACAACGGACGAATCAACGCCTGTTCTGAAAAGCAAGCAATTCGCCTACGAGGCCCGTAAACCACATCGCGCATGGGAGCATAGCGGAGCATCCGATACCACCTGGTGAACAACACACGATAACACGTCGACACGGAGTCATTGCGCCCAATTTTAGACACGACGCTGATTCGCTCTCATGACTTCTTTTCCCCCACTAGGCTTCGCGAAGCCTGGTGGGGAATCATGCATCGACATCATCAGCATCGATGATGCTGATGATGTCGCGTTGGGTGGCCTTTTACCGCCAATTTGATTCATCTTGTGGCCATGTATTTGTGGTCTAACTAATAAGTTTAGACATGTCGAAAAGAGCACGACTGGCTTGACAGTCTTGAAAATTGAGGTCTTGTCATGAGTGTTAAAATCAGAACAGTAAATAATAGTACGTGTTAAAATGACCCATCAACATTATGCCCACCGGAATAGCCACCCTGGTCACGTCGACCGTTACTTTTCCGAACGAGCTTATTGTAAAGCTTGATATGCGGTATGTTGTACAGTATCGCTCCTTTGCGTTGTAGAGTCATGCTCCAAAACGCACAGAGTATTTTCGTCTGGGCTATGATCTCAACCGCTTAGCCAATTTTGAACTGTAGCATTTCGCTGATGTCATGGCGCGTGCTGCTGTTTTGACCACCTGTGCTGTTTCAGCTGGGAACTCTGGCTCACGGTGCAGAGGAACAAAACAAAAAACGGTCTGAGTCTGCGTCGTCGGTGTAAACATCGCCTTTGGTCGAGGTCAGGCATTTGATAGACGTTCCTCGTTTACGAGACCCACACGCACTCATGTATGCGGGGTTCATCCGTGTCAAGCTCCTGCACTGTCAAGACGGTCGCGCTCCTTTGGCCTTCCAACCAGGGGACCAGTGCGTAACGCGGGTGACGCATTACGCTGTGATATCACTGCGGTAGACCGTCCTCAGCGGCAACCGCGGCGTCAGAACGTGAGACCACTGACAACTAGCCGGGGCAATACAACGGCTGTCGCGCCCCGCCGCCAGTGTGCCGGCAAACAGGTCAATTTGAGGCTCAGCCACCGCGGCCTGTGTCGTTGGGACGGGCCATGACAGCTTGTCCAAACAAGGAAATATTTCCGTCACACAATGCCAGCCGGTGTGAGGTGTTCCACCCAGTTCATTCGAATCAGCGGGCGCCGAGCCTGGCGCACCGGCACTCGGAGGCCCCTGTGACCGCCGGGAGCGACCCCCGGCACTCGGAGGCCTCGGTGACTGCCGGGAGCGACTCCCAGCACTCGGAGGCCTCGGTGACTGCCGGGAGAGACCCCCGCATCGGCACTCGGAGGCCTCGGTGACCGCCGGGAGCGATCCCCAGCACTCGGAGGCCTCGGTGACCGCCGGGAGCGACCCCCACACCGCAGGTATGTCTGCTCGGCCTCAGCTGACCGTGGTTTGGCGCGCGCCAGACTGATGATTCAGCGGCCGTACGCCAATAGGGGCGGGGGACGGACGTATCCCAGAAAGGCGTGGGGTACAGCCAGCTGTTTGCTGGCACCGCGTTGGTGTCAATTTTATCGCAGCTTGAAGGCTCGCACGGAAGTATCAACCTCATGACCGCTCTCATTGTTACACGTGACATTACTGTTCAGTTTCGTGATAAACCGCACACGCTGGTGACCGGCTGGACTGAAGTTGCGTCAACCACAGGCCTGGCGTTGGAAGCACGCGAAAGGCACGCACATCACAGCTGACCTGGAATCGAGTTTTGGACACACGGTCGAAAGCCGGGGGACACAATGCTCCAGCCCCAGCCTGACACTCGAACTATTTATGTACCAGCGTCATCCGGAGTACATTCCCTTTGGTTGTGACAACTGATATCGAGGATGGTATGTTTCACAAAAACGCTTCTCATGGTGATCATTTTTCATGTGAACTGCATCGGTGCTAATGCTAATAATGCGTCGGCCATGCTAACCGGCGGAACTCAGACCGTTGTCACCCGCAGCTATCCTGGCCTGGTTCATGCCTGCACAAATTGTGTGGTCAGCTGTGCACATCACCATAAGCAAAGCCCTTAATATGGCCGGTTGGATGACAGGAAGTGCATGACCGAGTGTTGCACGTTCTTAGTCGGGGAACTGGCTGCCATATACTCACCGATCTCGCGTGGTAGTGACATCAGGAATGTGAGGAAGGGCCGGCCAAATCTAGAAGCACCACAATTCTAACGCAATCGTTGCACGTGGACTTTGCAAAGGGGCGCTGTATTTACAGCTCACTTCTGCAACACAAGGATCCTGGTGTGGGATAGGTAGATATGTGGAGTGGTGCATTCTACATTAAAATCTGTCAATGCCTATAATTGCGATTTGTGTTTCAAAAGTGACTGCTACATGAATTTAACCAGCGTGGCGGTAGCTAGCAGTGATCAACTGAACCTGAAACATGCCACGATTGTTTTGTCATCGCAAGCAGTCGCTGACAACGAGACCTGTTTCGGCTGCTGGAGGCTTGGACCCGGAGGCGGAAACGCTTGAACAGCTCTGTAACTCATTTTATGCATCAATGTGCTAACTAGCGTTGACGTAATAGTAACATTTCATTGTGAGAATGATGGACAGCATGCAATAAAGAAGTCTATACTGGACAGCATTGTGCCTTTGAAGACCTTTTTAATGTGAGATTTACCAGCAAAATAGAACGTTTGTTTTCGCCCCACCCCAAACTTTGGGTTCAAACGAGGTTCGTGCGGATAGACGTTTCCTCTTACGGAGCAATCATTTATGGATGTTTTAATGCTTTTAAAGCTATTTGCCGGGGGAAATCGTTTCGACTTTACCTATAGTCAAATACATGGTTATAGCATGTGCACTAAAGGAATTGCATACTATTATTACTTTAGCTAAGACGAAAGCAAAGGAAAAGTAATTCTTTGCCAATGCCACGACCTTCCCTCATTAGAGATGGTCGAGAGAGAACGCCAGATTTTAAGGGCGTATCCGTTTTTTTTTTGTACTTGTCACTTATCTTCAGATCAGACACGTCCGATTTCATCGGTGTCACCAGTTTTCTGGAATCCTTTTGAATAGATTAGAATTCAATTTGAAATAACCGTTCAGGCTGGAGGAATCTTATTGAACTACACGGTCATCTCTATTGAAGTTCTGCTTTAATTTGCCTTGCTCTTTCCAACGCCTGTGTTTTGTTATATTTGCAATAGATCAGTTCGTCTACATGCTTGCGTAATAACAGTTGCTATCGCTAGACACGCCATTTAGTGAGACAATATACAACTATGATGCTACTATCACGCGAGTTGAACAAAACGCTATACTATGACATCGATTTCTCCCCTACGGCGTTAAGCACAGTGGCTCTTTTCGAAGCGCACTTTGGCTTTGGAGTGCATAGTATCTTTGGTCTATCGTGATCCGCTGATTCAAACTTTAAGCATTACGCTTCTCCGTGACTGGCATTCGCCGCCCGTGGTGTGAATCACAGACGTGACTTTGTGCTGGCGTTATTCATGGCACAAGAGGCGCTACCTTTAAGTTCGCAGTTCCGCAATGTGCGGTTTAAGGCAACTTAAAAGGGATGCCTCTGGTCCGTAACAGCTGACGACGGTCCTTAGTGCATCCCTTTCAAGGCAGTGTCCAGCCTTTGGGACATATTTCAAAACCACACATGGGTGAAACCTCACGACCATTAGCCTTTCGCAGTGTCACTATAGCCTATATAGCCTATGTTAGCCTATAGCATCATCGAGATGTAGTGAGGAAATCGATGTTAATTGTTTTCGTGTCCAAAACACACTGCAACGTTCTTTCACAACACTTCACTCCTTTCTTTCTTGGTAGTCCTAGTGTACCTCGGATCCGCAACAACTACAGTTGTCGCGACTGGCGTCGTCATGACCGCCGTTGTCATGACAACGGAGTCTGCTGAGGGCCGTTGCCAGCTGTTACGTGCTAGAGGTACAACCTTTGGGCTGTTGAACCCACACACTGCCGACCCGCAGGCTTAAGGTGCCACCCCTACTGGTATGAATGACATCAGTACAAATTCATGTTTGGAGTGGCACAGGAGGGGGGGGGGGGGGGCAAAGGGCAGCTAGCAAGAAGCCCATTGACTGAAGTTTGAACCAGTGCGTCACTAAACAACATGTGATATTTCGTCTCCCAAAGCCAAAGTGCGCTTCTAAAGAGCCACTGTGCTGAACGCCATCAAATTGGGGTATTACACGCTGAAGATACCGAACATACTTTTTACCGAGTAGTGCCGTTTACTGTTCGTTTAACTAAGCGGAATCCATTAAATTGATTTCTACGTTTCTGTAAAAATGTCAGCGCAATATAAAATCCCACGACTAGCAGGTAATGCCGTTAACCACAGGTTTCTATCAGCATTTTCGTGAGAACTGGTCACTTACCATATCGGCTTGGTCCCTCCAATGTTTCGGCGGAATGTTGCAAATAGAAAACACACCAAAAATTCCATCGCAAAAAAGTTACTTTTCTTGGGCGTTATTACTGGCCATGACTACGATGCTGCTAAAATATCGGCCTATTTGATAAGATATAGAAAAAGAGACAATGAAAATTGTCGTCCACCAACATAAAGAAGGCTAAATCCGTGAAAAAGCACACATTTTAGGAAGTTGGGTTGTTTGCCCTTGCTCCCCACCCCTCACAATAACTTTCCCAAATCGACGCTCCTGCCCCAAGATCCATTTTTTGCATAGTCTGGCAATGGCGCATCCAGCCTGGGACTTTTCGCATGCCTTGTGTCGCCCAAACTAACAATGCACAGTTATTCCCGGCGGGAACACGCAGGTGCCACACGCATGTCTGTTATTCCTTTTCAACATACCCGGAATTTGCTAACGCACTCCCTAACACACTGGAAGCGCTGCGTGATCGATCGTTGCGAAGAAAAGCAAGAGAACAAGTTAGGAACTCACAAGCACGTATCGAGGGCGTCTCGGTCCGAGCAGGTGGCAGGCCTCGCAGCCTGTGGGATGTTCTGGCAGGCCAGGTCCTTGACGACCTCGTCGAAGCAGCCGTTCGCAATGGCCGGAATGCAGGCGTCATCTGCGTCTGCAAAGGCGGCCCTGTTATCGTAGCTGCAAACGTGCTCGAATGAACCCCCCCCCCCCCCCTTGCTTCCGGTCTGTTGTTTCTACGCAGGGAAGCCTTGCATCGCAGAGACGGAGTGACGTTCGGTTCATTCATGCAATGACTTGCAATGGCGTCGGGTCGTCGCCTCACCTTGACTCGCTTCTGGGGTCCCAACATACCGACCATTAAAAGGGAAGAAGCCAGACACATGCAACGCAATTTGACAACGAATTGTTTGTTCCGCACTGTCACGTACGGTAAACACGGTGCAATCACGTGGTATACAGGCCCTGAATCCATTCACATGACACGACCACGGTTCGTCTATTGCTTAGGCGCACCCGCTGAGACGATTTGCACAAGTGATGAACCTCCCGCAGTCCATGGCTCCTGGGTAAAGTTTCGTGTCGTATTCTTCGTCAGAGCGTCGGAATTCCACGCCGAGCGTCACGCATACAGTATGTGTTCTTCCGCATTAACAACGCAAAACTTTACGCTGACGGGTTTTCCTAACGTGGAACTTTGTATTGGTGTTATAAAAATTTGATCTTTTAACTTTGTAGAACTTTGCTTTGTATTGTATTGGTAACTACGTGTCGCAATTCACAACTACGTGTACACAATTATTTGTGCCATGGTTCTTAAATGTATGCATTTCTTTATACCACATCCCTTCACTCATGCAATTGATGCGTATGCATTTCTTCGTGTAAGAACTCCCTCGTATCGCATTTCTGCTCGTGTTAATTTCTTTGTACCGTATTACTTTGCGTACGCAATTGTCCCATCACAGTCATTCGCCCATGCAATGATTTGCATGACATTTTATCGCGCACCTAATTTTTCGCAACGCATTTATGTAAGCCTGCACATCTTTTGGACGTATCCAGATACGTATTTACGCATATTTGCATCCGAGTTATAAGTCAAAAGCTGTTCAAGCCAACGGGTACGCCACTTGGGATTTTCAGACCAGCGAAGCACTTATGCTGCGCCGCACGGCGCGACTGTATGTCTGTAAGTATTACCATCACGCACGACTTCATGGCAGATTACGTATCTCATGACTTACGCACCCTTAGGCTCATTTAGCTTAAATATTGTTTTTCTTTGTCCGTGGAACTATTCGTGACGTGGTTTACGAGCACAAATTTGGTCGCATTTCATATGGATGCATGCACGCATGAGCAAAGCTGTGTCCTTCGCGTGAAGATATCCTATCATTATATCAGAGTTCTTTGTACAGAAATTTCACAGGGGAGGCAACCCCGGTGACAGGAGGCGTGGGAGACTGAAGTCTTAGTTCGCTCTTAAGGCATGTCATTTCCCAGAGACAAGTACCTGTACAGGCTGTCATATATGTCTACAATTGTTTTCTCCTAGTGCGAAGTTTTAACTACTCTTCTCATCGAGACCACCAGCCAACAAACTATTCAGTTTGCTAGACGGATTTACGCACCTTGGCATATTTCTACTATTTCTACTAGGAAGACAATTGGGAAGGCGTCTCTGGCGACTGGAGATGCATTTACCTCCATAGTTAACACACCAAAATGTGTTCAGCACCAAATTGTATCAAGTCCTCATTTGCCAGCTTTCTCAAACCTAGTGCACTGATAACGTTAGTGTTAATCGATTGTCCGCTAGTTTGTTGGATTCGGAGCTAGGGCGGCGACATCAGAGACGAGCCACACCGCGTAAAAATGCACTGCGAGAAATGTGCGCCTGGTTAAATCCACTTATTTGGCTGGATTAAGTGTGTCCTGAGTATCGCTTCATTTGACCATGCATAATAGTTCAAAAGCAAAGGTGGAATTTACAGAGGTTGCTCAGTGCATTAGCGAGGAACATTATTCATATAGATAAGACAGTAGTATTAGCCTTATTCCTCGGAAAAACCAGGATAATGGTGATAAAGTTAGGTCGGTATTTCGGCGGCATGCATCTATCGAAACAACAGCAGACGTGCTATTACGGGATACGAGGCACTAGGCTCGTATCTTCTGTTATTGTTTCGATAAAGGCATGTTGCCGAAATATCAGAGCAACTGTATTGCCATTCTCCTGTTTTTTTCCGAGGAATACGGCTAATACTACTGTCTTATCAAAGGTAAAATTTCTTGCATGATATCTAAGCCGCTACAAGCGTGCAATCTTTCAAAAGCATGTCTCTTGCATGGAAGCTGCAACGTTGGTATAAAATTGCTATGGTCTTTCCGGGTAGTGCTAAGAGAAAAACACACTTGCTTCTCCGTATGGTTTCGGACCATATCGTGAGCCCTTCTTCATTTGATTCATTTGGCGAATCAAAAACTTCCAATCAGGAAATGCCTTCAATCACGAAGAAATCACTTGTCCGAGTAGTACAACCGCTTCTCGTATCCACGACCTCCCAAAGATCCACAAGACAAACTTGTCTTGAAACCTGTAATCAACTGTGTGGATTGTCCCGTAAGAAAATAACCCGGTAATTATTAAAACATAGTCATTCTCCTTAAAGAAATATGATCAGAACACCGTCAAACCGTCCACGTTTGCCACAAACGCCGGAGGATGGAGCGCACGGCAAACCAACGTTGTGTGAAGTTTTCAGTCACCAGACTTTTTACTAGGGCACCTGTAGAAAAGCGCGGGCGTACGCACATAGTATCGGCTGGGGCCACGTCTCCCAGCCAAATTTATACCACTTTTTAACGTGTACGTGAGGGAATATTGCCAATTTAAAAGTGCAGATAACACGTAAATTAAAACCGTGATCGACATAAGCGACGTTGACACGCAAGAAATCGTGCGTGCCCGCTGAACTTGGTTTTCAGTGAACATTGTCAAGTAATGCCCATATCGCAACGTTCTGCGTACACCCCTGGGAAAAAGCAATATCCGTGATCTGTGACGAACCCGGATATAACGATACGCTGCCAGAACGGGCGTCTCAAATTGAATGCCAGTATGGGCTCAATCGACCGTTGTATAAAGCTGTGCGCCATTGTCACATACCTCATTTGAAAGGCAAGTTATATGAGCTGAAGGAATGTGCTCCAATTTGTATTTCCCTGTCTGCAGGTCTCAAGCACGTGTACATGAAGCTCTTTGGAGGATAGACGCACCAGACATGCCTGCTTAGATTGGAGATATGGAAAAGTTACATAAACATCACATTTTTCATCTGGAGGCATGGATGTCACGCCTGGCATAACCACCATGGCTACGTGGACTCTATCAGACCTTGTTCACCATAGGAACATACAATCAGGACGACTTTCCCTCTTCCACGCAGTCAATCGACAGCACGCCACTATCGTCACGGACGTATAATGCAGACAGACCAAAATGCAAATCTCACCATCCGAAGAGGTCAAGATCGGGACGATTAAAATCTGAAAAACGAAATGATCCCACACCAGAAGAATTGTGTTTGGTCAATCTACGACAGAAAGTGAGCAGTCTAACTTTCATCCTTACAGCGAACAGAAAACCGCAAAAACTCGTACCCAAGCTATCCTGACAGAGTAACAGTTGGCAAGAGCATGTTTTTGCCCCTTCAAAATTTTTGAAGACCCCTGTTTACAAACTGAAAGTTTGCAAGCTTCACAACCGTTACCAAAGTTTAGGTCGAGAAGGCCCCCTACTACAGGCCCTCTAGAAGTGCCAAATTTGGCTTACAAAACATTTTCCTTCATCAATTTGTCCGTTTTGCAGATAATGAGACCCCTTTACGTACAAAGAAGCCCATGTTCTTAATCAGGCCATCCTATCTCTCGTCTATGGGAACCTTTGCTGACCCGGTAGGATTCTTTCTCAGAATAAGGAGATCCCTGCTCAAGATATGACGGCATATTCTGCACATCAAAACTCAGGATCCAACTTTTATTTTATTTTATCAGGAGGCTGCTGTACTGGATCAGGACGTCGTCTTTTGGGATATTGAGACCTTTTGCGTGAGTCGGATGCCGCATTAGTGAATCGAAAGGATCCTGTTGTGGATAAGGAGACACCATCTATGCATAAAAAGGCCACTCGCTAGAACAGTTCTGCCAAACCCCTCAACCCAAAGTCTGTAGGGCTACCCCTAGCCACAGCACAAACTTGAAAAGCATATCAAGCCATAAACTGGAGACCATGCCGTCTCGGAATTCAGGAGGAAAAGTTGTGCTCCGGGTGTCATGTGATTGTGGCGTTTCGTACGCCGGGGAGACAGGACGGCCGCTTTCCACTGGCGTCGCCAGGCAGCACCGAGATGCGCTCGTGAAAGGTCATCTCGAAAAATTATTCGTCGAAAAACACAGTCAGGTTTACCCTAATGACATCGTTCTTACTCATGTTGACGTCGATGGCAGCAACGAGAAGCTTAGGACGCTAAACCTAACTGAGTCACAGGACCTAACGCCTTCTCTGAAGACAGACAATAGTGGAGCCCGGACAATGGTCTGTCTTCAATAGTCTGTCTTCTGAGAAGGTCTAAGAATAGTCTGCCTTCAAACTGCAATAGTGGAGCCCCACTATTGCAGTTTGAGTGAAGTCCGGTTTGGGCAAGCGGAGTCGGGTGCTTTTCTCGATCTGGGAAAACACTACGCAACTAAACATTAAGGACAAACCTAACTAAAAAAAATAATAATTTCATGGCGGTCAAGTTATGGAAAGCGTAGGCTTTTGACCTGGCTTAGGCTTTTGAGCGGACGAATTTGAGTGACGTGGGCTTATGAGCGAAGACATTTGAGAGACGTGGGCTTCTGAGTGGAGAAATTTGAGTGACGTAAACTTTTCAGTGGTGGACGGCCAATTGGGTGGTTGGTCGTTCCTGTTCATACAGAGGGGAGGGCAGGCAATGCCTGCATCTTGGGTGGAGCTTGGTAACCTTTCCAGGCCTTGATCACCTAAATCTGTGCTTCCATCGCGGCAACGTGAAACTATAGTGATCAAATATGACAAAATATCGGAAAACACACTGGAAAACTTAATATTTCGGAAAATATTTTCTGCGCAGTATAAACGATGTCATGGAGCTGACAGATGGCGCAGTTGGCGCAACACTGCAGAAAGACAGAGAAAAGTTTCCGGTGGCATCGGGATTTTGGTCGGTCCGGAAACAAATGACGTCACGAGGACTGTGAGGACTAGCCTGGACCGCAGGACGGTCCGTGGAATATTCGTTCCTGGATATTCGGAAATAAGCGTATAACACCAGGCCTCCGTGATAAACGACAGAGAACTATGCTTGTGGAAAAATCTTGCATGGTATTTTTATATCTACATAATTACAATAATCAGAAAAGTATGTTTTGTTGGCGCACGATGGTTGGGCACGGCCGGCCCGTATTGGAACTGTATCTCTGACCAGCAGAATGAGCACCAGGCTTCATCAATTCAACGCTCCAAACAGCATTCAAGGAATCGAGCCCAAGGCTGCTGCATTACAGGCACAGCATCCCCTTGGCCATAAATGTGGTGAATTCGTTACGTCTTGAAACAATCAGCACCAGGCAAAACAATCAACACCAAAGCTTGCCGACCCCCCCCCCCCCCCCTCTGATAGCCCATTGCCACGGATATACTTCCGAACACGGTGGTACAAGTGGGGAGGTGGGGGCACCGCATTTGACGTCATATGTAGCCCGAGGCAACAGACATAGGGTCGCGACCATGGGCACTATATGAGTAATGGGGACACGTGGGGAACAATTGGTCCACCACTTTTATGCAACGCCTTGGATAGGCCACTACACCGCAAGACTTTTGGGAGGAAGCGCGTCACCAGTCCTCCCGGTGACGCAACCCCGTTCCGCACGGACCACAACAGCAGATACGGCACGCAACAACCAAAACATCACCATCGCCACAACCCCGTCCCTCAGCTCCTGACCCCCCCCCCCCCTTCCCGCACTACCACCTCCTCCGACTGTGCAGTGTGGTAGGGCGAGCTCACCTTCACCTGGGTCTGCCGGGGCCTGAGCGGCGGCCGACAGCACCGGCTGCAGCAGCGCGGCCAGCAGCAGCAGCAGCTGCAGCAGCGACGGTGGGGAGCGTGAGCCGGGCATGGTGCGGAATGGAGCCGGCGTCGGGCGCCAGCGTCGACCCTGGCCGCCGCCGGACGTCCGCCGCCGGCGGACAGGAAGGTACGGCCTCGCGGTCCGGCTGGCGGCGCCGATAAGGACGGCGCCGTGCCAGGCGTCGCGGGGAATTAGACGCGAGGCGCCGCCAGATGCGGTCACAGACAGGTCCGGACGGCGCCGCGTGCCGAGGCATAGTAGTGGAAAATACGAGGAACGGATGGATCTGGATAAGGTTGCGAATGTTTTGCTGTTGGCTAGTTTTTGGAACCTGTACTGAGAAAGACTACCTCAGGCTGGAGCGTGGCTGAAGCGTCCGGGTGGTTGGTTGAATACGACGCACGAGGTTGGGGTGCAGGGTCAATTTGACTCCATACAAATAGAAATAAGAAAACTATAGATACCGGACTTACGGAGTGGCTTCCCTTTGCATGAGCTCATTTGTGTAAAATTTTTGATTTTATGACGCTGACTCGGATAAAAGTCTAACAAGGTCAAACTTAAGATCGACATGCGAAGTGCTCCTAGAACTCCTTATACAAATAACTGGCAAAAAAAGGTTTTTTTAAAGCAAAAGGTCATTCGGGGTTATTTCAGTTCAGTGAAGAGGTCAAGCTAACAAAATATATTCAAGATTATCCAAACATTTTTACAAATAAAAATAGCCTTAAGGGCCATCATAGGCGGTATGTTACTTTTTTGTTACTTGAGGCAAAAGGCTGGAGACCATTTTTATGTCAGTGGTCTTCCATCACCTTTATAAAGCCAAAATAGAAGTCTGTCGCTGTTTATGTGGTCATAAAATTGAACGTGAAAGCAAAAACTACCCCACTCGGCAAGTTTTGAGTGGAGCAAAAATTTGGTTTGACCTTGATGCGTTCTTCATGCCTTAGCCCAGCTTGACAGAATTGGTTGAAATAATTATTTTAACTGTCTTTTTGCCGTAGCGACCACATCAAAGTTGCATAATACCCTTCGACACTCCGTTGTCACACCGGCTCGAAAGATATCCCAAGAGCTGCCGTCGCTGGCTACCATGGCATGACTAGCCTGCCACTGGTCAGCAGCCTTAAGAGGTATTTTGTGTACCAAAAAATCGGCTATTCAACATCTCCCGTGAGAAACATTTGGCCAGGCTAGACATACCGTTGAGCTGTTTTGGAAAAATCCTTGGGTCAAATTGTTCTCCCCCCCCCCCCCGAGCGCGTGTTAACACTCGCCCAGGTGGCCGGCTCGGGTGGGTGGGGGGGGGGGGGGGGGGGGGGGGTCAAACTGACCCCGCTAGATCTCGGGAACTAAGAGAGCTAGAGGCACCAAATCTACAGGGTGTGTTGACTTGCGCATGAACTCACTTAAGTCAAAGCTGGAGGTTCCTAGGTTATGACCTTTGGGTCAGACAAGATCAAACAAGGTCAAATTCCAGGTCGGTCTCCAAAGTGCCCCCAGAACCTAGACAAGTGTTCCTAAGCAAAAGTTCGCATGCTCCGTTAAGGCCAGTGACCTTGTTTTGCCTTTTCAAGGTCATGGTGACCAAAGTCATATAAGACTGCTCTGAGCTTTGCATTTGAATAACCGACAGAGATTACACTACGAAGTATGTTCCTAAAAAAAACAAATGCTGATCTGGGTCATTTTAGGTCAATAACCTATTCTAATCTCTACGAAGTCCATAGAGGATGTAGAATGCGGTTCCTGCTATCAATAAATTCGAAATAAGCGCCGGAAACTATGCCATACAGCAAGCTCTATGGTAATCAAACAGGTTGGTTTTGACTTTGGTCTAGCGTTCATACTTGACCTTAGGTCAATGTAATTTTCTCATTCGATTGTTGTGTTGCCAACAAAAGCATCTCAGAGATGTATGGCTTCGTCTAAGGCTCCGTTGCTGCGTCAGATTGAACGATTCCCTGGAAATTGACTTCGCTGAAACCATAAGCTGACTTTGATCTGCCATAGGTCAGCGACCTTACTAGATACATCTAAATTCTTGACCCCAAACGATTCACTGTTCAATTATCCACAGCTCAGTGAAATTGGCGTGGCTACGCCGCGCCGTTTGGAAACCATTCCGGAAAAATCTTCGGGGGTTGGGTCAATTTAACTCTCCCACCCGAGCGCGTGTTAAAAAGACCCCCCCCCCCGAGAGTCGAGAGCTGGATGATTTTTTCTTACTCGTCGGTTTCCATACAACAATTGCTGCAGAGTAGATTGTAAATAACGTTTTGGGTTGACCAGTTGTTTATGCCGAAAAGCGCCCGAAATGTCTGCGAAAGACTGTAGGCAAGATTTCAGCCCACTCTGAAAAGTTATCTTTGGGGCCCGGGGAAATTTTCACGCAACGTCAGGCGTCGCAATCTCGCATTCAAGCGCATATTCTTTTACGTCAAACACCAGTCGCAAATTCTTCGCAACAAACGTCGACAGATAAAGCTCGTGCCTATAGACAGAAGTTCTACAAGACACTGCCTCTGCACGACACAAATTACCCGGGACAATGTCCCTGCAGGACGTTGCTTCCGCTGGCGAAATGTTCATGCGCAAAGCTTCTACGCGCCAACTCCTCAATATACATAACTTTTGCACATCACTCCTCCACGACTGAGCCGCTATAGCCAAAACAAAATTCATAAGACGCTACTTCTGTAGATATGTCGTTTGCTTTCAAACACTCAACACTACACAAATTTTACAGACAAACCACAGGTCAAAATTTGAACGATCAAAACTTAACATGGCATCACTCCAGATCGACGAAATACGTAGGGATAAATCTTGCGCTGACAAAATGCACAGGGCGAAATTTCCAGGTTGACAGCTTTCCAGCCGCAAAAGGTTGTGACAAAGAACAAAACCACCACACAGGACTGCTACCAAAGCTGGAGGCTTAACAGCAGCCCAGCAACCACTTACACTGCAACGTTCACAAACCGTAACGTCCCCAGGCATGCCTTACAGCTGCGCACGCGGGTATCCTACCCACCATCGTAACCATCGTAACCGCGAATAATTTGCTCCCCGGTGGCGCCTCGCACCATCATTTTGCATGTAGAGCCCTTCTGAAAGAAGTGTAACAGCTCCAAAGGTCACCGAAAGCCGCGCGTGCCCGGCAGGAAGTGCACCAAACGTCTGAGTGGCGCCCTTCGACCACCTGTAGCCATGAAAGTTTTGGCTGCAGATATTTTTGCCCGTGAAATCGTGGAGTGGATTTTTGAAACAATTTGGATTAACCATTTAACCATGTGGATTTTAACATAGCAATCTAGTCGTGTGGAAGCAATGTCGAGCAGACGTTTTGTGATCAGAAGCTTTGTCGTGTGGGAATTTTGTCCGTGAAAGCAGAGGTGCAGTCACCAGGGGAGACGAGGTGGGGGGGGGGGGGGGGGGGGGGGGGTCCTCGGGATCCCTGGATAACTAAAATGTTTAAAGGGGCCCAGCAAGGCTCGAAAGTTACAAGCAGGTACAACCTTCCTCAAAACATCGATTCTAAGCGCATGTGAAGGGTTGTCACGACACGTGGTAATTTGTCTATGCATCGCCATATTATGAGTACTAAGCAGGTCTACATAGCATGAGGGCTATGTGCCTTCCAATCAAAATGAGCATAGAGAAAACACTATCAGCGCATTTCAGCCGCGGTTTTCCCAAATAGATGCCCTCGATCCCTAAGCTTTTTTACCCATTCAAAGTACCTACTTCGTTGGTGGTGCACCCATTATTTCGCCAAAGGTTGGGCTGAATTCAATCAGGGAGACCCTGTCAGCCAGGGCTCCCCTCTTTACAGCCCATATGAACCCTCTTTTTAATTCGGTCCCCTTTTCGGCCCAAAGATCCTTTTCCAATGTCTCGGGGGCAGGGTGGTAAGGGAGGGGCAGGCTAAGTACAGGTTCTGCATGGTACAGACACCTTCATTGGTGTACCAAAAACACCCCACCCCACAAATGTTCCATCCTACCCTTCCATGTAGATTGTATGGGTCCATTTTGCAGGTTTGGAGCACTTTAAGGAGTGCGAGTATTCCGTGGGGCGATAAGCCCTCATAATTTTGGGCGTTGAAGGAGCCCATGGAATGTCCGAAACCCCCAAATAGTCACATGGACAGCATATCGGACGTTCGTGGCACCGAAACAGGACCCTAGAGTCTCAACAGAGGACCACAAACTAAAAATAGGGCCTGCTGATCTACAAGAAGGGTCCGCTTGGCCCGATTTCCTTCCCTTAAGTAAAACCCTGTGCACGCTACCACGCACCCTTCACTGACAAAATTAAATTTATTTCAACCTTGGGGCCCCACCACCTCCAAGGGGAGAGGCGATACATGGCTCAAGCTCTTCCCAAGGAAGACCGGGAGGAAGGGTGTTCTGCGCTGTGGGTGCCGTGGAATCCGCACAGCTTCCGCGGGAATCCACGGCGGGCTGCTGTGCCGAGGGAAAATGAAAGTCCGCGCTATGCAAAGCATAGCGCGGACTTAGGTATGCGTATGGTATGTTAGGTATGTTAATCGTGTCAGTTGTCAACCGAACGTCTATCGCGATTGCAGTTTTGCTAAGATATTAGGTGCTGGATAACACACACCCTTGGGAGTGCCCAATGGCCTCCAGCAGGATCGCGGTTGTGACTGGAGCAGGCTCAAGGACAGTCTCCAAACGCAACATTGTTCATCATGCATAGCGCACAGGAATTCCTATTAGAGTAAGAATTGCACAGCATTCTGTGCGTGAACGAGAGCCTTTCTTCGTAGATTACTGATGTCTGGCATCTATGGCCACACCCGCACTGTACGCCACCCATGCGTCACAGCTCCGTCGATCAAATGTCTAGTCCTGTGTACCGCACCCATGTCACATCAGCTTTACAAGGTCACACAACCGCTGAACCCTCCGGGTGATCGACTTTGCATTCGTGATCTGCATCTGATGCCCGATGGCGGAATATCACGCCATAAAAGGGTGCTTCTAAATGAGCCCAAACGTACTGTTTGGTGGGGCTCC